TCTGATAAACTTTCACGCGGTATAAGTTTGAAATAATTAATGTATGTACCTTTATAATTTAGCTAAATATCTTTCTCAGCCAGAAATGGTCATTATGAATAAACCCATTTAGAAATACATTACTTCAGGACGAAATGGACAGATTTGAAACAGCCAATCAGCTGTAACTCTTGAGGGGCGGCATCTCCTCTCAGGATAAAAAAATGCACTATAGTCAAACCAGCTCCAAATTTCATCTTTTTATTTCTCCAATGAGGGTTTTACTTCATTTACCAGTGTGCCCATTACACTTATGGAATATCATCCACGATCTCACCTCACATTATTTATTACTGTATTATTTACTTTTATTATTGCATGTACATTTTAAAACTATTTATATTTGCACAATAATTATAAATATAATATTGTATATGACAGCCAAGGCAACTTTTTGAACCACTCAGTTATTTCATATGCATTCCAAATACAATACAAATCGCTTAATGAATTTTTATATCTTATCATTTGAAAATATTATAAGTCCAAAAGTTCATCGATTTAAAAAATATTCTATGTCCAAAATTATTATAAGTCCAAAAATTCATCATTTAAAATATTCTAAGTCCAAAAATTCATCGCTAAAATATTCTAGTCCAAAAATTATTCTTTCAAAAATATTCTATTTCAAAATATTCTAAGTCCAAAAATTCATCATTTAAAATATTCTAAGTCCAAAAGTTCATCGTTTAAAATATTCTATGTCCAAAAATTATTCTAAGTCCAAAAATTCATCATTTAAAATATTCTAAGTCCAAAAATTCATCTTTTAAAATAGTCTAAGTCCAAAAGTTCATCGTTTAAAATATCATATGTCCAAAAATTATTCTAAGTCCACAAATTCATCATTTAACATATTCTATGTCCAAAAATTCATTGTTTAAAAATATTCTAAGTCCAAAAATTGCCAAAATTATTCCTGGGCAAATTTTGAGTAATATAAATTTGTGTGGTTTTAGAGGTAAAACATTTATGCCATTCTTAAGAGCTCCAGCTTGGCATCTGTGTATTATAAGGCATAATGGACTACCTGGACGGGGAGAGAGTAACTCACTGGGCGCCTACTGAGTTACTCTTCCACGTCCAGGTAGTCCATTATGCTTGTATTTTTTTATATTATTGGTGAATGATAATTTGAAGATGTTTTTCTCCGGAGACTCTTCCGATTATCCTTTACCAAATTTTTTCAACGTTAGTCCTGGCAATGGCAAGTTCAAAAAACACTTAAGGGTAAAAAAAGGGCAATTTTTTTGACATTTTTTGCTCAAATTTTGCTATTTTTAGCCATTTTTTCATAAAAAATGCTATTTTTTCCATATTTTTAGCTATTTTTCTGTATTTTTAGCTATTTTCTCAGGTTTTTAGGCTATTTTAGTTAATTTTATATTTAAATTTTTATTTGTTTATTTATATATATATTTTTTTTAAATATTTGTTTATTTATATACTTTTTTCATTTATATATATTATTTATATATATATATATGTGTTTCTTTTTCATGTTCATATATATTTTTCATTTGTATATTATATTTGTAGATAATGAATTAGATATTTTTTTCAAATAATCAAATTATTTTGCTGCAAATTCTGAAGCTGAACTAAAGTCAATTTTCTGTAAAAGTTGAAAATATTGTAAATGATGTTAAGGTTAATAAAGACGTAATGACATTTAGACATTTATTAATGGAAACTTAATGGCTCTATAAATTTGCAGTCCAGGGAAGCAAGCACAGAGCAAAGCAGTCCAGGGGAGCAGCACACACAGAGCAGAGCAGTCCAGGGGAGCAGCACACACAGAGCAGAGCAGTCCAGGGGAGCAGCACACACAGTGCAGAGCAGTCCAGGGGAGCAGCGCACACAGTGCAGAGCAGTCCAGGGGAGCAGCACACAGTGCAGAGCAGTCCAGGGGAGCGGCACACACAGTGCAGAGCAGTCCAGGGGAGTGGCACACACAGTGCAGAGCCGTCCAGGAGAGCAGCATGCACAGAGCAGAGCCGTCCAGGACAGCAGTCAGCAAGCACAGAGCAGAGCCGTCCAGGGCAGCAAGCACAGGGGAGTCCAGGGCTGCAGCAGCAAGCAAGTTCAGGGCAGTGTCCAGTAAGCACAGTCTAGGGCAGCATGGCACTAGTGTTCAGAAAAACATTTCTGTACAAAATAAAAAAAGTAAAATTAATAAAAAATTTTAATAAAAATGTTTTAAATATAGTAATGACAAAATGTACTGCAGTGTTTTATAATTCCTTGACACTTGACAGGACCAAATTTATAAACTCCATAATAGAAAAATAAGAATTTTTGTTAATTTGAATTTTTCAGCAAATGATCCTTGAGAACAAGTGTCTAGGGAATATCAGTAACTGTACAGCAACTTAACCTAACTGTACAAGTTATGGTTCATATTAACTAAACTATAAAAACCAAAAACCTTTCATTACAAAACTTACCCACAAGTGAGTTTAGTTTAACCATAACAGTTATTGATGCTTAACTACAACATTTCCTGTATCTTCGGTTCATAGTTTTGTTAATATATTTTAAATATTTTCTTTCAATGACTTTGACCCAAAAATTATTGATTTGTGTAGAATATTTTTACTTTCCACTAACTTTACGTCAATGAATTCCTGAAGTGGGTCAGTCACAGGTTTTGTTATAATCATTATTATTCTACAACTGGGTACAGTATTACAAGTGAATGTTGCCAAGAGTACTTTATTATTTACTAAATGCACTCATCTTGTAAGTAACTTTATGTACTTTACTGAATTAATTAACAAAGTCAAGCATAAACATCACCAATAATTATTTTACCGGTGTTATAAATTTGATGTATTAAACGATTGGTTGAGAAGTTATAAGTAGTTACGGCCAGAGTCTAGTTTTGGGGCTTTTTAACTTTGGTCAATTATGATATTCCTGCCATCAATCAAGGATCATAGGTACAGTCAAGGTCAAAAGTGTTGAACACTTAGCAATATCTCTCATCTACTTTTGAGTTATATGATTGGGATATGATAACACTACTCTCATATTATGCCTGAGCCACAAAATAGGATTAAACTCTACTTAATACCCAAGATCTTCGGGTACTTACATGCCAAATACTGTCAAGTGTTCAACACTTTTGACCAAGACTGTACATCAATTCTAGCCCCCATAATCCCCTTTCAATATTCTAAACCCTTTACACATTCTCTCGTATATAAATTTAAGTATAATTTCTCCATTACTTTATATTTTGTCTTGAAATTTATAGCACCAAGAAATCTAGTATGGTCATTGAATAACCCAGAGCAATTCGTTTGTCTTTGGTTTTAAGGATAAACTGGCAGAGAAATTCCAATCCGAGTGTTGGAAATGTTCATTTTGACACAGGCCGATAAAGTAAACTTCACTCCCCTGTAAGTGATCATTCCGAGGCTATTTTATATGTAATATCTTGTTTTTTGTATATTTTTACATCAACTGAACTTGTTATATTCTTTACCTGAGGTAGAGAGGAGGGGTGGAAGGCTGGGTCTGGGCTGTATCTTGGCACTTGCTTTATTTGTGTTGTGAATCACTTGCCATCCTGATATTGGAGGAGATAAGCCTGGTACAGCAATACAAGTGAGGCAAGATGTGTGGTACAGCAGAGGGCACACCTCTCCTTGACAAGGTCCAGAACCTACTGGAAGTAAAGTCACAAATTATTACCTATAAAAGGTTTCAAGTAAAATATTTTCACAATAATTTATCCTAATACAGTATTGTATAACATGACCCTAAACTGAAGGTTTTATCCTCTTTGGAGGTACCACATTAATCCACTTAATCAAGTACAGTAATTGAAGAACAATACATTAGTGATGCACCATTAATAACCACATTCAAAACTCTCACAATCTGCTGCCAGAGTTAATGCTATAATTTAGGTCAATTTTATCATGCAGGTAAAACAGTCAAGTCACTATATAGTCTCATCACCAAAGCCCGACTATAAACAAAGTACAGGTATCAGCCAAATACAGTATTTAAATAAACAATTTACTCTGGTGGCAGAGAAGCCATCCACAAATACATCAACTTAAGTAATAGTCTTAAGGAATTTTTTTAGCTGCAATATTAAGAGCAGCTGGGTTTTAAATTATTGCAGTGTTTAAGTCTACCCGTCACAACACCCAGTAATTATTAACCAATCAAGTGGTCAACTATTTATAGGAAAATAATATCAAGGCTGTTGGTAGCTGCAACCATACAGGAAGAATACCGTGTACATTAAATATATACTGTACGGTATAAGTACAGACTAATGTTATAACTCATTATAATCTAACCAACACCTTAACTTGTTCCAATAAACTTGCCGTTAGTCTGTTCATCAATGTTAAATAACCCCGCCCTCGTCTTGTTGGTAAACCAGCCAAGGTGCCTGGGAAATTCCTTACTATCCATGTGAAAATGTAAGCAATAAGGGTCGGGTCAGAGGAGTGTCAGGTCAGAGTAGGGTCGAGACAACATAACCAGGCTAAGACCAAAAAATATTAACTAGTGGTGTTACTAAATTTATATTCATTTATTATTGATGTTACGTCTCCTCGTGATGGCCATTTTTGTTGTATTATCCTTGAGTTTTCTTCATCAGCTTAATGTTTACTTGTACAGACACAGTGGCGGAAAAGACGCGCATTTGTAAGCGACAGCGACTATTCTAATATTTAAGACTTATTTTGGAACATTTATTCATTATTTACTCATTTAATAAAATAGGATTTACCGTAAATTGTTTTATTTATCATTTTGACTAAATTTTTTATAAAAACTCCTCTCCAGCCTCAACAACCTATGTAGCTCATTGTAAGAGTTATGATAATACTGTAGCAGGTCGTTCTTAGTTCTAATTTGGGTAATAGTGGTCAATAAAATATCTAATGTACTTTAACGATGCTACAGTATATAAAACAATCTTTCTCATCAGCTACAGTCTTTACCAGATTATTTTTCTCTTCAGATTAAACAAGCTACTTTGTCTGGCCTGATATATTCATTACAGTATAATGAAGTGCTGTAGAAGGACCTGCACAGAGAACACTGCCATGTTATCCAATAACAAAACCGTGAGACAATGATCTGCGGATGAGTGTGACACTTCCATAAGTAAACAGACTAACTGGTTTCCGTAATTACTGTATTTTGCCGGTAATAAAAATGTTCGTAATTTCTTAACCCAAAACAAGACATCAAAATGGCATCAGCTAATACTTTGTTTACAGATATGGATTATTCAGCAAAATTTTGATATCTGTAGCTGGTATCAATTAATTGGTGCATCCAAAGTATTGTACAGTACTAATTATTTCTGATATTTACACTTAAAAAGAGTTAACTAGACAAGGCAGTCCATGTACTTTGTCTAAGAGTTCAGTGAAGGAACCACAATGAGAGATGCCCTGTACTGTACCCAACCTGACTTGTGTTTCTGGTGCAGCAAGAGTCAGGTCTCCAGAGGAACTCTTGGTCACTTCTTGCATCCTCCATCTTCAAATCATCCTGGAATGATGATTACAACTATGTACTAATAAAATAATATACTATACCTACAGGATACTACCTATATGCAGTACAGGCTACATCAATACAGGTATCCCCCAATATACAGTACATATGCCTGATAAACAAGTTTCAACAAATGACTACACTACGTACACAAGCAAAAAACAAATCCCATTTTGATGGGTTTTTTATCAATGTAATGATTTTCCCTCACAGTAACATAACCCCAATAATACTGTAATATATAAATTACTTCGACTTATTGAAAGCATTTCTAGGAACAATATTTTAGTATATTAAGGGACACCTGGAAACTTGTTTACCGAATACATGAAGCATTACACAGCACAACTTGAGCACCAAATATGAAAATTGGAGACAAAAAGTAACAACCTTATTTTTACCATATTTCTTTAATACAGTAGTGATATCACTGAAATTTTGACAAATAAGCTTTGATACAGTGTACAGTATTATGTAGTCATCCCCCTGATTATACTGGTTAACTGCCCCCTACAATGTTTTATAGAACTGTACAGTACTTGATTATTGATGACCATTATGCAAGGAATCTGTTAATGAAAAAAGGTTTTACATTCAAGAACTGTTGGTAAGAGTAAGGGAGACAGTACTAACATTCAACACTTTCTCGATAATTTTCTTTTAAGAATGGTGCAACATTAAAAAACAAAAGTAACTCAATAAAATCCAAGTTCAAATTTTAAGAAACTAACATTCACAATTATGAGTTAGACTAATCCAAGGAATGTGTACAAACATCAACAGGCTGTCATCTCAGAACATTAATTTACAATTATTTACAACTACATCAAGTTCCCTGTAAAGTTTAATAAATATCTCGTAAAAAAATTTAAATTCCACCATTTACAACAGAGGTTATGCACTTTCTTCACTAGGTACAAAGTTCATATAGAATACGAGTACGTACGTACGTACAGTATATTATTTCCCTGCTAACCTGGCCTATAAGCCACGCCCCTCTTTACTAATAGCCAATTGGTTCCCCTGAGCATTTTACCTCCCCCAGACTGTGTATATACTGTAAGCCTGTATTTATATCAACCTTTTATAATATACATTTAACATTTTCTAACATCCTCTCTGAAATGCTAATGACTTCAGATCATTTACATTTTGATAGTCCAGATATTTAACATATTAGATAACAGATCTGCTTACCTGTTGTGAACATTTAGTTGGAATTTTCTATGAACGAATCAGCTATTGGTATAGAAGAAGGGCGGAGCCTACGGGCCAGGTTAGTGTAGAAAGAGTAGTTACCTGCATTAACTATTACTTATAGTTGCCTGTATTGACTGAACTGGGAACAACGTATTGGACAAACTAAGAACTATAGATGCAGGCAAGTTAATAATGCCAAGGTTGACGCCAGTTATTTGTGTAACTTAGGAAGGATCCAGTTACTGTACAGGTGAAGGTACAGCACTTGCAGTGGAAGAAGGATTATGAATATAAATGGCTTAAAATTAAACTAAAGTTAAGAGACTTAATCCTTGTTGGATGTATTTATAGATCACAGAACTACACTTTATTAAGCCAAGCCAGTTTACAGGCATTAATACATAACACAGCATTAAGGGCAACGGACTGGAGGAATGAAATTACACCAAGAAACAGGAATGCAAACTGTTGAATATAGCCAGTTAAGTAAACTATTTGACAAAATAAACTGTATACTCCAGGTCAAACCCACTGACTCAAGAAATACAGAGACCATTCAAGTTGTAGAAAGACTGAGTAAGATTGCCAGTGTGATTCCAAATGAGGTCAAGTCAAAGTTCCTAAAGCTTCCTAGGTGTAGGCATATCAAACCCAAAACAAGATCGTAGTTATGCAGACTCGGATCAGGGCAAGACAGGAGGCGTTAAACAGTGCTCCCAAGAGGCGTTAAACAGTGCTCCCAAGAGGCGTTAAACAGTGCTCCCAAGAGGCGTTAAACAGTGCTCCCAAGAGGCGTTAAACAGTGCTCCCAAGGGGCGTTAAACAGTGCTCCCAAGGGGCGTTAAACAGTGCTCCCAAGGGGCGTTAAACAGTGCTCCCAAGGGGCGTTAAACAGTGCTCCCAAGGGGCGTTAAACAGTGCTCCCAAGGGGCGTTAAACAGTGCTCCCAAGGGGCGTTAAACAGTGCTCCCAAGGGGCGTTAAACAGTGCTCCCAAGGGGCGTTAAACAGTGCTCCCAAGGGGCGTTAAACAGTGCTCCCAAGGGGCGTTAAACAGTGCTCCCAAGGGGCGTTAAACAGTGCTCCCAAGAGAATGCAAGCCTCCATGTGTTTGAGGAGTGACAACACACCTTCTCAGTCAAGTATTAAAACCAATTATCAAAACTAAAGGTACACAGAGCCCTGATGATGAGCTTCCATTGTTAAAAAAAAGTTGTGCAATGAAATTCCTGAGCTCCCTAACTCTTTATGTATAGATGCATAAACAAGGAAAAGTCTCCCAATGACTGGAAAATGGCATTTGTAAAGCCTATATTGAAACTGATGACGTATGAATAATTACAGTGCTGTATAGACCAATGAGTGATCGGCATCTTGTGTAAAGAAAAGCCAATTGGTTTATACCATTGTCCAGCTTCTATGCAGGCAAGGGGGGTTTTAATAGTTTATTTACCTGTAATACGGCATTATCTAGTCTCGTGCTCATAACTAGCAGATGCCCGCCCCACTAGGTCACAACTAAAGGTTAATGACAACTCAAGAAATCTTTAGGCAATTTTTTTTTGAAGAGTTATGAACTGTTGGAGCAATCTGTTGTGACGGCACGGAGTGTGCTGTTTAGTGACTACAGCACAGTACTTGCCAACAGTAACAGCCAGTACTTGCCAACAGTATGTAACAGCCAGTTCATGCCAGTGTGTCCAGGTGCGATCGACCACACCTTGACCCCAGATGCAAAGTTTATGAAGCAGACTTGACATTTCACAATAGAACACGATAATTTTTCGTTAACCACCCATCACCTTTCGACGATTTGTTTCTATTGCCATTTAATAGATCTCGAGAAACTGAAGAACATACTTTAACTTGGTGGCATTCCAAAAATAAACGCGATATTAACGATTTATTTGTGGTAACGAATTTTTTCAAGTCCCAATTTGATGTTATGGTGACAACGTTGCTCTCGTTCGTAAAATACTAAAAATAATACCAAATAAACCTTTGAAAACCTGACCTAACGTGTCCTAACTTGTAAAAATGCTGATCACTTTATGAATCCTTCATCTGAACACCGAAAAAAACACCTAAACACCGAAAACGAATGTAAATTTTCACCTTAGAATTTTTAGAGGTTAGCAAACGTTAGGTCAGGTTTTATAATGGTTGTTTGCGGTTATCTATAGGACTTCACCCCACATGTTCCCTCTTTAAAGCCCTCCTAACTTGTTTCAAGTAATATATTTAGTAATCCCCCCCCCCCCCAGACATCGTTGGGGTGGAAATAAAAAAAAGTGATTTGCCCCCAAAGAATAATGTAAGAACCTTCTAAAACTAAGATGATTAGCGAAAGAAATATATTGTGGGAAAAAAGGTGATGGGTGGTTAACGAACTTGTCTAAGAAACTTACCTCAATGAATAAGGAGGTGCTGTACTACCCACGCTGACGACCACTGATGCAGCAGTGGCCTTTAACAGTAACTGGATCCATCATCTGCAAAGAAAAGATAACTAAATGTTCGTTCATTGACTGTCCTCGGGTTTTGGTACGAAAATAGGGTTTTCTTTACGTTTTTCGGGGTTTCTTTTTTACTAGAATTTGACCTTTATTTCATTCGTAAATATGCTGTTTTTGCCCAAAACAATTATTTTCGTTTTTAACAATGTTAACTTGCACAAAAATGGAGGTCAAATTTGGGTAAAACCAAAACTACACAAAACCCCCAAAACATTCATTTAACCAAAGGAGCCAACCACCCAACCTACCTACCTAACCTGTAAAGAAGATATAATGAGGAGACGACTAAGTGAAGAATATAACCCCAGGTAAACAATGTGGGGACCTGCCGAAAGCCAATGGACCAATATTAACCAAAAATATTAACCAAAAAATATTAAGAGTAACAAGTACTTTAAGTTATATCCTGTAACATACAAGACCAAAGCATACACCAAGTATGAGGAACGTAACTAAAAAATTCACCAAGTCTTAAGTACGGTGACCAAAACTAAACCATATTTCATTAATTTAAAATGTGTAAGCCAAAATAGTAGAGTATTCTCTAAAGTAACTAGTATATACGAGCGTTAACTACCATTAAACTATGGCTTTTCACTAGTTATAATTAACTGTTGCGCATCATAAATATATTAAAAAAAGTCCATTTAAAGTATTTAATTTTAAAATAAATCGGTACAAAATCTACAAATAAATAACCTTAATTATCGACCTTTACAAAAGTATAAATTTAACCACAAAAATTAAAAATAACACTTACTATATTGTACGAACATCGGCGGTGAAGTCAGAGAGACGACCGACAGCACCTCCTCCTTCTGTGTTTCAAGTGGCAATGAAGCGCCACCTGTCACTCGCCTCTAACTAGTCTTTTTCCCGCCAAAAAATTTATCAGAATGAGGAAAATTAAAATATAAATCCAATCTTAATCGTACATACAAGATTTAATGCAAATTTTAGGTTAGATTAATTTATATTGTAGTTTAGAAAATAAACAATAGGGAAAAATTTACGGAAAAATAAATAGAAATATGAATACTGTACAGTACTCCAAATTGTTCAGCTTCGGACTGGCCACGTGTTGACCCAAGACTATAATAAGACAGGAGAGCAAAGGCGAAAACCATGTAAGCCACATAGCATACACCCTGTAGTTGGCCGTGGGATCAACAGATGGCGTAAGTGTGCAAGGCGTGGGTCGTCTGTTTACACGGACATTTTCACCTTTGAGTGGGCGTTACCATCACCCGCACAAAGCAGATCACCCTGAGCTTGTGTTTCACGTTTCTCCCAAAACAGAAAAAGGTAATAGCACCACTGTTTTTATTGTACGTATATTAAGGGAAATAGATAACGTTTGTATTACTACAGCATACTTACCTTGTACAGTAAATGTACAGAATGTACATTTACTGTACAAGGTAAGTAAGGAATTGTGATTTGTACACAGATATGTGTTTTTGCGTGTTATAAATTGATTAAAAACAAGCAACAGTGTGCAGTATAGTATTAGAATGCAGCAAGACCTTCATATTTTATTGTTTTTGGTAGTGGTGTTTGCATTGCATGAGGGATTACTATAAGGGGATTTTGACTGTTTTCTTATATTTACATTATGTACTGCAATATAATGTAGTTAAAATTTTTCTTATATAACAGTACAAATAATTTTGATATGTCACACTATGCTCTCAAATTATGGGATTAAGAAAAGAGACTATTTTTAAGAAAGGGATCATTGATGTTAAACCTCTTTAATTTCTGTGCATCTCATATTGACATCTAATATTAAAATTTCATTTTGTGCAAAATCCGGCCAATTTTTATAATAGTTGGGCAATTTCTTCCTTTATTATTATATGGCATGTACTGTAGACCCCACCGCAAAAAAATCTTGAAATTTTCGATTGACGGATAGTGTGACACGTAACTAATCCGATGGCGTCGTTTCCTCTTTCTTTCAACCGACTAGCAGAAGCAATTTCCGATAAACGGCAGCCTTGACCTCCTGTGGGACACACACACGTGCCTTATAGCCATGACCTCCTGGGGGACACACACTCACACACTTGCTCTACAGCCCTGACCTCCTGGGGGACACATACACATGCCCTACAGCCCTGTCCTCTTTCGGGACACACACATGCCTTACAGCCCTGACCTTCTGGGGAACTGTCAGTTGATTGAAAATGTCCAAAGAAGGGCCATCAGACTGGTGCCTGCGGACTTCGGCATCTCAGCTACCCCGAGAGATTAGAGCTCCTGCAATTGCCTCGCTTATACTACAGACAAGCAAGGGGGGACCTAATAAAGGTGTAAAAGCATCTCAAGGGGAACTACTCATTCGAGTGTCCTTACCTGGAGCTGGCGGACGCTCGCCCCACAAGGGGTCACAGCTCAAGGTTGAAGAAGCCTCAAATCCAGAAAACTGTGAGGGGTAGTTTTTTCGGAGTGAGAGTTGTGAACTCTTGGAACAATCTGCCAAAGATTGTTGTGACGACACCGTGTGAACTCTTTCAAGACCAGATTTGACAAGCACTGGAGCAGGTTCAGATACAATCAGGAGCCAGTGCATGCCCAGTACTTGCCAACAGTGCGTAAGTAATTATTTTCAATACACGTTCTTCCTGTAGTACCTCCTGGGATATAAACACAGTGTGTTGTAACATAACACTTTATTGAAAATGAACATAGAAGATAATCAAGGAAGAGATAAAGTGTGGGAGTGTACACCGACTCTACACCTCTCACGGTATACAGTTAACATTAGCTGTTTATACGGTAGACAGACGTACACACTCCCACACTCCTCCCCCCTACGTTGTATTGATGACATGCTCAAACCTCAAGAGCAATTAAAATTAATGTCATATTCTCGCTTACACATATCCGTGTAGGCTTAAATATCGGCATGCATTTTTACTTACCAGACAAAATATTTCTTTTCTTGAATATAAATTCAAGTATATAAATTCGTGCTATTTTTCAATTCGGTTACAAGTATATTCCTTTCCTATGCACAACCTCACAACATTATTATCAATAACAAATTTAATACCCAGAAATAAAAGTCTTTCTTCGCACATCCACATTTCCGCATATGCATTATTGACCAAATTATGCACTGCAACTATAGTAAACTTCTCAACAATTACACAATCAAATGTAAGATTATCACGCATGAAGTGACGAACTAGTATCCGAGACACTAATTGAATTATTATAATACACGTGCAACTTCCTTTCTTAAGAATTTACACTTAATAGAACAAAGATTGTATTAACAGCGAGTATAGCCATAAGTTCAGTAAACTAGAGCACAGGGATAATTTAGCATGGTACACTAAAACGATTCAGATTTTTTTTTCGTCTCACGACATAATTTGGTAACACCGTTAGTCTATGAAAAGAAAATGCAGACTTGCCATTTGGGAACACATCAACCGAGGGTAATACATATTATTCATTAGCAATGGATTGGCATGCAACCTTCAGTAATGACCTTGAGAAGAAATAGCAATCGATTCGGAAACACCAATTACTTGACATTACACTACACTACTGTATCACTTATTCACACTTTTTTCGGAAAACAGTTTGCAAAAACCGAGAGACGCCTGTGGCTATCTCAGATTTGTAAGCAATTTTATATACAAACTCCATATGTGATGAAGATTTCAGGAAGACTGAAACCATTTTCCCATTAATATACGAGTCAATACAAATGATGGCAAAAAGAAGTGTTTGCCACCACAGTGATCTACAACCATGGCTGCCTAACGATACAGATTTAAGAATACCAAAGAGTGATATTATAAGTAATAGACGAGACCCAAAAGCGTCTACTTGTTAGCTCGAGTTTAAGACCATGACTATTCGCCAGTACAGTATATGTTTAGGAATATATTTTTAAAAGCATATCCAGCACTAGCTGATGTTTAGTTGTGCTAAGCCATCTTTTGATTCACGTTAATTAATAAATTACAAGTGTGACGACGTCAAATAAAGACAAATATACATTAATATATTTTTGTTGAAAAACAATGAAAACTCGAGTCATTTATAATTTTACGGAAAAGCATTTATAGAATCCAACTTGAGTACCTTATTGGTAGCTCATGGCCAGAAATATTAACAAGAGGACGAACAGTGAAAGTTTAAGTAGGAAATGTGTCACATGTTATTTTATACTACTTTCTTCTCGTAACTGTAGTGGCGCACAACAAGGCACTACACTAATGTAACCAATCCTAATTTTCCTGTTCCTAAATAACGCGATTCACCATCTAGAAACAACTGAGAAGACATGAATAACTTTTCAAAATAGAAGGAGTCTTTTTTATTTGATAAAAATGTAGTAGCAAAAGTATTCATCATTTACTTTCTAACAAGAAAAATTTCAATTTGTTTCTTTACAGTACATTGTTGATGCTTTGTGTATAAAGCAATTAAGGAATATAAAGATTCTTGTATCAGAGAAACAGCCAAGGTTTGGGCGTGTTAAATTAGGGGACTGATAATACTGAAGATCCACTGTGAGTACTTGGAGCTTCTGAAACACGTACATAGTTATAAAAGTTTTATAATTTACGGTTGAAATTGTATGATATCGAAGAGCATTGTGGCTGTAATGTATGCGATAACAACACATAAAATCTAGCACGAGATAACTACAAAATCAGGTAATACAGGTTTGTCTGGGGCAAGGAACATTTATCACGAAGATGTTTACAGAATTTCCTTGAGAGGATCTTTCTTTGTATCATTGTTGTCATAATAGGTTCACACAATTATTGACCTGGTACTTCCCTATAACACATTTTAACCTAAAGTAATAAAAGAACACAAAAATATTGAGGTATTACTTCAAAAAGATACATATGTAAATCTGAGGACGAAAGTAACGGACAATGACGTTGGAAAATAAAGGTCTATGGAGGTGACGTCGGTGAAGTAAGAGAATGAACGTGGCACGAGCTTGCTGGGTCAAGTTCACCCAAAACAAGTATCATCTCTTGCTGTAAGCACTTTACCACTGAGCCCGGAGTGTGGTCCGGACTTAGTGAACTAATCCTCTTGAGAGTGTGGCCCAAGAGCATCCAACTGAATATCTGACAGTGTGGTCCAGAGGAAGGTAATTGAATACGTACCGGCGTTGCCCAAGTTCAGCTACAGAAGTATGTGGGTCAATAACCCGGACACATCTAGCTGACTGTCTGGGGATGTGTTGTTACCTGCACTAACTGAATGAGTACAGGGTAAGAGGCTGGGTGTTGCTAATGGTTAGATCCTTAACTTTACCGAGTGGGACAGGTCTATATTACAGACATTATGACTCTCCTATTGTGATATCTCCAGATGAACTAAATGAAACGTATGATCCTGCGCTTCTATATCAGTAGTGTGTTTACAGTATATGACGTCATTATTCATATGCAGAAAATTAAGAAAAAATCTCCATTTCACAACATCTGTTTGGTCTGTCCTCGCCGCGTCAACAGCTATTCCGGGTATGTTTCTTAGATTACCACAAAAATGCACACTTTGCACGTGTGGATGCCACTACGCAACACATTACTGATACACACTACAAAATACATATCTAGTGTCGTTTCATACATTCACAAATTTTATATTACTATACTTATACTTTTGTATTATATTACGACCAAAGAACAATGTACACAGTTGTCTTACAAAATGGTAAAGGCGAATGTCAAAATAAAAGGAAGCCCAATGAAGCACAATCTGCACATGCCAAGCCACGAGGAGCGGATTATGGCTTGTGACGTGGTGAAGGTGGTGACGAAGGTGACAAGGTTGAAGTTATGAGGGAGTAGTGGTGACAAGGCAGTTGTGGTGGGCCTCTGGTCTCCAGGCGGGTGTGACGACGGCCTTCACTTCACCAGCCAGATGATAGTGCCGGGAGATGACCAGGGATGGTGACTGCCACCTCACACCTTCTGATATATTAGTGAGCCGTCATCAGTGAAGCGACCTGGGAGGAGGAAGCTGTGTTAGTACAATACCTTCAAGTCGTTGATTCAAACTCTCTTCAGTGATATAATTCTCATCACCACCAGCCAACACGCTTGGGGGGTGACCTTGTCCTGTATATAGTTCAATATGACTGACACATTCGAACACTATGCTTGTCATCAATGAGACACATGTAGTCTTGTCCAAGTACATGTTTCCTCTTTAACAACACCCCCACACTTGCCTGGACCTCCACATCCTCTGTCTCGATCATCCTCTTCTACCTTTCATATTTCTCAGCCCCTGTCCGCCGTGTGTAACTCTTCACAGCTCTAGTAAACTTTCCTCTTTCCTCGCTGAATTTCCTTCTCAATTTCACACTTTCTAACTGTCTTTCACATTACGCTCCTTTAATCTTAGATCTCACTACACTGTTGCTATCCCTCACCTGTACCTGCCTTCTCTTACTCTATAAAATTCTATTACAATATTTAGCAGCTCATCTATCACCTCATCCACCTAAATGATATCATTCCCATACGCCATTTCATTTTCAGCCTCCATCAGTCAAGACAGTGGTGTAAAAATAGATATAAAACAGTTAATTCATTATACACATGTCTTTTACAATAATTTTGACTTGGGGGGGGAAAACATCAACACCACCTTGATTGTTTGAGTGTAAATCCCCTACTTCCTCGACATAAAACTTTCACTACTTTCGTTAAATTTCTTCTTATTTGAGACCTATTATATGGAATGTGGACAATACACTGTATACTGAGCCTCGATACATAAGAATACCGTGTTGCTGGCTTTGCATTCGGTCGCCTTTACTTCCCAATGACAGATACTGCATATATAATAGTAAATAGCTAGGTTGATTAGGCGTCTCTCAGGTACACACCAGTGAGTGATCCTTAGGACGAGAGATAAGCGCTGTATCCACTCATCCACTGCACCATAACTATGCGAGCTGGGTATTGTATTCGACAAAGTAAAGTTAACCAAAGAGAGAGCAGCCCCGACAACATATCATGGCTCACCGCGGAAGAAGTGTCATGAACCATCCTTTTTTAAGTACACAAACATGAAATAATACAGAAAATACTCTATCAAATTTTAACTCTTTGTTAAAAATTGAGATCATGCATGGAGGGAGGGGGGGAGGGGTCGGCCTTTACCTTGTCCGGTCCCAGAATTAGAGGGGCGGTATGTAGCCTATGTTAGTCCTTAACCAAAATTAAAAGCACTTACACAAAATAATCACACTAAATTTCAGCTCTCAGCGTTAAAAACTGAAGTAGTGCATATCAGATGAGTAGCAGTGCAATTATTTTAGGAGAAAAAATTCTTTATCTCAAATACGGTCCCTAGTAACTGTCACACCATGTGTTCTGTGGCAGTCCTCTCACCTATTTCTTCCAGCTCATTAATGCTGGGCCACACGATGTTTCTGTGTGCTGACATATTCATGGGGAATTACGGTATTTAGAATTAGATATGGCATTGTCTAACAAAATATATTGATACCATTTATATTTTAATTCCGTTTCAGCTGTGATGTTTTATTCGAAATTGAAATTCACTACATTATAGGGAAGTATAAATCCCGGCCTGAAAAAGTGATATTTAAAAGGGAAGAGTTAATAAGCCATTGTCAGACAGAAAATTGAAATCCAAAAAGATATTCTGAATTAGAATAAATTAAAAAGGCTCAGAAGAAATAAAACTCCGAGACTAAGTGACCATACTTAGGTTATGAACCCTTTAGAGCATTGTGTCTGCTTGTCCCTTGGTGTGGCTATGACGTTAGAAGCTCAGTCTCTACTAAGGTGTAAATTTATCAAATGGTCAAGCTGTTGACCACCTGATGTAACAGAAATTTATATTGACTGATACATTTCTTGGACCCATCAGCAAGCATCGAATAAATATAAACTACAATTAGAGAAAATCAGTCGTGTCTTCTATACTCTCTGAAGAAAATTACTACCGGGTTACTGCATGCATTATCACCAAAACATAAATATGGTTGTCAGATTAAGTTGTAGATTAAAGGCATTACCTGTCTACTGAACATGTAAGTTGTTAATGAACACGTGAGTAACAATATTTAGTTAGAATGGAAATCGAGTCAAAAAGGCATATGTGTACAGTTACACAAACACAATTATGGAAATTACAACCTATGAATTGAGAGGACGCCACCAGTACATATCCCTGAGAATAACGAAAGGATATTTTTTTTCACTGAACTAGTAGCCAGAGCGATAGACACTCCAGACATATGTGAGGTCCTCCTCCCAGGCTGTACAGGTCCTCCCCCCCTCCCGGCTGCCCTAGGGGAGGACCACCACTAGTCTCCACAACCCCGGGTCGCCAGCGTCTTTACACCATGATAGCATTGCTCCCACATCATGCAATTTATCCCAGACGTGTATCACTTTGATCGACACAGTCTTTTATGGAGAATGGCAGTGTGGAAGGTATTATGCAGAACTATCCAGACAAACTTGAATATCGTAGAGAGGGTTGTGAAGAGTGGTGGAGACGCCCCCAAGGCAGTTTTGTATACAAAGACAGCATAGAAGGTATCAGAAGTACCTTTCCAGACAGCTTTGTGTACATGGGCTAGGTGTGTACTGGCGGCGCCCTCAGGGGGGAGGCACACTGTTACCTGGCGAGAGAGTTCAGGTGCGCGGCGCTGGAGGAGGCCTTTGATGTCTCGGGTTCGTTACCAGCGATACCGAACTGAGCAGGTCGATAGCTGTAAGATTCAAAAGCTACACTGGAGAATGCTTCCACCTTTATATCACACACGAATATAATTTTCTCATGTTGTTTGCTCTATAAAACTACAACAACTATATTGTTCTAGGAACTGTACGAAGCATAAGAAATTGTTATTAAAGCAATTATTTTCCCCTAATTTAACATTACTCCAGATCCAAAAGCATACCTTTGCAAGATATAGCTACACGAAAAATCTATTATACCTCCACGTAACAGTTACTGGTCATATATATAAAGTAATGTGGAAACTGAAACGCTATCAACCAATAGGAAATCATACATATTGAAAATCCTCTTAAAGGGCACAGAATCCGTAAAGATAGCAGCAGTGCCTTAGGAGAACACGCCGACTGCCCCAAACACTTATCGTCAACACTACACTCTGCAAAGAAGGTAGAGTAACCATATCCTTGCACTTTCCAGATGGTTTGAATAACTCTTCTAGTTCTGGTGTGCAGCGGTGAAGCTATGGCCGCCTCAACTAGACCTGGTAACTCCGTCAGGAAAATGTGCTAGTGGTGGAGGACGTCATCACAGTTAAACAACTCCACGGTCTACTGCGAATCCCTTTTCAAATATGGACGATAGCTGTACGTGTATAGGTAACGCTGATCTCCCTGAATCAACTCAAGAAACGAACGGGGATCTCTTACGTGTCTTACGGAGTCTGAAAGATCTCTACTAATCTCACATGCAGGCGTCAGAAAAAATACTCACACTCGTCGTCAAAAGCGGTGATTATTTAACTTTATGGGCATGATTCCCAACAAAATATTCGAGACAGTAATGGCTGAAGATGTTCACACCTTAGAAACAGAATTTATGCAAATATTAACGAGCAAAGTTTAAAGATTTAACAGTCGGGCAATGATGACGAAAGTTGGGATCAGCAATGAAAGAGCTCGAATACCGCCACCATCAGCAAGACCGATTTAGAATACAATAACATTCAACTGGAAACACGGCCATAATTATGTTATATAACAGCCACAGTCAATCTGGAAGGCAATAATATTAATTAAGGAAGACGACCATAAGTACTTCAGTATACAGCTTTAGTCAGTCAGGAATATTACAATTATTTACTATTAATAACGGCTATACTAAATAATGAACCAAACAAGACACAGATCCTTTGAAACTGAAGGTAAGCCGATAAGACGATGCCATACTTATTCCTGGCAAAACGTCGGTCATAACAAGTGGATAGAATACTGTGTGACAGGTTGTGATGATACATAAACACACTAAGGCTGAACTTTCCTCCTCACTGCAAGAAACTATGAAAAACACAAGGAAAGAACAAAGAACTTTTAAGAACTCCTGTAACTTGAAAGAAGAATATACGGTCTTAAAACTTGAAACATCTGGAGAAGTTTTGCAAGACACTAAATTTATTTTTGAGAAACTTTCAATAACTCGTAAAAGTATGACCTGAAAATAATAATGATGATGTCTGAAAGAAACCGAATGACACTGAAAACATGACAGATTTTTACCTGTCAAATTTCTAATATTACAACACTGGTGGATCGTAAAATACAACAGTGAAAGATAGCAAAGGAAAAATGGGAGTAAGTAGTGAAGAAAAAAAAGTTGGATGTCATCGATTTGATTTTTAAATTGACAACAAGACATCATGACTTTTTCACGTCTAATGTTCTTAAAACAAATGTAAGGAAATCAAAGTATTTTATTTGAGTTCAGATGAGGAGTAAGTAAGAACTGCCTAAATCTGATGAACTCCATGAGCTCGTGTTTTCATCCTCAATATCCAAGACAAGAGCCACAGTCTTAGGCCTATGGCAAAGAGCCCACACTGAGGTCTAAACACAGTCTTAGGCCTATGGCAAAGAGCCCACACTGAGGTCTAAACACAGACTTAGGCCTATGGCAAAGAGCCCACACTGAGGTCTAAACACAGACTTAGGCCTGTAGCAAAGAGCCCACACTGAGGTCTAAAACAAAGACCCCACTTAAGTCTAAAACAAGGAAGTAAAGGTTGAAGATTAAAATAAAGGACCACAGACTGAGGTGTAAGACAACAACTACAGACTGAGGTGTAAGACAACAACTACAGACTGAGGTGTAAGACAACAACTACAGACTGAGGTGTAAGACAACAACCACAGGCTGAGGTGTAAGACAACAACTACAGACTGAGGTGTAAGACAACAACCACAGACTGAGGTGTAAGACAACAACTACAGACTGAGGTGTAAGACAACAACTACAGACTGAGGTGTAAGACAACAACTACAGACTGAGTGTAAGACAACAACTACAGACTGAGGGTGTAAGACAACAACTACAGGCTGAGGTGTAAGACAACAACTACAGGCTGAGGTGTAAGACAACAACTACAGGCTGAGGTGTAAGACAACAACTACAGGCTGAGGTGTAAGACAACAACTACAGGCTGAGGTGTAAGACAACAACTACAGACTGAGGTGTAAGACAACAACTACAGACTGAGGTGTAAGACAACAACCACAGGCTGAGGTGTAAGACAACAACTACAGACTGAGGTGTAAGACAACAACTACAGGCTGAGGTGTAAGACAACAACCACAGACTGAGGTGTAAGACAACAACTACAGACTGAGGTGTAAGACAACAACTACAGACTGAGGTGTAAGACAACAACTACAGACTGAGGTGTAAGACAACAACTACAGACTGAGGTGTAGACAACAACTACAGACTGAGGTGTAAGACAACAGCACAGGCTGAGGTGTAAGACAACAACTACAGACTGAGGTGTAAGACAACAACTACAGACTGAGGTGTAAGACAACAACTACAGACTGAGGTGTAAGACAACAACTACAGACTGAGGTGTAAGACAACAACTACAGACTGAGGTGTAAGACAACAACTACAGACTGAGGTGTAAGACAACAACTACAGACTGAGGTGTAAGACAACAACTACAGACTGAGGTGTAAGACAACAACTACAGACTGAGGTGTAAGACAACAACTACAGACTGAGGTGTAAGACAACAACTACAGACTGGTGTGCAAGACAGCAACTACAGGCTGGGTGTAAGACAGCAACCACAGGCTGGTGTAAAGCAGCAACTACAGACTGGGGTGTAAGACAACAACTACAGACTGAGGTGTAAGACAACAACCACAGACTGAGGTGTAGACAACAACTACAGACTGAGGTGTAAGACAACAGCTACAGCCAACAACTACAGGCTGAGGTGTAAGACAACAAGACAACACAGCTACAGGCTGAGGTGTAAGACAACAACTACAGACTGAGGTGTAAGACAACAACTACAGACTGAGGTGTGACAGGCTGGTAAGACAACAACTACAGACTGAGGTGTAAGACAACAACTACAGACTGAGGTGTAAGACAACAACCACAGACTGAGGTGTAAGACAACAACTACAGACTGAGGTGTAAGACACAACTACAGACTGAGGTGTAAGACAACAACTACAGACTGAGGTGTAAGACAACAACTACTACAGACTGAGGTGTAAGACAACAACTACAGACTGAGGTGTAAGACAACAACTACAGACTGAGGTGTAAGACAACAACTACAGACTGAGGTGTAAGACAACAACTACAGGCTGAGGTGTAAGACAACAACTACAGACTGAGGTGTAAGACAACAACTACAGGCTGAGGTGTAAGACAACAACCACAGACTGAGGTGTAAGACAACAACTACAGACTGAGGTGTAAGACAACAACTACAGACTGAGGTGTAAGACAACAACCACAGACTGAGGTGTAAGACAACAACTACAGACTGAGGTGTAAGACAACAACTACAGACTGAGGTGTAAGACAACAACTACAGACTGAGGTGTAAGACAACAACTACAGACTGAGGTGTAAGACAACAACCACAGACTGAGGTGTTTACTCAACTTACAAAAATCTCAACTCAGGTTTTATAGAGGTCTACTGTGTGTCTCTATGTCACAAGACTGTCATAATTATTTAGACGTAAACAGTAAAATGAAAATGAAGACCAGCAATGACAGCATCAAAACACATGGAAGGACTTGTATACAAATATAATAGTTCTTTCTGTACCTAATCTGATGTTTCTCGTGTGTACCAATTATATAATGAAGGTTTGACTTTGCAGAAATATTTACTTGTAGATAAGATCTGGTCAGTTTTCTAAAGTTTATTTATATACAACAATGATCGTACAAATAATATGGAAAAGGTATAAATCAGAAAGAAACTTCTATACCTGTATGGCTATGTAAATATTCTTATAATTAGTATTACTTCAAAATTACCATAAGCATAGCAATGTATGTGAAATTTCAAATGTTGACGATCTTCACTACATTTTCTATAGGAACACAAGCAATACAAAGATTACAACAAGATACACGGTGCATTTTTCACAACATTTAACCTGCCTCCTGAACAAGAGAACATGCAACATATACTATGGAGCTACAAGTGAGGCAGGTCAACTTGTTGAGTGACTGCTCATCAGCTACAACATGCAATGGGTAGCTAGACAAGAGCCGATAGAGCCATACTAGCCTACGTGAATATGTTAAAACAAGCAAAATAAAAGGACCAGTGACCATAGTGTGAAGCTGGTCATATGCTGACTCTCTACTGTGCTGCAACATAAGAATAAACCAATTAATAAACTACAGGGATATTCGTGATTTCAGATATGTGGGTTCACTGCCCAAACATAGTGCTACAGTCTTTCAGCTTTCATAAGAAGTTCTTCATACTTTCACGACCGACAGTTTGCAATGCTATTACCTAGATATTTCCTGACAGCCATATCTCTCAACCTTAATTGTATCCTCCATTATGAACTGAAAAAATACAGGACTGGGTAAGTTAGTGATCTCGATAGTCAATTTGAAGTGTAATTTACGATGACCACTTGAAATTAAACAGCAAAATTGTATATGCAGAATTATACAAACTAACATTACCAACTACATGATTACTGAACTATGCAACTACCTGTACTACTATTATTGATCGTATACAAAGTTATTACAATCTTTCAGACGTTAAGACGGACATGGGTGATCTTATTTGCTCAATTCGATGGCGGGTACAGGAAAATGTGTCACCCAGATGATTAATGTTGACAAATAAAAGCCATAGATGACATACAGGAATGTTCAGTATACACAGACATTAATCATAATGAAATAAAAGCACGTGTGTAAGGAATGTGATAAAAGTTAGTAAACAAGGCTAACTCGCATTCTTGAGAGAATACTCAACAAAAGTTATCAGCTTGTAATAGGTGAATTATAACATGTACCATTCACCAGCATCCAGTGATGGGTCTCTCAACAGTGAACTGACGAAAATGACTGTGTGTTAAGTTGGCTTCCTCAGTCACAATAGTTTGCATAAATCATCAGGAACTTAACTTTTTCCTCTCGTGGTTCATGATAACAGACGTCGGCTTTTCGCTAAATACGTACCAATCTCTTACCATAAATAATGGATACAAAGAGCAATACCCGGTTTTAGTTTTTAAAAGATACGTTTCATTCTATAACGAACAGCTGGACAAATTAGTCACCTAACTTAAACAACAAATAGCTGCGTTAATAAGTTACCTTCTTTTAACAACAAACAGTTTAGTTAATAAGATGTGTTCTTGTTAAAACAAATAATCCGGTTAATTAGATGCTTGGTTTCCACCACATCGATTAGTAGTCACTATGATGACATACTGAAATCACAAATTATAAAACAATTGTAGGTTCTGAGGAAAACTACGCTACTTAACCAATATGCGATAGACAGCTGATATATACAGTATGTACAGAAAGGAAGACTCAAGACTGTGGCCAGGTGGTGTTGGCGCCTACCGGTTAAACTAAGGTCTCCGTCTGGCCAACTAGAGAAAGGTCACAATTATTAGTAAAGCTTTATGTTATCATTATGTTGTTATTATTATTAAAATAAGTCATACCATTTTCTAAGTACAGTGTAATTAGTATATTTTACATGTGGATGAAAAGGCATGTCTGCACCTGCACGGTATATGCTCTTACACTACACAGATCATACTGGTTAAGGATATCTGCCAAATGGTGAAAATTTATATAAATTTTTATCTTGAACAAAAGACGAATTTATTTTATATATATCAACAGTAAAGTTAATTAATTATAGATAAATAGTTTAATACTAAAGTAACAAATCCTGATTTTACCGATGCAGGTAATTTAACAATTACGTAAATTTACCAATAACAGGTGAATTTACCTGTGACAGACTAAATTACTATATGGCTTTTCATCCTGATAGAAATTATAAATAAGTTTGAGTGTGTTTGTGTAAGTAAACATTCATATACAAAAACAATCAGTAAGACAAAGGGAACAGAATATAATATTATGAAGCTGTTAAATTTGTTTTATCCAATCTTTGGAAAAATTGTCCATTATCATAATTCTAGAATTGTAAACGTTACAATAAACTTGTGTTTATAGCATTTAAAATAATTATGTGTAATAAATCTTAACTGAATAATACATTAAAATCAGTGCAGTTAGGATGATGAGAAAAGAATGATTTGAGTTGTGGCGAACGAAAAGAATCTGAATGTCTTGGTTTTCTGTGAGACAAAGTTTTCTCAACCTTGTCTTTCACATAATAAACATGACGAGATTTTCGAATCTGCGTCAGTATTAGGCATTTGTTTTGTTACAAGCGGAATCTTGGATGTTTTTATACAATTTTAGTCCGGTGGTGGATACCAAGCTGGCTTTTCGGATTTTAAGGATCAAACAGGGATAAAAAATTGCAAATAAAAATAAAACCATTTCAATCTGTAGACAGCAAATATAAGTCATACAGAATGTTAAGTTTTTAATAGACACACTTTGTATTATTTTCCATTTAATCAGAACTTATGCCTAACAATCATACAGGCTGTAACATGCGTCTAGATTAATTTGGTGGGCAAAATGACAACAATAGATACCATTCTTATGTCCACCAAGAGAAGTTGACGTTTCTTGATTCACATTTCACAAATTCAGTCTTTTTGTCGTATAAATTCTATCAACTCTACACTTTTCCATCATCTTCTGCCCAAATTATCAGTTATTCAAATTGATTATGGTTTGATTCAGACACACAGCCTAAAATGTCTGACGTAAGGATTGTCCATAAAGTTTGTAGTAACGTAATGTTGTGTACCATGAGACCCTTTTTGTAAGTTTTTCCAACAAACACATTCTCGACATCAGGACCAAGCAAGCCACTTTCTACCTAAGCCTCTGTCAGTTCATAACCATTCATATTATATAATGGTATGATATAATATTAATGTTATAGAGGGTCACAATGGGTCATTTAATATTGTTTTTTCAGTACAAGGTCAAAGGTAACTTAAGATGACAATTTAAATCAGCCTAAGAAATTTCAAATTGATCGTATTAATTTTACTTATAATTTGCCACCAATTAGAACCTGTTAATAACAGAGAAGACGTCACGTAGTGGTCATTTTAACTCCTAAAGTTAGTGGTCCAGAAGGCATTTTTCAGCTTAGTATCCATCAATGGCTTCAACATATCCAAATTATGTAAAAAAACACAAAATATCACATGTAACACGAAATGCCTCTTACTTAAGTAGAGCACCTTTTCCAAAATCCAATCTTGGCTATAACCAAAAAGTGTGCAGGTGATGAATCTGGGGTGTTGTGAAGAGTCAGAATTAAAAAATAAGGTTACAATGAGGCAAGAGAGAAGGGTGTGTGAGTGGCCGTATGGGAGAGCTTCCGGTAAGACCTGGATCACTGTGTATAACTGCGAGGTAAAAAAGGAACTGACAGGGAATTTAAGTGTGGGAATATATGATGGAGATGGTGAGGGTAGTGTGAGGATGGTGAGGGTAGTGTGATGATGGTGAGGGTAGTGTGATGATGGTGAGGGTAGCGTGAGGATGGTGAGGGTAGTGTGAGGATGGTGAGGGTAGCGTGAGGATGGTGAGGGTAGTGTGAGGATGGTGAGGGTAGTGTGAGGATGGTGAGGGTAGTGTGATGATGGTGAGGGTAGCGTGAGGATGGTGAGGGGGTAGTGTGAGGATGGTGAGGGTAGTGTGAGGATGGTGAGGGTAGTGTGAGGATGGTGAGGGTAGTGTGAGGATGGTGAGGGTAGTGTGATGATGGTGAGGGTAGTGTGAGGATGGTGAGGGTAGTGTGATGATGGTGAGGTGAAGACAGTGTGAGGATGGTGAGACAGTGTGATGATGGTGTGATGATGGTGAAGACAATGTGAGGATGGTGGGTGAGGATGGTGAGGGTAGTTTGAGGATGGTGAGGGTAGTGTGAGGATGGTGAGGTGAGGATGGTGAGGGTGGTGAGGGTAGTGTGAGGATGGTGAGGGTAGCGTGAGGATGGTGAGGGTAGTGTGAGGCTGGTGAAGACAGTGTGAGGATGGTGAGGGTAGTGTGAGGCTGGTGAAGACAGTGTGAGGATGGTGAAGACAGTGTGAGGATGATGAGGACAGTGTGATGATGGTGAAGACAATGTGAGGATGGTGAAGACAGTGTGAGGATGGTGAAGACAGTGTGATGGTGACAGCTTACCCATGCTCTCATCGCCATATTCTGCGAAGTCATCATCGTGGGATGCGAAAGAGTCAACACTCTGTACAGTCTCCTGCCGCTTCATCATAGCTGCCAGTTGTCTGCAAGTACGTACAGTATATTGATTAATAAACCAGGCGTCTTGCTACACACACACAAACAGACACAAACTCACACACAATCATTCACAGACACAGACACACATATACATACATACATACATACATACATACATACATACACACACACTCATTCACAGACACAGACACACCCACAACAGATAACAGAGAAGAGAACGAAACACTGGTACTTACACGTGATACCAAGACTTCCTGTTCTCTCTGAGTAGCGTGGAATATAACAGAAATACTCATTACTGGTATAATATTGCTTGCCACATATACGTGATGCTCATAATATATATTTATAAACGTGTGTGTGTCTGTGTGTGTGTGTGTGTGTGTGTGTGTTACGCTAAATAGAGATAATCACCGATAAGCTTTTAAAAACTGGTTAAAATTGACTGAAAATACCCTGTAGTTTGGGTAAAGTTTGGGTATACTAAGTTACATTAGATCAGGTTACGTTAAGTATAAAGCTATTCCTTGACACGTCTTGTGATCACCTACATGTAAACAACATCCTAAATGATTCAGTCAAGTTAATGATTTACATTAAGTTGCTTCAATGAAAATAAAATGTTATTGATATTTGGCCAAAACGTCAGTTCCTATTTAAGCTTAACCTGTGATTATAATACGTGGTTACTTGCTGATAATTATCAGCAAGTAACCACGTAGTCATATACTGTACATAAGATATATAAACAAAATTTCCTTCACATCTTACAGGGGTAAGTGAGGGAAAATCGGTATAAGCGAGGAACGTGACCGAGGTGCACCACGCGCCCCCATACGCTATATTTACTCGCCAGCAGCAAGAGATGGTGAAGTTAGCACGGCACGCCAGCCATGCCCACGTTAACGTGAGCCGAGGAGTTGGTGGCTGACTCATCAGTTTACGAACATAGCAGGTGCCCCTCGTTCTCTCTTCAAGACTTGTTATTACACGACTCTATTCATCATCAGAGTTAATTTTTTAGTAAGATCAGGTGAGACCCCCAGTCACTTGGACGCGGTATGGTTACACTCAACAAATAAACTTTACTTAAGTGTAAATCATATCAAGATGCTTTCATGTTTAGATCTTTAATGAAGCATTGCAAAATGTAAGATCAACACACACTCAACAACTACCAACAGTTATAATAGTTCTGATGAAACGGTCTTAGAGTGAACACTAGACAAGGCTGGTATTGTATCTTGAGCGAATGAACATTATAATAACATTTTGAAAATTCTCATGTAAACGCTTCAAGTATTGTACATCTTACATCACCTTCTGGCGTAGCTTTGTCCACCTAACGCCGCTCTGAACTGAACCGTTCTGCTTCATAATCACTGAAGAACTATGGTCAGTGACGTGTGTACCTTCAGGTGTACCTACATTACATATGTAATGTACCTTCATGTGCACCTATATTACACGAATACCTCCATGTGTATCTACATAACATATGTACTTCCATGTGTATCTATCTACATTACATGGATACCCACATTATATGTTTATCTATATACCATGCACAGTACACCTGCATTATGTATGTACTGTGCCTCAATCACACGAGTACCTACATCACCTGCGTACCATATAACCTGTGAAAATTTGGTCACAGACAACGGCTATATATAGTTGACTGGTCACCCACACTCATCTTGTGAGCGGTAGCGCAAAATTATTACAGAGCAGAGGTCACGAACGTTCTTAGTAGTTAGGGTGTTGTGGCGAGTGTTGTAGAGTATTTTCAATGCATAGTCTCAATATATCAGCTATCTTACCATAGAAAATGAAATGTGTCATTGCCCACACACAGAATGCGTGGACCTGTCCCTGCAGGATTCTATTTTCTCTAGTCTAGGATGTACACTACAGTAGTGTTCGAGTGTGTGGCCATATGCTCAGCCTAACACTACGTTTCGCATTGTTTACATGTGTGAGAGGGCATATTGCCAGAAGTATTTATACAGTGACATCTACGATAAACTGGAATTGTTACTTGCTCCATATGTACTGTACATGTTTCATTTGACACATATTTTCGTGGTACAGTATTGACTGATTAGTGTCTATTTACAATCGTCAGTTTGCTTCGATATTGCCAACAACTTCTTTCCTAATTACAGTTTTGAAGTCCTAGATTATATTCATCAGTGTCTTTGTTAGACGCGAGTTTATTCGGGGCTTCAACTCTGTCACGTTTACCAAGGTCTGACACCCTCATCAGCAAAGCATTTATCATAATAGGAGAGGTGCTGTATCATTATTAGTAGCAATAGTACCGTAGTGGTAGTAGTAAATAATAATAAGAATATAAAGAAGGAAGATCTCTCTAGTCTTATTACACAAAATATGAAGACCATTATACCCGCTGAGGGAAGATTCTACTCGATGACCTGCCGATTAATCTTTCATCAGTCTGAGAACGAATATTCTCTGCCACCCAAACAAGTATTTAATTTCCATGAATTCATTAATGTGGCAAATCATTCGTGTTGTTGGTTGACTAACATTTCATAATCCATTTCATCGTCGTTCTTTCGTCAATTTCTAGTTGATGGCCGATATTACTGATGTCCAATTCGTTGTAGTGCAATATCAGATTTTGAAATTATCTTTCAATTTTGCTTCTCCGATCGCTTATATATTACCTAAAGTTTTCAGAGGACGTGTGGGGTGAATTCAGCATGTTATATATATTTTATCAGGGCACCAACTACTCATGGGGAGGAGGATGTGAAACTTTACTTAAAGGTCGGCAATACAATGTTTATAGGGAAGCCAATACTCGTTTTTGACCGACTGTGAATGGTTGGGGAAGTGAAAAGAATCGAGAGTTGTGCCAACCTCTTTGTGTATCGACAAGGTTTTGGCATCCTTTACAACGGCCAGGGAATATTATATCAAACACTTTCAAACGATAATATCACTACAAAAAAGCATCGCATATATTATCACGCCGCAAGATGTTGCAACCAATTGAAGAAATATTATGCTATTCAATTCAGAAAGTGAAGTGGAAATTGATTTTATTTTATATTGTACTCGCTCCAAAAATTATCTTTACAAATTCGTGTGAGATAATAATTATGACACGACAGACTAAGGATTTTGACAACTCTACCGAGACAAGAGTATCTACACGGTATAACTAAGAACTAGGACAATAATAGACTTACTTCCGCTGGTAATTGGCAGTCATCTCCTCCTCGACGGCTTCTTCGGGTGCTGGCTTGGCGGCCTCTACATCAGCTTCTTTTTTGATAGGCTCTGGCTCTGATGGTTCATAGCCTTCATATAGCGCTGCCCGTAGCTCCCTTACCCGCGCAATGCTGGAGGTCACAAACATCAACATACAAACAGGTGTTTATCAATATTTAATAGGTTATGTATTATCTAACTCTATTAAGCCTATATTGTCACGACAGATCCATCTTGCAAAACATCGTAAGTTCTCTTGTTCTCATCCTAAACACACACAATATGCCTCAAACATCACACCACCTTCACTTCTCGTCTTGTCCCCAGCTTTTCTCTCTCTCCTCACTAAAGTAAACTAGTATTTCAACATTCACTCGGTCTACGGTGAGTCTCAGTGGTCTATACCCATTTACAGCGGGGTGAACTGGGTACTAATTAACACTCTATAAACTTACATCATTAAATATCTGGAGCCACGAAGCCTAATTAAGAAGAAATTGGATGTAAATATGAAAATTATGAAGAAAAAAAAGAGTATAATAACCTCAATAAAACTGAATTCAAGATATGACAAAAACTGGAATAAGTGCAGATACGAAAGAAAACAAACCATTGATATGTGACAAAGGAGTTGACGAGTGTTATGATGATCAGAGGAAAGAACAACGAGAAGACAAGGCAGATTATTGAAAAAGAATATGAAGACATTCCTCCATCCCTGTGTGTGTGTGTGTGTGTGTGTGTGGACATGTCAAATATAAATAATTTCTAAATAGTAAACCCTAACCATCTGCGGGCGTTATATTCCTGGAAACAACAACGAATGGTGAAGCAAAAGGGTTAGGTGACTAGCAGACAAGATAACTCCTTAATATATTCTATAAATGTGTATAAAACAAAGCCTGAAAATGGTGTTATAATGCAGGCGAAGGTTCTTAATTTACAAGAATAAACAATGTACAGTTAAGCCTTGTACATACGTCACTCTATAATCTTTATTAACCTCAAAATACTGATACGAAATTCCAGCCTCGAATAACCAACAAATTTCGACATAAGGATATTCTGTCACACCACATTTCCCGCCTCATACACTACACATTCTCTCACACATACACCAGGCTCTCGTGTTTCATTAATAAGTTCAAATACAAGTAACTACACTATGAATTAATATTATAATCACTTAAACTTAGAAATGAAATCATGAAGGAGACTCACCGCTGGCTGTAGACCCACATGGAGAAGAAGACTATGCAGATCATAGTAACAGCGACCATGACGGCGATGATGAACCACGTCCACAAGATGGGGTTAGGCTCCATGTCCATACTCTCGCTCACTTTTGGCTTTACAAATTCTGTTGGCCGGGAAAACTGAGTCAGCTCTTTTAAGTAACTGATGCTTACCACTCTTCATCAAGGGTTAAAGTGGCTTAGTTTATTGTAAGGGAATTTATACATTTCAGAGATGTTTCGTGTTAATGGTAAACAGGTATATATTAATGAGCCTTAATGATAGTGACCGACTGGCATTCTTATCCTCTTGCGTAATGTTAAAAAAATATTCCATGTAAAATACCAAACTATATCTAACAGTATTGTGATATTTAATAAAGTCAACGCCACTAATTTAGTCTGCATCGATAAGTCTAAACGACAAACTACGACAGGGAACGAATGCAGTGGATGTTTATCAAGAGCTGAATCAAGAAAATTATTGACTTCGTTGACAAGAAAATGCATCTTGTCAACGTGACTATGCCAACTGTTAGATAGCATGGAGACGTGATTAAGTATAGGAGATACGGAACACCAGAGAGAAAAAGAATTAAGAACTCGGAACAAAGATATCCATCAATCGGGGTACAGTGAAGCTAATGTGCTGTTAAGCCTTCAATGGTATTATGAAGTGAATAACATCTCTATATAAGGAGATACACGAGTCAGTGAGTGATGGCTTCACTGGAGGGGAAGGTTGGAGAGGGAGGTTGGAGTGGGAGGCTGGAGCGAATGATAATGAGATGCTGTTCAATTTTGGACATTAACACTTTATTTTCTTCAGTTAACTTGACAATACTGATGAGGAAGTACACGCCTGCTCCTGACATAACAAGTAAGGCATTTTCCATTATGGTGCTGTGAATGTCACTGGAAAAATATTATTGATTGTAGATATTTTAGGTTTAATTAGGAATCTAGTGTTGCCTTTTTCTTCAGATATTAAAACACCGTATTTGATGCCGACGTTAAAACACAATACAAGAAAAGAAAAACTATTGTAGAAAAGATGGAAAAAAGTTTGCACTGTAACAGGTTTGTGACGCATAAGGTGTACAGTATGTTGCAGTGATGGGCTGTGATAACTGATCAAGTTTCACCGAAAATAAAGAAAAACAAATAATGAAGTTACAATTTGGTTTCAACTATTTATATTTTTATGATATTGACAGATAAAGAATTATAGAATATATTATGATTTATAACCGATTAATAAAGGTGCCAAGTCTTCCCTGGTCGAGATATATGTTTGGAAGTTAACAAAAAGTGATTTAATTCGTTATTTCTACTTCTAAACATTACCCAAAAGGTTGTTGATAATGTCATCAATTCTATAGCAATTATCTACAATGACTGGAGCTAATCTGTACCTATAAGACACCTTACTCCCTCATTATTTACAGTACACCTTGTAAATTGTTGACGAGTCTATTTAATGACGCTCTACCTTAGGACTGGAGTTGACATTAAACAGTGACGTAAGCGTACATCAGCGACAATACATAGAACACAGTACAAGAAATATGAAAATACAAGAAAGTGAGTGAAAAAAGTCATACCTGTAGAAAAGCATATATACAGGACCTACTTAAACAACTAGTGAGAAATACAGGGTGTCCATAAATGAACACTACTACTCCTGTTGTTTCAGTAGGGTTGCCAAAATTCTTCGTCAGTTGTGTCATATTTTTTCAACACAATTTTGTATAGATAGTTTTATGACTGACTGTAAAATGATCTCGAGCAGAGTTTTAACATTATCCAATAAGCACCTCTGAACCTGGATGACGACACACCCCTGATGCATTCTCCAATCACCATACCATCGTCAGTTCTCACACAAGTGCTACTTATATGCTAAAGTTATAACTCTGCAGGACAGCTTTCAGGTGCTATCAAATATCCCATACAAGGTAAATACTGTCACTTCGTCTTTCTAGGCTACTCGGTGTTACCTGTCTGAATGTGTTGGTGGAGGGAGGACCAGTATGGAAGGTAAAGTTATGTCTACTTTATAACAAACTAAATGAGAAGGGAACCAGACATGGCATGAATAACTGAGAAACAAGACTCAAAAACCAAGAAGTGAAAATGTTATGCAAGTTAATTATGTATTGTATATAAAGACAATAAAAATAAATAATGCGGTGGTGAGGAGGAAATGGCGTATCCAAATCACTGAAGGTAAAATCCTGAAGATTGTTGAAACATCACGCAAATGCCAATTGAACTTCATTGAAACTATGACATCTAAATCGATTTTTTTGTAAACAATAATGAAGTATTTAGAAATGGTAGCACTATTGAATGTTTTAACCGTAATAAGATAAAACTAATAATATTACCGTAAGAATTAGTTTCCAGCAACCACTTCATACAGAGGTAGACTGTTGCGACGAACCTCTCAAAGAATTTCCCAGACGTGTATCAGAGAAGCACTTCGTAAACAATTATAACTACATTGACCGTATCACCACATAAGACTCTGTACACTCTTACTTATTTAATAAATTTCCCCTATTTCTTAAAGTCGTATGAATGCGAGGTAGATAATCACAAAGAGTTGCATCCGACAAGTTTGCTAACACCTTTCCTTCACTAAGGCGATTCTCTTTCACATTAATGTACTCTGCATACACACGAGTCATTTACTGTATATTTTAGTAGGTTACAAAGACAATTATTTCCAGGAAGGTGAACAAGAATCATACCACAGTTCTGGCTCATAGGAGGAACACAGAATTTGTCACACATAAACAGCATTAAATAAGGAACAAAATCTATTTAGCAAAACCTTATTAACTTTATATCCCTAAAAGTTAACTAACAAACATTAGAATATATTTGTAGACAATATAAAAAAAAATCAAAATATACAAACAAAATAACACACACACACACACACACACACACACACACACAACTGACATCATTCGTATTCCAAAGAACAGTAATCATTAGGAAACAAAACAATTCCTAAATAGTGTTAATTGGGTAAAGGATTCAATGAAGAGGATGATGAATATAGGTATCTAGAGTAATTTTATTAGGATCTTGGATAATAGACCAGAAGAATCGTAGAAATAATAGTTCATGGTATAACAGGAGATGAAAACAAAAACAAGAGAGGCTTGTGATGGAGGGAGGGAAGAAGAGTGTCCCTGTGTATTAGTTGTGAAAGTCGTAGAATGCTTAGGAAAAATGAGGAGATGAAGAGTGAGGAATAACTAGTAGGTTGAGAATAATCCGAAATTGATCCATAGTTCTATTTAGGATATGCTAAGCGTTAGAAGGCAGTTGGTGTAAAGGATAGGAACTAAACTATGCTGCAATGAGAACGAAAAAGGCAGGAGAGTCAGACACTTACAAAAATACCTGTAGAAAATTACAAATCCACACATGTGTTTACAGTCACTCAAAAAATCTATCTATACAAATTTGTGTTGAAAAAATATAACACAACGGACGAAGAATTTTGGCAACCCTATCAAGACAACATGAGTCACAGTGTTCATTCTGAAATTCATCGATCACCTCAAGTAGAGATAGTTTTTTGACTAGCTGTACATATATGCACATTCAAATACACATATAGACACATTTCTACACAAACACACTCCAAAATACACACACACACACACACACACACACACACACACCAATGAATCCGGACCTATAGGTTCCCCTCTGCGCAGCTGCCAGGGCCGGCCTATCAGTCCCCTTCCCCATCTCCTCCCTCCCAAGAGAAGGACTTTTCCCGCCTCGTACAATTCGACTAAAGTATTCCTTGAAGAGCAGTCAGTGGGAGTGCTGCATAGAGGAGTGCTGCACCCTGCCAGAGGCCCTAGTGCTGCACCCTGCCAGAGGCCCTAGTGCTGCACCCTGCCAGACGTGCTGCAAGGGAGTGCTGCACCCTGCCGGCCCGTGCTGCACCTCTAGTGCTGCACCCTCTAGTGCTGCACCCTGCCAGAGGCCCTAGTGCTGCACCCTGCCAGAGGCCCTAGTGCTGCACCCTGCCAGAGGCCCTAGTGCTGCACCCTGCCAGAGGCCCTAGTGCTGCACCCTGCCAGAGGCCCTAGTGCTGCACCCTGCCAGAGGCCCTAGTACTGCTCAATGCAAGAGGATTTACTACCACATTCTGCCAGAACCCCTAGCACTGCATATTGTCAGAGGACCCTAGTGATGCATACTGCCAAAGGACATGGTATTGCTACCTACCAGAGGACTTAGTACTGCACACTGCCAGAGCTCCTTCCAATGCATTCTGATAGGGAACCCGATTCTACATACTGTCAAATGACAAAATACTGTAACCTATCTAATAGCCCATTCCTGTACCTTCCAAAGACCTTGGTACTACAACCTGACGGAGGACCCGGTGCTGCACCCTATCAGAGGACGAGTCCCGCACCGTCTGGGAACCAATTACCGCACACTGTTTACCAAACCCTAAAATTTTTGACACCTCTGAGAAAGTTTAATATTTACTCTATTAAAAAAAAAAGAAGATCACTCATCACACTGTAAGTTGCCAGACACCTGAAGGAACCTGTTTAGTTAGAGGAAAAATTCGTAAGGCTTTTGTATTTTTTCATCTTCGATACTATTTCGTTACGGAAAACCACCGAGGAGGTGTAGCGATATCATGCAGTGATTACCAAAGATAGCTGAGATTATCATACCGACCAGAAAACCTCTGCAAAGTACATTAGCTTACCATAAATTTAGTAAATTTTTGCTGTAAACAACATAATGAAACATAGGAACACAGTCCAATAATCCACCACAATTATAATTAGATGTATTATGCAAAGTATCAAGAGTAAATGGAAATTAAAAGAGTGAAGGAAACCTCATAATTTATCTAGAATTCCTAAAATACTCAGCCTCTGCCTGTCGGGAGCTGACGGTACTACGTAATAATATCTGATATGATATTGTTGTGGGTACTGAATGACATGTTAGTCTAGATGAGTAGTTCTTAAACTGGGGCGCCAGAAGATTCCAAGGGGGGCGCGAGCGGTCAGAGAGAAAAGTCTGGTCAGGAATTGGACGCGTCTTGTACACGATTGCTCATCACTCCAACTCATAGGCGTGGGATAGGGGGGCGTGGGATCTAGGACATGGAGGGGCGGGGGGTGGGATCTAGGACTTGTTGAAGAACCACTAGTCTAGATGTTCATGATTTCTCCATCTACACGTTCTTTATAATATCAAACTTGATGTTCTTAATCAATGATAAATTAAGCAATGTGAGATGATATAAACATGATTTAGAAATTGAAGTGTGAATTCGTTTTATCACTTTATAATTTACTAGGAGTTGTATTTAATGAAATCCTACAAGTGGTGACAATGAATGCTGGTATTAGGGTATTGAGGGCAGTAATCTAGGTGATAGAGAATCCATCTCCAAAAGCATAACTACTTAAGAAACACTGAGGAAGGAGACGAGATAGTCCCCTCACTTCCAAACTACTTATAACAGCAGCCAAAATTGACAAGTTGCAGTCATAATAGATCATGACACAAACTGTATAGTATGCATTGATAAAAATCTTGCATGCTGCGTAAAATGTTGCCTTCATCTAATTCTTCTCCCCAACATAATGGCTGAAACATCATGCTGAAACGAGGTGAGGTTTAATGGGAAGATCAGTCATAAAGAGGGATAGAGTATCAGGAAATATTAAAATTTAACGTGAATAAATAGGCGATGTGATATTGGAACATAGGGCGTGTAAGGGTGAGTGTATAAGTACTTCTAAAAGGTATCATTGTTATTTAAATAAGAATATTGGCTAGTGCGTGCATATGCAGGAAAGGTGAACATGTGGCAAACCAAAGTGAATGAGATATTGAGTTACCTCCACGAGTAGCTATGGAGTACAGTCATCTTAAACAGGCGCGAATGTTGGAATTAATTCTAGACCTTGTGATGCATGATTTGGTATGGAGAGTTGGGAGATTTAACAGAGGATGTAGTCAAGACGTTGGGGTCTAATAGGAGTGATCAGGTGTGAAGTGATATTGTTAGCTAAGTGTGTGAGTGTTGGATCATGCCAGTGAGACTTGCAGTGCAGAGAACTGAAGTTGGTAAGTGATATTATTTACTGTTTTCCTACTTCCGAATAACATTGCCAAGTCTTGGTTTTAATTCAAACCTATTCATAATACTCACGAAGACTATATTTTCAAGGGATACTCTGCAGCCTATCGAGTTAACTAACCTTAAATTCTGTTGTTGTTTTTTTTAAATACACGATACACTTGAAAACGTGTTTGTGGTGACAAACTTAGCGATGGTTATTATATTAATTTACGAGTGGTGAGTGTAATGATATCAATGGTCGCAGAAAATACCAGTTAAAATCAACAGGTTTGGCTTATTCGGAAGTATCACTGGTAAGGCGAGCTTCCTCGGGAACTAAATCTGGTGCACAATAGCTCTGAACTGGATAATTATATTATATGGAAAAATTAACATTTCAAAAGAGTGTCATTTTGGTAGAGTCAGAGTTATCCATGCAGCCTGTATTGTCACGCCAAAGGCATTTTAAAGCCAGAATTTATAGTTACTGTTATGCGGAGGCTACATAATTAACCGGTAAAATATTAACACTGTTAAATGTGCTGTATTCATAAACATACTGTGTTTTCCTGAGAATTGTAGATCAACATGACTGTTGATTTAGGTCACGCGTCAACAACCCAGGCGGCGTGGACTGGTGCAGGCAAAACAAAGGTCCCAGGTGCTAAACCTAGCGAGTGCAAGAATGATAGCTAGAAACGCAGGCAAGCTGGTGTACTGAGTAAGCTTTGTATCCGCTACATACAGTGTGATCTCCATTAGAGACCAAAGGAACTTGCACATACGAGATATTTGATCAGCCCATCAGAGGAATCATGTCGCCTCCTTACAAGACGTCCTTTGGTCACGTGTCAGCCTTATATATGGCAACAAGGACCAGGTACCTACAGAACTAAGGCACGGTATGTCATAATGCAGCGGTAACTCTCTGAGGAAAATTGTATCTTGCATGTGTCATCAAAGTACTGAGTTACCTGGTTGGAACAGCTTTACATCAGCAGGTCCTGCACCGGGTACTTGCCCTGGTAGCTCTGGGGATAGGCCAGTGGCGTTGACTACTTCTCTGGGGTCCACCGAGTATTCTCTTTCACCCTCGGAAGTCGCTGCTGTGGTCACGGTCCCAGTTATGTCTTTCAGGTTGATAAGATAACTTGTGTTATTATCTAAAACATCAAACTTGTTTGACTCTGTTTCGGTACTGTTCTTAATGTCGTTGACACCCTTTTCCCCGGACACTGGGATCAGCATCTCGTCCTCTCCACTGTCGTCAACAGACTCATCAATCTGTGCCCCACTTTGATTCACTTCGTCCACAGTATCTACTGCATAATCGTCATACTTCATCTCTTCTTCCGTATTCTCTACCACTCCCTCTTTACCTGCGAATTCTTGTTTAGTTGTGCTGCTTGGGGTTGAAAGGACACCACTGTCACTTTCGACCAGCGGGTCTTCCGTTCCATCGTCACCAGTTGGTCCTAGGAAAGTGTCATCACCACCACCATCTATCGTAGGGTAGTCATCACCAGCACCATCGACTGGATAGTAGTCATCATTGCCACAACCTCCTGTTAAACTCTGACAGTCATTACTGCCTCCTGCAGGCGAGACGTCATCATCGCTATGGCTTCCTGTGGCCGAGTGGTCCTCACTCCCATCACCTGCCTCAGGGAAGTCATCACCATCCTCACCTACTACAGAATAGTCATCACCACCATCACCTTCATGGAAGTCATCACCATCCTCACCTACTACAGGGTAGTCATCACCACCATCACCTTCTCGGAAGTCATCACCGTCCTCACCTACTACAGAGAAGTCATCACCGTCCTCACCTACTACAGAGAAGTCATCACCACCATCACCTACTACAGAGGACTCATCACCACCATCACCTTCATGGAAGTCATCACCATCCTCACCTACTACAGGGTAGTCATCACCACCATCACCTTCTCGGAAGTCATCACCGTCCTCACCTACTACAGAGAAGTCATCACCGTCCTCACCTACTACAGAAGTCATCACCATCCTCACCTACTACAGAATAGTCATCACCACCATCACCTTCATGAGAGTCATCACCGTCCTCACCTACTACAGGGTAGTCATCACCACCATCACCTTCTTGGGTGTCATCACCGTCCTCACCTACTACAGGGTAGTCATCACCACCATCACCTTCTCGGGTGTCATCACCGTCCTCACCTACTACAGGGTAGTCATCACCACCATCACCTTCTCGGGTGTCATCACCGTCCTCACCTACTACCTACATACAGGGTAGTCATCACCACCATCACCTTCTCGGGTGTCATCACCGTCCTCACCTACTACAGGGTAGTCATCACCACCATCACCTTCTCGTAAGTCATCACCGTCCTCACCTACTACAGGGTAGTCACCATCACCTTCTCGTAAGTCGTCACCGTCCTCACCTACTACAGGGTAGTCATCACCACCATCACCTTCTCGTAAGTCATCACCATCCTCACCTACTACAGGGTAGTCACCATCACCTTCTCGTAAGTCGTCACCGTCCTCACCTACTACAGAGAAGTCATCACCACCATCACCTACTGCAGAGGACTCATCACCATCATCTTCACGGAAGTCATCATCATCCTCACCTACTACAGGGTAGTCATCACCACCATCACCACTTGTAGTATCATAATCATCATCGTCCCACGTGACGCCTTCATCAGTGGTAGTCGTGGTGGCATTATACAAGGCTATGTCACCAGCGTCACCGTGAGTGTGTGTCAGTTGGGGAGTGCTGGACGAGTGCCCGTGGTCGGGCAGCCAGTAGTCTAACACATTGGTGCCATCTATGCCACTGGGGTAGTGATCTTCAGAGCTGTATAGATAATCATACTCATCCTCAGACAAGCCTGGCTCATCTGTTGGAAGATCTTTGTCTCCACTAATTATTGTATCAAAAGGTTCAACAGTATAACTCTCTACATATCTATTACCCACAGAATCTTCGTAATTGTCATATTTTTGTTCTTCTGAAATAGACTCGACATGTGTGGGATAGCTGTCATTTGATGCCAGAGACTTGTTCACCTCCTCGGAGATGAGTGACGTATCAACACTGTCATTATCACTTGCATGTGTACGTTGTGGTGTAGTACCATCGTCCTCGGCTCCAGATTTTCTTATATACACCAGGCAGAAGACTGAGTCCCCGCCCGGACTCTCCTCGTCTGCACATTCTGTTATCGCTGTTAATCTTCCATTCTGTTCTGCATACACAAAGTAAGCTGGGGTTATTTTTTCTTTATGGTACTACAAATGAAAAGAACAAATTTTCTACGATAGTCTGTGCCCAAGAAGATATCATATGTAAGCAGTAAGGAAAATGTGCCATGTGTGAAGAAATGCGTTGCTTAGATAAACGAAAATGGGTGTTATCATTTATAAGGTTATGAGAGACAAGCAAGATACTTTACCAAGATGGGAGAGCTCCTCTGCTCGGTGGGGAGGGGGAATAAAAGCAATACATTACAACAGAGAACGTGTGAGCTATTCATATTATACAGTATTGTACTTATTGAATTTGGCTTCACTATTACAGCAAACTTATTGAAACACATCTGTAATATTGTGGGTTATTAACATACCTGTACACAAGATCAAAGAAAGAAAAGTATCACATCCATCACACATAGATCCATACATCACTATTAACTAACATTCATACATTCACAACGCTATCACAACATAACCCTATTTATACTGAGCTTATTATCGTATTGCTCTTGGCTGCCATAACTTATTAAAATCTATTTATGGTTCCTTCACTTATATAATCATTACCTTGTAACAATTATTGAAGATAGTTTGTGTCTTAAAGTTTGGTGAAAATTCGATGTGTGAACTCAGGGAAGCTGTGTAGCGGAAACACTGTAAGTAGTTATAACTGTATGATTAGTTAAACAAAATTTTGGAATATGTTAACAGTCTATGGCGTGGGAGGAGTGCTACTGAAAACTGCGGTGGCAGCATGAGTTAATCAAGGATTCTGGGACTACAGGAGAATGGACCACTCCAATCCACCCCCGAATGTGGTGCCGCCAAGCGGCCGGAAAGTAAACAAATTAATTAGCAGGTAAGGAATAAAGGGAGGTAGAATGACAATTCGGCGAAATCCCGTTTTTCTTTTGTCGCGCTAATTTTTTTAGCAGCTTCAATGGGACCCGCTATTGTGCATCTTATTATGTGCTCTACAAACTCTATAAAGAACAGATGCATGTCTGCCTTCCGATTACCGAAAGATCCAGAGAGGCGGGTCGTACACTTACTTCTGTTGACTGTTTTTATGAGATCTTTCTTTATTGAATGCATTTAGTACTGATGACGTTCCACTGTTTAGAATTGCTAATTAACATCAGAGCATCACTAGGATATATAAAATAAGGAGGATACTGTTGTATTGTCGAAAATATAATGCTGGAACTTTGAAGAATTGGGTCATTATTCGTTTTAGGACCCCCCACGACTTTATGGACGATATTGTGTTTTTCCTGTATATTTCGATGTGTTTTGGATGTATTTCACATTGATTTCTTGGGCAAACCCATGAAAACCTTACCAACCCAAATTGTGCGGTAATGACACACAAAAAACGAACCAATCCAAACCTAACGAAACCTAAACTAACCTAAAGGAACCTGACCTGACCTGACCTGACCTGACCTAACCTAACATTACCTAACCTAACTTAACTTTACCTATCCTAACTTTGTCTAACCTAACTTTACCTAACCTATCTTTACCTACCTAACCTTACCTTTGTCTTGGCAATTTGTCATTTCGTGAAAACAAAAAAAGTTAAGATTCGGTAACGTACAACCATGGAACTCTATGTTGATCTGGATATAGGGGAAGGGCAGAAACAAATACGTTATTATGTTTTCGTCTCAAAATTTATATTTTTCCAGTTGTAATATTTTGATTTTTCGATTTCAGTTAAGTACATTTTGAAAGGTTTTAAATTCACACTAACGATTTATGGGATATATTGTTGACTTCTCAACCACTTCATTATATGTCCAGCCAATCTGCGAAAGTCCCGGCGTCATTTTTGTTACCAATGCCTATTAATTTTCATAATATTAAGATGCATGTTGTATATTCGTTTTGTATCAGTCACTGTTGTGAGAGCAATTTTCTATTAATACAAAAGCTGTGAATCCTTTATAACAATTTGTTTATTTTTGCATTGTATATGAATTGCTCCAATATAGCTTCTAATATTGTTTTTGTTTTTTTAATCATTGCCCAAGTCTGTGCTGGGGCATTACCTCATTACCTTCTGCTGGCAGAAAGTAACAGCTTTGGTTTAAGACTGAGGATTGTTTTTCTAATCAATGAAGGCACCAGGTTTAAAATTTACGAGTACGTCGATTTCCGGATTATTTTCATCAAACCATTCCTGGTGTTTTCTTTTGATCTGGCCGAGTCTCGCTGCAGGTTTTTGTGATGACAGCGTTGAGGATACCCCATTCAGCACTCGGATTCACGTTGTTTGTTGTTGGGGTGTTTATCAGTCCCTCGTCTAGCTACTCTCTGAAAAAGTGTTCAACCACTTGATCCTCCTGTTACTTGATGTTAAAACCGCTTCTGATGGCCTGTTGCTTTCGTCCTTTTACTCCGATGTGAAAAGAGTTTTACTCTGACGAGGCGGTGATCTGTATCACAGTGATCTGAGCCACGCGTGGCTCTGGTGATGAGGATATCTCCGCGATCTCTTTCTCTGACAATGATGTAGTCAATGAGATGCCAATGTTTGGATCGTGGGTGATGCCAAGAACACCTGAACTTGTCGGGCTGCCTAAACAAGGAGGTTGTGGTCAGCACACTTCTTGTGGAGGAGAAGGCAAGTTGAGATTACACTTGACCCTCTCCGTTTTTCCATATAATTTTCTACCATAAGTCAGCATATCTGGCAATTCTGGCAGACAACCTTATCTTCTCTGTCATGGTCGGCGTAGCCGCCTTGATGTCATCCTCTGCATCCAGTGCTGAGTGGGTCTTGGAGCGTCATGGGGCGCTCGTTGACTCCAACAGACATTTCAGTTAGCCTATGCAAGATGTATTGGCGAATTGCAATGCCCACTCCGTAAATGTAGTTTCGTTCCTTAGAGGGTTTATCCTTCGGGTGAGTTTTAGGCAGACTATGTTTCGAGCACCTTTTCTAGCCCCTTCCCCGTGTGAGAGGAGCACACTGCTGTCTAGATCCCAGAGCATAAATGACCATCGTACTGGACCGCTTATGTGCAGAGCTGTGACTAGGGACTCCTAGCGGTCATCTGTGCCTGTCCCCGTCGCCTCACGTTTGTCACCAAATGACTTTTGGGGATTTAGGGGTTCTGATGATAATGGAGAGTGTGATAAGTTGAATGATGGCTGCATGTGAGCTGATTTATGTGGTGAGGCAGGAATGAAGGCTACCACCACACATCTGGGCTTTCCATTTTCCTGATCCAGTGGTGCTGGTAGCTGCAAGAACTGGAGAGCGGGAGAGTTGTAATAGACTGTTGATAGCCCAGTTTGTTGGGTTTCGCCTTAGTAGCTTGTCCATCTTATATCGCCTTCATCCGCCAACGACAATTCAGCGTAAAGATTAATAATCAACCCACAACTGATATACAAAAGTGACAAGTCGATGCCCCGCGGTCAGTGGTCCCAGCTCATTCAGACCTGACCACCTACCACCGCACTAACACCCAGACTCAGCTACACCAGGTGAGATATAAGGGCTTCCAACGACACCAGGTGAGATATAAGGGCTTCCAACGACACCAGGTGAGATATAAGGGCTTCCAACGACACCAGGTGAGAATTCCCTGTGAACCAAGATCCCTAGGCTACCAAGACCATGTGATGGGAGTGTAATCAAGTGCAAGCCGGAGACCAGGACTGTATCGTGGGAAGGCTCCACTATCAGCTCCTCAGACAGTTTACAAGACCGGCTGCTCTGCGACCAAAAATTACTTCCAAATTTGTAGTTAATTTGAACGTTCACTCCATGTTATTTCTCTTTTTGTTCTGAAAGATTGTCTGTTCACTGTAAGTTCCTTCTCCATTTTATAATGAAAGCCTTAGTTGAACGACACATTCCCCCATGTATTTTCAGCGTTTTGGTCGCTGTACCCTTTTCAATACAACGTTTATTATTATTGTACTGATATATAAGGAATATAATTCTGTCACATTGTCTCTTTTAAGCGTGAGAAACTGCACACTTATGTATCACCCACACACTCATTATATAACACCTGCACACTTATGTATCACCCACACACTATTATATAACGCGTGCACACTTATGTATCACCCACACACTCATTATATAACACCTGCACACTTATGTATCACCCACACACTCATTATATAACACCTGCACACTTATGTATCACCCACACACTATTATATAACGCGTGCACACTTATGTATCACCCACACACTCATTATATAACACCTGCACACTTATGTATCACCCACACACTCATTATATAATACGTGCACACTTATGTATCACCCACACACTATTATATAACGCGTGCACACTTATGTATCACCCACACACTCATTATATAACACCTGCACACTTATGTATCACCCACACACTATTATATAACGCGTGCACACTTATGTATCACCCACACACTCATTATATAACACCTGCACACTTATGTATCACCCACACACTCATTATATAATACGTGCACACTTATGTATCACCCACACGCTCATTATATAACACCTGCACACTTATGTATCACCCACACACTCATTATATAACACCTGCACACTTACTGTATGTATCACGTACATACTCATTATGCAACACTTGCACACGTTCAAATATTTGTATTATGTAATTCGTGTAAACTTATGTTACACGTGTACACTTACTAAGCAACACCTGCACGCTTATTATGTAACTGCATAATTGCTATATAACACTTGCTAACTATTGTTACAGCTGCACACTTACAGTACAACACCTGCACATAAGTGTATTGTGTAATGCATGCTCAATTATAATGAAGCACCTGTCCTCACATTATATAGCACACTTATTACATAACACCTACACGCTTATTTTGTAATACCGGGCCACTTATTATACAATACATGCACACTTATCAGGTAACACCTGTACACTTATTATGCAACACCTGAACACTTATTACGTTTAACACTTATTACGTTACACCTGTTCACTCACTATCTAACACCTGCTTTTTTATAAAATAATACTTGAGGACTTATTATATAACACCTGCACACCTATGATGTAACACCTGCACACCTATTATGTAACACCTGCACACCTATCACAACACCTGCACACCTATTATATAACACCTGCACACCTATTATGTAACACCTGCACACCTATTATGTAACACCTGCACACCTATTAAGTAATACCTGCACACCTATCATAACACCTGCACACCTATTAAGTAACACCTGCACACCTATTAAGTAACACCTGCACACCTATTAAGTAACACCTGCACACCTATTAAGTAACACCTGCACCCTCGTTACCACATGCGAAGTATTACACTGAAACAAGAAAGAACAATGACAGCCAGTTCACCATTTTTAGACAGATACTAAATTTGGTGTAAATTACCGTATAATATAACTTTCTACTTGTCTGATAAAACCGATACCTCTGATGGTGTGTACAGAGACATGGGTGAATGAGCATACTGACGGCATCCTCACCTTCACTAGTAGGGGGCAATGTACACCAGGGTATGTGATTGATACATTCACTCTGGTCTTATAAGCTTAGGTGGATATAGTTCACTTAGTATTTACTGTATACCGTAAGTTCTACATTAATATGAAGGTAATATAACAGAAGTGGATGATTCTGATCAATGTGTTATTACAGTTACGCCCACATGTCTGGACTCTGCCAGAGATTTATGAATATTACGGTGTTATTTGTCTGTACCGTAAAACATATATATATTATATATATATATAGTTAGGGTACAACAACAACAAACTAAAAAAAAATTATAAGAATTTCGTTTGTCATTCTTTAGTGCCGTATACGAATGAACTAGAACTGACATGTATATGAAAAACTTGTTGGTCCAAGTACTGCTGGCCCCTGAAGTACAACTAAGAGAGGAGAGTCTTGAAGGTACAAGTCACAGCGCATGGAAAGAAACAGTTGCATTGTTCATAGTTTTGTTTGATGGTCTTAAGAATTAGATCATGACTGTATGTGTATAGTAATGTATTATGTCCAGTTATTATTATCATTTATTATTAATCTAGATATGTACTGAAATCATCACAGGCTGCGTAAGAGTTCTTTCATTTAGCTTTCGAGAGGAGCTGATTTATGAACGGGTGGCACTTAGATCTGTCCTCCACCAAGAGTACGATTAAGCTGTTCTTGAAGCATATTTCTCTTACACCTGTGCGATGGCTGGGATAGGAAACATGACCAGCAATTCTCAGAGATTTCGCCTTCAGGCTTACTGTGCACCACCACACAAGGTCTACACCTCGCCCTGTGACATCAGACGAGTAACTACTGTACAAATAAGACTAAGTGCTGCCCCAACTGTGTGAAATTACTTAATGATATACAATGTCACTACATAATTATATAAGTATTAACCAAATAAAAAAAATCACATCCTCTTCACATAAAATAATGAAAAGTATAATTTGTTTAAATAACTAAAACCTGTTAAAATTGTGTATGATGTACGAAATATCCAACATGAGCGACACTTTACCTATCACTGCACACCACCAGTCAGTCAAATCTTCCCTATCACTGCACACCACCAGTCAGTCTAATCTTCCCTATCACTGCACACCACCAGTCAGTCAAATCTTCCCTATCACTGCACACCACCAGTCAGTCAAATCTTCCCTACCACTGCACACCACCAGTCAGTCAAATCTTCCCTATCACTGCACACCACCAGTCAGTCAAAAACACCACCAGTCAGTCAAATCTTCTATCTGCACACCACCAGTATAATCTTCCCTACCACTGCACACCACCAGTCAGTCAAATCTTCCCTACCACTGCACACCACCAGTCAGTCAAATCTTCCCTACCACTGCACACCACCAGTCAGTCAAATCTTCCCTACCACTGCACACCACCAGTCAGTCAAATCTTCCCTACCACTGCACACCACCAGTCAGTCAAATCTTCCCTACCACTGCACACCACCAGTCAGTCAAATCTTCCCTACCACTGCACACCACCAGTCAGTCAAATCTTCCCTACCACTGCACACCACCAGTCAGTCAAAACACTGAGCAGACACTGCACACCACCAGTCAGTCAAATCTTCCCTATCACTGCACACCACCAGTCAGTCAAATCTTCCCTATCACTGCACACCACCAGTCAGTCTAATCTTCCCTATCACTGCACACCACCAGTCAGTCAAATCTTCCCTATCACTGCACACCACCAGTCAGTCAAATCTTCCCTACCACTGCACACCACCAGTCAGTCAAATCTTCCCTATCACTGCACACCACCAGTCAGTCAAATCTTCATCTCTATCCATCACACTACAATTTCTTTTTTTCATTCTTATACCTCCACCATCATCAGTTACTATCAACCTCTCCTTCACCCACCTATGCTCCTCAACCTCGTCTGCTTCACCATTCATCTCACAACACTTTATTCACCACAAACCATTCTCAACCCACCATTCTTCTCCCACCATTCTATTCCTCAAATCTAATACTCGTCATTCTCCATCAAAAACACAATAATTTAGAGATAAGTTTAACCCATCACACAGTTTATCTAGATCAGTAGACTTATTCCACTTATAAAATACCACACCATCGACACACGACATTCACACTAAAAGTAATAATGGAAAGCAACTATAACATGAATTCATCGTTCAAGGAATAGACTAACATATAAATAAAGTGGAGAGACTAAGCTAGCGAGAGAGAGAGAGAGAGAGCTACATGCAAAGCTATAGCTGAGGCGCAGACCAAGAAGGAAGTGTCATAGAGAAACTTTGATAAATATATTGACATTTGTACCACATGACACCATATTGCTAAACAAGTATTAAATGATTACATATATAACAAAGACGATCTTATGTTACTAAAATTTACAATACTTATTAATGTCTTACCAGATGTTGGAGAATTGTTTACTCCTTTTGTGAATGCATGAAAAAAAATATAATTAATATCAATATATAAACGTTGTTAATGTTATTATTTTTGTTTAATCAAATAAAGTCTTTAATCACGTAGACCATGTTAGTTTATACAGTACATAAGACAACTACAGTTAAAACTAAGGGGGATTACTTATTCCTGTTTACTTCCTTACATGAACGTAACAAATTATACTGTAGCTTTATAATCAGACACTATGGTATTATATCAACAGTATAAGATTCAGCTACAGCAACTCACTACTGTACAAAGCATCTTCTCAGAGTTAAGAAGGTCCGTTTGATGGAATAACGCAATGAATATAATAAAATAACCCAGTTTGACATACGATATAATATAAACAATTTGCTCAGTTACAAATAAATCTGAGATACTGCCCGAACGAGAGGCCAGCGAGCCATTTACCGCTCCAAGTCTTAGGGATAACGAGGCTTCATTTGGACTACTTCAAAATTTATTTGTGTTATCTAAAGAACTTAACACACCATAATATGCCTATGATAATTTATACTATTTCAATATAACAGATATATTACCATTAGTATTGTTTATAAAGTAATTAGGATGGTTTAAAAGGACACAGAAAGACTGAAAAATAGAATCGAATTGCAAGACACATCAATTAAACCAACACAACATCTGTGAAGAAAGGAAAGGTGGTTCATAAGCCTGTCTTGTTAGGGGTAGAACAGCACCCTTAGGCAGAGCTTGGTACTGCACTCTACTGACTGTTAAGTTAGCTCCCAGTCTGCAGCTGGGTGGACTAGGAACTGGGGCAACATTCAGTGACCAGCTGCTTGACTCGAACCTGGAGCCCAAGGGCAATGGGTCAGGAGGAGAGTGCAATATCCACTTTGCCGCAGCGCGATACAGTTAAATTTAGTTTAGTAAAGTGTGCATATTCTCATTATAAGACCCACACACAGTAAATAGTCACCAAGATCAGAACAATCAATCTTCTCTCTACGACTGGCTGCATACCACAAAATTTATAGTATGAACTTTGTTAAGCCATCTAGCTATGTTTATAAAAATAAAAATATATTACTTAAATTGGTACGTTTTTTTGATGAAATACTGAGGTTAGGGGTCATAGAGAAGGTATCTTAGACACTACACGACCTGACCGTGCGGCCAAACTCACCCGAGATGCATGTAAATAAAAGTATCTGTCCAGATGGGCCCGAAGAATTTAGAAATAATCACTAAGTTTCGTGTTGTCTCGGCAGGGTTGTCAAAATCAGTTGTCCTTGGTGTCATATTGTCTCACACAGTGTGGATAGATACTTTTTTTCGTTTTTACCGTGTTGATAATCACGGAAAAAAGTCCTCAGTCCTCTGTCCTATCCATGAACCCCGAGACTTATGAACCTATGAATCCGAGACATCACACATTGTTGGGCCCATAGATGGCGCACTGTGTGATGTCTCGGATTCACAGGTTCATAAGTCTCGGGGTTCATGAATGGGACGGACGACTGACAGGACTTCTTTCCGTGACTGTACACAGTAATGGGCATTGGTAAGATACATGTACACACTAAGGGATAATAGTGACATACAATAGTGGGCTTGCGTGGCTGGCGACCATATTAATATATGCGAGGAAAAGGTTACACACTGCTTGATGATCAATACACTGGTTTAGCTAGTGCGTCAGGATGAAGAGGATGAGGTAATTAGAAAACGTAGTAAGGTGCTGGGACCAACCAGCTCTCGCCACACACACACGGGAGAGGAGAGAGATAAAGGTGATGTCGAGTGACCACGATGGTGTACACATATTTAAGTAAAGTCAACATCACGAGACACATATACCGAAGTTTACACCATAAAAAAACATCAATATATAAAACACAGATAAAACGCAATCCGAATATAACAAAGAAATTGTGTATGCAGAGGAAAAGCCGAAGAAGCTGTGACCAGGGCAGACCCACGATACAATATTAGACAGGACAGCAGAGATCCTAATCCTTACCAGGATATAGGCACTCTATTTTTCCTTTTGAGTCCGCAGAGAAAATAGAAAAATAAACATATACAATAGTGACATGGATATAATCAGGAATTTAATTTGTACATTTTTCTTTGTTTAACAGCTAATATAACGACATCCTTGACATGTATAAATGTAAGTATTGCAGACATGATTTATTCTACAGTATAATTCAGTATAGCAAACCAATATTCTATTGCATTCCGCTAAATTACTGAGTGCAGTTCTACAAGGGGTGAGGCTACCTTGTTACAGTAGATGAATCAGCTGCTCTTATTTAAATTACTTTACACTATAGGCACGCGACGTGTTAAGTTTTACCCATGCATGTTAAGGCATATCTAACTGTTCCTCCTGATACATGCCATACGCTTTACCTCACCAACCAAGGGCCAAAAACTACTTTAAGTGGATAATTTTACAAAAGGATGATTTTTGCATCGGTTCACTAACTCTCCTCACGTACGGTATACGCCCAGACCGAGCGGGGTGTATGTGGTGTCCGTTCTTGTCACCTCTATCTAATTCTCTATTTCCTTTTCCTTAAAGGTGATAAGAAAGATCTAAAATAAACATGAAACTATGATTGACTGATGGCACCCAATGAGAAGTAAGAGTCTCATTTGTTTTTGTATGTTAAGTTTTAATTAAACTCGGTCAATATCACGTCAGGATCTGGTAATGTTAAGGGTGAATTCTGAGGCCCTTTGTGACAGCCATTATAAAACAACAAAATATATGTAGAGGAGAGTTGTCACTGGTATATCTTATAATATATGTCTGCCAGTAATATAGTAACAATATTCAAATCGTAATGACTTCTCTAATCGGTCTGAAGTGTTTTAATGATAATAAAATTCCATACCATCGATCCTAAAATTAATCACTAGAAATTATCGTGTGACTGGAGTATATCATGGTAAAGTTTGGTCTTCGTTATATAATTTTCTATTAATTGTTGGTTTATAAAAAAGTAAATTCACGAATCATTTTGTGGAGGAACATGTCAAAAAAGATGAACAAGATGGCTCAATAGGTGATTTATGGACCAAACAGTGTAAGTCTTTTTTTTTTAAGGTTGATCGCGTAGTGCTGAGTCCACTGGTGCTGATCAACACGCCTGACAGCTGTTGCCAATTATATACTTCATAAAAACATTTTAATTTTAATTTTAAGACAATGCCGATTGATAAAGTGTACACATACTCCGATAAACTGTACACATACTTTGATAAACTTTACATGTACTTTGGTAAAACAAACATGTACAGTAATAAGATAAAATCAACGCGGCCTCACTATAACTAACGTCACTTTTACAAACTTGACAATAAGGACCTTTGTCTGATAAACCGGTAATTCGAGTAAAGTAAAATCTTTCGTTTCTCTCTCCAAATTGTTAACTAAATTAGACCACAAAAATTCAATATTTAAAAGTAAACCAAGAGTTAAACTTGAGTCTGGGTCAGCAGGTGTGGTGTGCTGGGTCAGGAACAACAAACAGTGTTCTTGATATAATCTTTAAGATTTAATTTACTGAACAAATCGCAGTGAAGTGCACTATCAGCAACACACACACACACACACAGTGCTTGTATAATGTGTAACACCGGGACCCTTGGCACTGCTACTTATATTGACAAGCTATGGAAAGATAATACACTTTGTGGGTCTTACCAGACGTCGGAGTAGCTACTGTTCCTGGTGTTGGCATAGCTGCAAAAATATTATATATATATATATATATATATATATATATATATATATATATATATATATATATATATATATATATATATATATATATATATATATATATATATATATATATATATCAAAAAGTCGTGTTATAGAATGTGAAAGCTTAACTTTATTAACGTTCACATAATGGACAGTATCAAAAAAGTTGTCTGAAGCTGTACGTTGAAAAATAAATATATATTAAAAAACATAAGACTTCCTTTAAAGCAATTAGTGAACGTGAAGGCAGCCAAGTCCATCACCCCGCTCACTGTACATACAGTGTACAGTATAGTGCAGTGTGTGACGGCTGCGCTCTCAACCACCCATCGCATAATTCCTCCATATATCTTTTTTCCTCACCTTATAGGAGGTTCACTGGGTGTCGCTTAAACATTCAATACCATAAATATAAGTGGAGATGCTGGTAAGGGTCGAGGGGGAGGTGAGGGGGCGTGACACCCTCACCTTGATTATGTCAAAATGTGTAAAGTCCCGAGCGACGTTCACCGGCCACACAGCCACACACTACTAGCAGCTGCCAGACCTGTAGCCGGTAACGCTCCCGCCACATATACGGCACCACACTCAAACACTATTTTCAGACGTCTCTGGCACCCGACCAGTGTTTCGGCTAAGGTTACCGTTCGCGGGGCTCCGCATGCTCCTCTAATGTTATGTTAACTCAGAGTCGACGACCTTGATCTATGCTTACAATATGATTTAAGTGTTGAATACAATGTGGAAAGTCTTGGGAGAACACACGTCCTGGGGATGAATATGGAACCAAGTTGTAATGTTGCCACAAGCACCACCAAGTATGTGTTGATACTGAATTGTCTGCCACTTGATCTAGTGACACCACCAGACATGTGTGTTCATACTGTATTGTCTGCCTGTTACGTTGTTGCCATCGACCATTATTAACAAGGTACTCAAGATATTTAATTGCCTCCCTGATACACTGTGTTCTGAATTTTGTCTCTCGGACAGCACAGCACTTGGACCTAAACTACCCCCCCCACGCTACACCAGTGGAATGCACGTTCCTTCAACATTGCAAGCGAACCAGCACAATGCAGTCGAGTGTATACTACCACTACTTTCCTTCTTCATAGACTTCATTTTGTGTCACTTAGATCTTCCGTCTCCCTCAAATATTTGTCATTAACGCCAGGAAATACATTTACCTCCGGCTGAACGGAAAGAGTTCTCATTTAGTATTATTAGGACATACATTCACCCACGACGTACCACTCACCATGTATCATTAAGACATACATTCACCCACGACGTACCACTCACCATGTATCATTAGGACATACATTCACCCACGACGTACCACTCACCATGTATCATTAGGACATACATTCACCCACGGCGTACCACTCACCATGTATCATTAGGACATACATTCACCCACGACGTACCACTCACCATGTATCATTAGGACATACATTCACCCACGACGTACCACTCACCATGTATCATTAAGACATACATTCACCCACGACGTACCACTCACCATGTATCATTAGGACATACATTCACCCACGACGTACCGCTCACCATGTATCATTAGGACATACATTCACCCACGACGTACAACTCACCATGTATCATTAGGACATACATTCACCCACGACGTACCACTCACCATGTATCATTAGGACATACATTCACCCACGACGTACCACTCACCATGTATCATTAGGACATACATTCACCCACGACGTACCACTCACCATGTATCATTAGGACATACATTCACCCATACATTTCATACAGCATAAGAAAAAGAAGTCTCCATATATCACCCTGAAATATACTCAGTTCTTACACCATCAGAACATACACAGGCCATGTATATCTTCAAGGCGTCCATTCATACACACACTACAACCGTTGGGATGTATGGTACAGTCTGCCTGCAGCATAAAATTAAGACTCTGTGCCTTTATGATGTCCGCGTACTCATCTTGCACTCACATGACGTACTCACACTCACCCAGCACCTCAAGACGTACTCACACTCACCCAGCACCTCAAGACGTACTCACACTCACCCAGCACCTCAAGACGTACTCACACTCACCCAGCACCTCAAGACGTACTCACACTCATCCAGCACCTCAAGACGTACTCACACTCATCCAGCACCTCAAGACGTACTCACACTCACCCAGCACCTCAAGACGTACTCACACTCATCCAGCACCTCAAGACGTACTCACACTCACCCAGCACCTCAAGACGTACTCACACTCATCCAGCACCTCAAGACGTACTCACACTCATCCAGCACCTCAAGACGTACTCACACTCACCCAACACCTCAAGACGTACTCACACTCACCCAACACCTCAAGACGTACTCACACTCACCCAACACTACAAGACGTACTCACACTCACCCAACACCTCAAGACGTACTCACACTCACCCAGCACCTCAAGACGTACTCACACTCACGAGTCCCTATCACCCAGTAATTCACCAAACTTATCATAATCGGCTGAGTCCAAATAAAATGTAGCTTATATATGTAGATGAATTGCTGACTAACACCTTCTTCAGGCAGCCCAAGTTCAAGGTCTCCTGACTGCACCCTCGCCTGAACCATCTGATCGATTTTATCATTGAGACAAATTGCCGAGAAGCGCTCAAGAGTCGAGGTACAGTACATGTCTCAGATCACTGTGAGGTTGACTATCGCCTCACCAAAGCCAACCACTTCTTCTATGTTCCTCTTAAATGGTGAAAACAAGTTACCCTAAGGAGAATAAGTGTAAAGTAACTCCACAATCGTGTAAGTGATGCCGTCAGTGACTTGGAAAAACCAACCTTCAGTTTCAGACCAAAGCTGCTACATTACATCTACACAAGTTTATGATTCAGTGCTGCACACTTCCGGGGATAAAGAATAAGTGGTGTATTATAAAAATCAGAGCTATTCAGTCCCGCCAAAGTTATCAGAGATTCATTGGCTCGTACATAATAATTGATTAATATCGATATATCACAAATAAATCCATATAAAAACTGTTAACGGTACCCTGTTCTAGCTCACTTTAATGCTGAATTTAAGGTATGTAAAAATATAACTGCTTGGAAAAATTATCTTTCAAGATATGAGTGGAAAAAAGTTTGAAGTCACATACAAATTCACGCTTTCGGAGACACATTCGCCACTACTTATCTTTTCACTAATTATATGAAGACAAATGACTCAAACAAATAAAGCAGCAGAGAACAATGACACATTCAAATACCTTATTTTTTTGTGACAATACAAGAAAGCGATTTTATACTCCTAAGTGGGGAGAGATCGTGGCTAGGCTCGTTTATTGTAATTTAAATATAAATAAGGCGAGTGATACTAACTTTGTAAATTAATATCAATATAAATTATTAATCTCTAACAATTTCTGAGATTTCTTCAACTGATGAGTGATAGTAAGAATGGTATAGAAATATTCATGGGGTGGTCCTGAACATGGTAATAAACGCGTGTACGATAATATATGATTGACGCTGCAGATGATTAGATTGATATATAAATAATTGCGGTATAAATGTAAAAAAAATATATACTAATATCTTATATACGTATAGGAAATTATCCTCAACACCAGACGCCTTCGGTCAATAATAAAAAATAATAAAAATTTAAAACCCACTAAGTTAGACCAATAAGAGTGGCCTGATTGTAGGAACATGGTTCATGGGGGAAATAAAAACGTACTTAGGGTCACTTAATAGGTTAGGTTAGGTTTGGAAGAATATTTCCCGAATTGGCAACACATAACTCTTTCATAGTAACCTATGCATTATGATCATCGTTAAGGCATTAATTACTCCCACGAAAAGGACCACTAAACCTTTTTAATCTTCAGCACCGTTTGGGTTGATGAGTTAGGATAAGTTCGGATCGTCTGCTTAAAGAAAGAATGGCTCAGAGGTTCTGTACGTGGTATATTTCTAACATTGTCGTGAACTCTGGTAGAAGATGTATTCAAAAACAAAATCACATTCCTAGAGGATGATCTTACAGGGGTGTTGTAGCCGATCATACTGAAGGTGTGGCCATCACGAGGTCTTACTTGACACTTACTGTATCTTCCAGGAAAGTAAATTAGTACTCGCCATCCAGCAGGCTTGGTGGTTTCTGGGAGGCTGTGTTAAGAATAAGCTTCTGGGAGGCTGGATTAAGACTAAGCTTCTGAGAGGTTGCTTTATGACTTAATTCCTGAAATGTACTGTTCGTCAGCCTAAGGATTCCAGGGATTACGTTCGACCTGCACTTAGTTTCTTTCAGAGTTTAAAAAAAAAAGTTCTGTGGTTTTAAGTTTTCATGTATTGTGGATCCCTATAGTTTCCTTCACGGGGTTTCACTTAAGATTTACGCTAAAAGAAGCCAAGATCATACAGTACCTCGATTCATTCCTCAACTCGGGGTATAAATGCTGGATGACACTTGAGTTTCAGGATCCTGGACTAAAGATCGAGTTCTCAGAGCTTGTATTTACGCTTTCCTTTAGGTTAACACTTAAGAGTTCTATGTTACAGAAGTGTGAGGTTGTACTTGGGTCCCTTAGCTGTGATTTTACAGTATAGGGTCTGGGAATCTGAAGGAACGTTTGTATCTGAATGTGTGATATAAGATGGGTTCTAATTCAACAATTTTGACAAACTGTTCTAGTCACCAATATGTAAAAGTCTTTCAGGTATATTTTCAAACATCTTCTCAGTAATCCCATGAGCCTCGGCTGACACACACAATACGGAGGTTGTAGCTTGGAAAAGAAGGAAAAAAATCCAAGGGTGACTCAATTTACAAAGACTGCACTCCTTGGGTTTGTACAAAGTCATCATCAAAAGTCTGAGTTTACAAAGATTTCAGAGCCTGAATTTACAAAACTGTTTCCTAGGATTCAGTTTACAGTAAAGTATCGAGGACGTGGAGCTGCCCAAGACTACAAGCAGATGGATTTACTTGATTTTCCACGATATTTAATTTTCATAAAGGCTCCTCTTGGGTCAGTCACACAGAGAAAGAAGAGCACAAACTTATTCAAGATTCTGGCTTATAGAGGTAATCAACACACACCTCTATATCCTGATAACTTTCCTCAGCATAAGTGTTAAATCTTACCAAATGATTGATAACAAAAGACATTACATTACCAAGAGGCTTTCCTTTTAACTACGGTGGACGAGGGGAAGCACATATGACATTGCAGGTGTCCTCTGAAGGATAATATAACTGACAAATAACCACCAGCACACCTTGTGAAAATTGGATGAAAGATCACAATTCAGTAATGTAATAAGAGACGAGATATACCGATATACCTTCCCTCAGACGTGTGTCACTCCGCTGAAGATTAATGTAATTACTTCATTCATGTCACAGAAATAAGTGGGCCCTGAGAAGAAATTTCTTCGAATGCAGTACACAACAGAATTTCATGTAACAAATAAAAATTTAACTAAATTTAACTGGTCAGTGAAATTAAATTATAAATTTCACGTTTTTTTATAATAAATTACGTAGCTAAATCATATTTGTTCAAACACAGTGGCAAGGTCACCTTGCCACTGTGTACATGTATGCACTGACCTTCTGTGGCTGCGAGGTACTTAATATCGGAGGGCGTCTCGTAGGGCCCGTCCTTGGCCACTATCCTGACCTCGTAGGATCGACGAGGATCAAGACCTGATATGGTCTGGTAGAGGTGTTGACGCTCCACAGGGGATGACTTCCAGTGTTGTGTTCCCTTCACCCTGCCGTCACCAGGAAAACGTTTTACACATATTAGCTATGAACCAATAATGGTTATATTTCATGATGGTATTAACTTCTGGAACACTGACCAATAGAGCGTCTCATAGTCCTACATGTATCTGTGCCCCATGATATAATATGCAACACTGGCATGCCATTATAGAAAAACCTGGTTCTTTCCTATGTCTTAGTAATCATCTTTTATAGAATCAGATATTCATAACATTTTCAAGGTGAAAATCGAAACCAAATTTACTTTTAAAATGAAAATAATGATTGTGTTATGCCCAGGTTGCAATATGGACCAGTTCATGATCCGGGTAGTCAATTTGGCCAGTTCGTGGGTAGGTAAGGTCATTTACCATTGGTACCCAGTAGTCAGCAAGTGTACACTAAACTCTTATGAACAATGTACCTTAGTGAAAGAGTGTCATGCAAAAGGTAGATTCTTACCTGTTCTGAACATAGAAGTCAACCCCTGGGTGAGCCTCCAAGTCTGGTGTCCAGTTGACGCGTACTTCCACTCCTCGACCTTCATCGGCAGCGTCAATGTCGCCGTCACCATCCCGATCAGCAATCACGACATCACTTCCATCAATGTCACCATCTCCATCTTCGTCCCCGATGTCTTTAAAATCAACATCATTGTCGCCGTCTCGGTCACCAGCTACAACATCGTCTGAGTCAATGTTACCATCGTTATTAATATCGGCCACAGCAATGTCATCTTCGTCAATATCCCCGTCATGGTCAACGTCAAGGACATCGTCTTCGTCTACATCACCATCACCATCAGTGTCTTTGAGGAACACGTCCAAATTCTCAATGTCCGTCGAGTCAATATCGCCGTCATTATCTCTATCTAACCCCACAAGATCTCTACCGTCAATATGACCATCATCATTAATGTCAACAATGTCTGCAGCATCTACATCCCCATCCTTGTCTCTATCTGCAGCTTTAACGTCGTCAACATCAACGTCACCATCATTGTCAATGTCTGCGGCCTTATTATCATCTTCGTCGATGTCTCCGTCACCATCGAGGTCTATTACATCGTTCAGGTCAACGTCACCATCACCATCAGTATCTGAGAGCAAGATACTTTCACCATCGTCATCTGCAGCATCAATATCACCATCACCATCCTCATCTGCAGCGATCACATCATTTCCATCTATGTCTCCGTCGTTATCTTCATCTCCTATGTCAGCCTCATCAACGTCTCCATCGTGATCTCTGTCAGCAGCAGCGACATCTTTCATATCTACATTACCGTCGTTATTGATGTCAGCAACATCAAAGTCTTTATCATCAATGTCACCATCACCATCAGTGTCAAGAACGTCTTCTCTGTCAACGTCTCCATCGCCGTCAGTGTCTCCAAGAAATACTTTGCGGAGAGCGAAGTCAGTGGCATCAACATCACCATCACCATCCCTGTCCTCAACATCAAGATCGTCTTCATCGATAAAACCATCACCATCAATGTCATGTACATCAGCGGAGTCAACATCATTATCACCATCTTTATCTCCCTGCTTTACATCATCACCATCAATATCACCATCATCATCAATATCCGCGGCTTTAATGTCTTCTTCATCAATGTCTCCGTCACCATCAATATCGAGGACATCGTCACTATCTATATCACCATCGCCATCAGTATCAGCAAGTAAAGTGTTCCTGAAGGTGAAGTCTTTGGCATCAATAACACCATCAGCATTACGATCATTTATTTCAAGGTCATCACCATCAAGTTTGCCGTCACCATCAAGGTCGGCCATGTCAGCTTCGTCAACATCACCATCACCATCTTTGTCAGCGATGTTGAGATCATCCATATCAACATCACCATCATCATCTACATCTGCGGCGGCTATATCCTCACTATCAATATCACCATCACCATCTAAATCGGTAACATCTTCACGATCAAAGTCACCGTCACCATCTCGGTCTTCAAGGAGTGTACCTTCTTCATTATCATCACTTGCATCAATGTCTCCGTCACCATCTTTATCAGCTTTTAGAACATCAAGACCATCAATATCACCATCATTATCTTCATCTCCAATATCTACAGCATCAATATCACCGTCACCATCTTTATCACCGGCTTTAACGTCATCAGCATCAACATCACCATCATTATCAATATCGGCGATTGCATGATCATCTTCGTCTACATCACCATCTTTATCGATGTCAAGAACATCGTCTGAATCGACATCACCATCATTATCAACATCAGTAAGGAAGACCGTCTTTAAGGAGAAGTCCCGGGAGTCTACATCACCATCCCCATCTATGTCCACCACCTCAAGGTCATCACCGTCTACTCTCCCGTCTTTGTCCAAGTCGGTCAAGTCAGCGCCATCAATATCACCGTCTCCATCTTTGTCTGCGACTTTCACATCGTCTTCATCAACATCTCCATCGTTATCAACATCTGCGGCCCTAAAGTCTTTCTCGTCGAGAATACCATCGTGGTTGATGTCCACTACATCGTCCTTATCAATATCACCATCTTGATCCCTGTCCTCCAAAAGCACATCCTCTTCGTCGTCATCTGAAGAGTCGATATCACCGTCACCGTCCTCGTCCGCGGCGAGTACATCTGCTCCGTCAAAGTCACCATCTCCATCCTCATCGCCGATGTCACCTATGTCCACGAACCCATCATTGTCCCTGTCAGCAGCTTTTACATCCTCCACGTCTACAGTACCGTCATTGTTGATGTCCGCAACATTTATGTCATCTTCATCAATATCTCCGTCATTATCAGTATCTAGGACATCATCTTCGTCTACGTCACCATCGCCATCAGTGTCACCAATAATAATGTTTTTGTTTCTAACGTCGTTGTCGTCTACGTCACCGTCACCGTCTCTGTCAGTGCCGGGCTGCTCCTCATCTTCCTCCTCGAGTACTAGCCAAGTAAACACCGGCACCGCGGGGACACGGGGATCTAATACCTCCATGTCATGATCCAGCGACAACCTGTAATAATAGAGTACACTTGAGTCTCAGAGCCACCACTCGCTGTTCAAGTAATTCATCCACACTTATCCATACACCACATGGTCAGGTATCAATTACCTCCTCAGAGACTGAACACTGACCACCTTATGTCAGTCAAATTCATTCTCTTTGAACTTATTTATCACATGAATTATCAGAGTTAATGAATCCTTAACTTAAATATTACATTTACTGTTACTTTTAAGGTTTAGTTACATTATGTTCCACTCAAAGTTAATCTAATAAATCTTTCCGCCATCTACAAAACTTTATCTGCCTACACTCTTGTTTATAATCACATGAACAGAACTCATATTGTTTAACCTTTAAGAGACTTTTTACACACCTCTTCTCTTCTGCTGACACAACACACTCCTACCTTAAGGGGAGAGTCAAGACAAACAGACAGACACAGGCAGACAGACTAATACTTCTACAACCGAGAGATAAAAATACATGAACAGTAACCCGTCAATGTTATGTTCCAACCTATAGTTAGTAAAGTTCCTTAACCAAAACATTTTCTGGTGTCTCCTTTTCTCAACATTGTCTCTTAAAACTAAACAATAAAATCCGGGTTTTCAGGGAATTCCTTTCCGTGTAATTTTTTGTGTATAAAGACGATATTAGTGAGAAATTTTTAGCCTCTGTCTTTGTGACTAGTATACTGTGATAACAGAACTTCCACATTCCATTTATGATTTATTAATTAACTTGGACTTACACTTTGTCAATGTCATAACAGTGCACGTCACACCCCTGCACTCCCTTATTTACAGTAACCTAATCAAAATTTTAAATATTCTATACAAACATACATTAAAGAAACTCAAATTCTGTATATCATTGCATCACCGTGAAGTAATAATTATACCAGTAGTTCATACAGGGAGTGATGCACTTCTTCCATCTCTCCACCTCTATTGTTCCACTCCTTCCACCTACACTTACAGAGAACTTACTCTATAAAACGTGAATAAATTAAATTAATCATTACGGGAAGACACTACAGTGCGCTAAATTACTCTCAGGGGGTAAAATATGGAAGTATATGTACTCTAAGATAAAGGGGTTTTGTAAACAACGTTTCCTCCTTGTTAGTCCTTACAGATGGATTTTCTTCAACACTTATATTTTGTAACTGTGAAACTTTACTGTTTTCACTTTGATCTTCTGACGTTGTAAATGTACTCTTGTCACACTCTTCTTCGTCATACACGATTACTCTTAAGAACTTAATATTTGTTGATTAACTTCACATTCAGCAGAGTTTTGTCTTGAACAACATGTAGTCGGTTTGTGCAGTGGAATATATTACTGTATCAAGGTTCTAGTACTGCTCTCTCGACCGCCTTCACTTCCCCAAGTTGGAAACTCAGGTACCCGTTTACAGCTGGGTGGACTGGGCGTCCCTGTATTTGGAGTCTGTTCCTTATACTGTATCTGGGGTCTGTTAACCATACTGTATCTGGGGTCTGTTAACCATACTGTATCTGGGGTCCGTTAACTATACTGTATCTGGGGTCTGTTAACTATGCTGTATCTGGGGATCTGTTAACCATACTGTATCTGGGGCCCGTTAACTATGCTGTATCTGGGGTCTGTTAACCAAACTGTATCTGGGGCCCGTTAACTATACTGTATCTGGGGCCCGTTAACTATACTTAATTAAATATCTTAACTTATTTTAACTATGCCAATATACGTCTAATAAACCGGGCAGAGGAATGACCCTACAACTCACCCTTCGCCATCCCCGGCCCCATTGATAGCAGCGACAGTAACCCTGTAGGTGGCGCCACTCTCCAAGTCTGTCAGTTTAACAATGTTTAAGTTGGGAGTCAGAGTTTCACTGTAGTTAGTCACTGGGCCTTCTTCCCCGTCTCCATTGATTGTACAGTAATGCACCTTGTAGCCTCTCACAACACCGTGTGGCTCCTCTGGTGCTTCCCAGCTTAAGAGTAGACTGTCATCCCCCAGCTGCTTCGACTCCATGTTCGACACAGGCCCGGACTCTGTTGAGACGAAGGATACATTCAGTTTGGTGTTCATGAATTAAGGAATGCGTACTACGGCAACACACATTTATTTTTCACATTTGTCAATCTTCTCCTGCTATGATGCAAGATGGGAGACATTAACAATATGTGCTTTCTCCGCCAGTCGTTCTTACGCTGTAACAGATGTGTTTTACCATGTTGATGTTTCATAAGGTCCCAAGATATTGATCAAGGGTGTCTCCAATCCCTCCACACATCTAGCAACAAATACAGTTTAAGTTCTTGGTCTTGTAAATTATATACATCATCTTCCATAATTCTCTTCTACTGAAATGATTATGACTTATGACTAGTTTTGAAAGCCATCTAAACCAAATAAAGATATATTGCAGGTGAAGTGCTAACCTCCTTCGGCAGTCTTGAAGGCAACGATGGTGCTGGCAGGACCTGTGAAAGCGGAATTGACGGCACTCACTCTAGCCCGGTACGACATGAAGGGTGTGAGACCCTTTAACTCTGCGCGACCTACAGATCCTGTCGCCAACACTTCTTCGTGAAGTTCATCATCGTCATCATCACCATCATGGTCTTCCCAATACTCAATCTAATAATAGATACATTTATGTAGTATTTATTAAAAGCATAACAACTATTATTATTAAGTCTATAACTTTACGATACATCGATGATAGAATACAATACTGATAAAAAAATAAAATATTAACTTCAGTGTTTAATTGGTGTACCATAAGACCTCCCCTTACACCTAACCTTGTAGCCAAGAAGCAGGCCGTTAAGAGAGTCTTGGTCAACGGGTGTCCATGTAAGGACGGCGTCGGTGGCGTCAGCATCAAGCACCTTGAGGTCGTCAGGCTCGTCTTCAGGTTCTGTGGTAGAGTTGTCTCAGCTTCATGATCCATGATAATCCAATTATGGACAAGTACAGTGATCCACACGAACAGTTGTTACTTTAGGATAAACTCCCCAGTTTTACCTAATAATAGGTAGTGTGACTAAAGTAAAATACACTGTCAACTGGCTTTATCAGGCCACCATGGAGATGAAAAGTGATTTATTTTTAATTATTGAATAAACAGTACCCAATAATATACAACCCCAAATGAAAGGCTAAATTTATTTGAGTAAATAAGTGTAAATGAGACAATCTCACCGTCGACCTTCGCATGAGGCAAACATCGCTAAACACTTCTCCATAGATGTGAACAACACTTGTACAGTATCTCAAAAAAGTATCTGTCAGGATGGGTCCGATGACTTCCGAAATGCTACATGCAACTCGTGATGTCCCGGGAGGGTTGGTATGTGTGGCCCTGTGGCACACTGATCCTACTACATCTGGTGACCGAACATCATATTAATTAAGCCAAGATACACACACATTACTTCACTTATATCAAACTATATACCAAAGTAAATGGATGTCCCAATATCTATCACTAGTGGCCCCGTAACGTTTCACACAGTGTGTGGACAGACTTTTGTGAGATACTGTACACAGCAGATCTGCATAAAAAAATATTATTTTACCTTTAACCTTTAAGATGAACGCATAGTGCTTACCGTCCTGGCCGGAGTGGCCGGTATAGGTGAGGAGGCTCGGTGGGGCGGCACCGTAGGCGTTGTGGGCCTCCACTTCTACTTCATACTCCAGATAAGGCGGCAGCTCCGTCATCTCCACCTGGTTCTAAAGTATATCCAGAACGCCATACTTGATGTTATTAATGGTGTGTTTTGAAGGTATATTCAATTAGTGTATAAATGTATAACTTTTTGCTTCAAATACTGTACAGTAAAGTCCGTATTCTTGGTAAACACACAGTTGAGAATTAATTTATTGAACATTTATAATAAAAATTAATCGTGTCCAATGGCGGACACAACAGTTACTGTAGATTACAAACTTTTTCCCAGTCATCGAAGATCATTGTGTGCCAACCATCGTCGTCATTTTCTTCGTCCTCAGTCTTGGTCTCGCCTTCGACTTCATCAGTTGTGGTGACGTTCTCTTCGTCATCGTCGGCGTCATCAGCGTCATCAGTTCGCCAGAGGACTTTATAGTGAAAGTCCGGCCCATTATGTTCTTCAGGTGCCATGGTCTGTCAAAATAAATTATTAAAAGTTAAACATTATCAGAGCGGATGCAAACCCTGTCCGCGAACTATTACCATGACCGGTTAGTATTGAACTAGTAACGTTGTTACTGTAAATTAATGTCCCATGTCATCGCTGTCTTTTACGCCAGATTAACTCTGAACAGCGATCAGTTGATGTATAAACTACTGAAATATTATCTCCACGATGAGCAGCCCCTGCCATGACGTGTGACACAGCTAGTGAGACCCATAACTGTTATGCACCGTACGTTTTGGAGAAGACCATCAGGCACTAGAAAGTGCCGGATGCGAATCTAGCAGCAAAGAAACTGCAGTGGCTGGACCTTCCCGAAGGGGAACGAGATTGATAGTACAGACAAGCATTCCATCGATGAGCATACTCTGCCAAGATATAATGAAACTTCCTTTCGGTCGACGAAGATGTGAGCCTCTCCACCCTCTGACCCTCACGTCAGCTGTGGAAACCTCAGGAATGTGGAGAGTGATCAGCTAAGTGCTGCTTCTTTGAAAAGCGTTGAAACCACGATTACAGAAGATTAGCCAGGGCTGAGGAGGCAAGACTGTTTGTGACTGACACAAACAGGTTGAACACCAATGAGCAGATGACCGAAGTCAAGAAAGTTGAAGAGGCTGAACTGAGATGTACACACGTAGAGGCCGACACTAGACTGTTGTTGCATGCAGCTCAGGCAACATCATGGCGCTCCAGCTATGGTCATCAATTCTCCAGACAGTGACGAGGTAGTTACTGGCGTCTCATTCTGTTATTGTATTGGCTCACAGCTGATCTTACGCACAGACACACAGCAGCGTACTCGTTACCTGGATCTCACAGCAATCGTGCATGTACATGGAAGAGATGTCTGCACTGCCCTGCCTGGTTACCATGCTATGATGGAAGAAGAGGCCATCTGCACCCCCTATGGGAAGAAGCAGTACAGCCGGGTGAATGAGCTGATGCACAGTACGAGATGTTTGGCGCACTCACGATGGATCCATGCAGGTTATCACTGTCAGGGTGCAGCTGAGAACCACCTGCACTGTATCAACAACCAGACTGCCATCTGGACAGGGTATCTAGAAAGCTGTCTAGAGGTGCCATCTCCACAGGGTCATGGATCGGACGCCGCAGGCAGCGAAGTCACCATCAAGTGGCTAGATGTGTCCCCTGCACCTATGTCAGTCTTGGAATGTGTCAGCTTAGCTTAAGACACTAACAAGGTATTCTGCCTGGTTAGTGTTTATACAGGAGTGTTACAGAGTGAGCAGTATGGTTATTACCTGCCAGGAGATGACGAGCGTGCCGGGTGATGTGCCCGTGACAGTGACGTTGTAGGGGTGGTGGTCAGGCGGGAGTCCTGGCGGGAAGCACTGGGCAGTGTCCTCACTTGGATCAGACATACCTACACGGTTGAACGCCAGCACACGGAAGGTGTAGTTCAGTCCCGGGCTCATATCCACCTATGGAGAATTATTGTGTCAAATAATTTCAAATGGTATGACTATTAATAATATCACACAGTTAATATAAATCATCCGCTGGATATATTGACCGACTCATATAACTACGTGTTATTACAAGTTATCTGTACCTCTAAGGTCCTCTGTACCAGTCAGATCACCTGTAACAGTCAAGTCCTCTGTACCAGTCGGATCACCTGCAACAGTCAAGTCCTCTGTACCAGTCAGATCACCTGTAACAGTCAAGTCCTCTGTACCAGTCGGATCACCTGCAACAGTCAAGTCCTCTGTACCAGTCAGATCACCTGTAACAGTCAAGTCCTCTGTACCAGTCAGATCGCCTGTAACAGTCAAGTTCTCTGTACCAGTTGGATCACTTGTAACAGTCAAGTCCTCTGTACTAGTCAATTCTCCTACCAATCAGAGGTCATCTCTACCACTTAAGGACCTTCCTTCTCGACCAGTAGGAGAGACAAACATGAGCCAGACCAACCACACAGACAGAGACATTACACCAATCAACCAGACTAAATATACAAGTCGGGGGAGGTGAGAAGTGTAACTCAGACGAGTGAAATACAGAGACAGGTGTAGACAGGCAGCGTGTGTCAGAGGAGGCAAAATGTATTAGTCAGGGGAAAAATATACCATCAGAGGGAGCAGATATACCAGTCACAGAGGCAGATATACCAGTCACAGAGGCAGATATACCAGTTACAGAGGCAGATATACCAGTCACAGAGGCAGATATACCTGTCACAGAGGCAGATATACCAGTTACAGAGGCAGATATACCAGTCACAGAGGCAGATATACCAGTCACAGAGGCAGATATACCAGTCACAGAGGCAGATATACCAGTCACAGAGGTAGATATACCAGTCAAGGGGGGGGGTAGATAATAAGTCAGGGGGAAATATTCAGTCAGAATTGGAAATATACCAGTTAGAGGAGAATGTGTACCGCTCAGAGGGGCAACCTGCTCATAGTTCTTATTTTGGAAACTTGGTGATGTTCAGACAAAAAATATGTATTGTCTTATATCAGTATAACACCCCATAGATATTAATGGCTATACATCTCCAAGACACAAATATCAACATCTTCATCACAATATTTGGCAAACATCATTCGGCTATATCAATTATATACACGACGTATATTTTATATTTTTTACGAGAGGAATTACTGCGCCGTTAACTTCAACTATCAAAGCTTATCTCATAATTAGACTGCGTATAGTAAACCTCTCGGACGAACACAATTGTTGGGGTGTTTTTGGTATTTGGGCAACAATTAAAACGTCTGCATGACTACTGTATATTAGCTAAACCCACAAATTTATCAAACCTGTCCGCACCAACAAACCTGAACGGTGAGGTGCGATTTCCTTCCACACACTACAGTTATTGGTGTGGACAAACATACAGTACAACCAGTGTGACAATATGTATACACCTACTTTATTTACACAACTATCATAAAATAGTTATACATTATAGGTGTATCAATTCTACTGCAAACAACGTAGAGCATTTGACCCTCTGATTGAACCTAAGGGCCCGTCTTACTTCCGTGTACATACAAACTGACAGTCAATTCAGAGTTTCTTTTCTTCCTAACTGGAAAAGCTTTAAGACATTACCGAAGAGGTACTACTATCAACTCAGTACATTTATAATCATTAGACATTGCTAGAACCAATTAAAAGAGAGATATCCCAAAACTAGCTTTAATTCTTTTTACTAAAATGTTAAACAAAAATTATTTTATTCAGATTATTTTCGTGATGCACTGACTACTTTCTGTACCTCAACATGGTATTGTGGCCGTGGGAAACACCTTGAATCTGGGGGATGCTGGGAGGGAGGGATGGCATGTCCCATGGTACAGACTATAATTTGGTAATTCGTATTGGAGTGAACTGGGGCATCACAGCTACAAGAGAAGGTTTATGGGAAGAACTAATACATGATGGTTGTTTAGTGATAGAGATGAATGGATACACACTAGATGCTTATGTATTACTATCATGAAAAAACATAAGTAAGGGATAAATTTTTAATATTAATAGAATAAGTAAACTTTACTGTTAGGAGAATTTTTACCAATAGGATCAGACTTAGAAATACAGTGTCTAACAAAAGATGGCTGTATATTAATGCATTTATAGATATACCTGGAGTATGATGATGTATTAATACTAGAAGTATACCTACAAGGTAAGATACTCACACGGGCGATGGTCTGGAAGCGAGACTAGCGGTGGCCGGGAGAGGAGAGGGCACAGGAGAGTTAAAGGCAAAATATTGGTTAGTTAGAAATAGGTCCTCTGTTTGGCACTAAGGTAGGGCTCCAGTGTGGGCAGGGCTCCAGTGGGAGTGGAGTTGCAGTGTGGGCAGGCTCCAGTGGGAGTGGAGCTGCAGTGTGGGCAGGGTTCCAATGGGAGTGGAGCTACAGTGTGAGCAGGGCTCCAGTGAGGGGGTGGAGCTGCAGTGAAGGCAGTGCTCCAGTGAGGGGGTGGAGCTGCAGTGAAGCCAGTGCTCCAGTGAGGGGGTGGAGCTGCAGTGAAGGCAGTGCTCCAGTGAGGGGATCTCTAATGGAATAAGACTGGTGTGCGGGAAGCCTCCAGTAACAATAGAGCTCCGTGGCGGTCAGGCTCCAATAAGCACAGGACTAAAATACTGGGGATTTCAGTACCAGTGAGGCTCCAGGGAAGATGGAACTAGAGGGACACAAGAGGAGGAAAGGTTCAAGAGTAGAGGGACACAAGAGGAGGAAAGGTTCAAGAGTAGAGGGACACAAGAGGAGGAAAGGTTCAAGAGTAGAGGGACACAAGAGGAGGAAAGGTTCAAGAGTAGAGGGACACAAGAGGAGGAAAGGTTCAGAAGAGTGGAACAATGGAGAAAGTAGACTTAACTGGGGGAGGGGGCAGAGGGGGGGACTATTGGAGATGTGACTCCATTAAGAGGAAGGTTCCTGGGTGAACGAGGCTTGATCGAGAAAGGGACTCCAGTGGGAATAAAATTTCAGTAAAGTGAACTTCGTGGGAATGGGGAATATGGTGAGAAGTAGGTCGAGTGGGGTGGGTCTCTTATGAAGGCAGGCTAAAGTGAGGGCGAGGCGTCAAAGAGGGTTTTATATCCATGGAAGCAGGACTCTAAGAGGGAATGAAATTTCAGATGAGTTAGGACTCTTAGAGGGAAGTATATGTCTGTGGTAATGTACTTCCAGAGGTTTAGGACGCCAACTGAGGTAGGATGTAGTAAGCCTGAGGTGGAGGAGACATCGGTGTGTGCCAGTGGGAATAAACCGAGATGAAACTTTAGCAGAGGTAATTCTCCCATGAGAGGCAACAGCAGTGGTTGGAGCCTCATTGACAATGGACATTAAAAGTAATGGGGCTCCAGTAGTAACGGGGAGGACTGAAGTTCCATAGAAGTGAGGCTAAATTAGCGATAGTGGTCAGTAAGTGGTGGTGCGCCAGCAGAAAGTGAGCATTCTATTCAAGAAAAGCTTCAGTTAAGGATATTATTTCAGCATAAAAATAAATTCACAATTTGTATGAGTTTATTTGTCGACAGAGGGAGAGTAATGGAGCTCTAATAATGCTGGTGCTCCATTCTGTATAGTTTCAGTAACGGATAAGACTTCAGTAAAGAATGAAGGTACTTTAAAGGAATGATACCAAGTTGATGTCAGACTCAAATGAAGTTGGTTTCAGTTAACATAAGACATTGGTAAGGCTGGACTTTCAATGCAGGGACGAGGGTTAAGGTTTCTGCAGGGAGTCTGGAGCTCTCGTCAACGAGACTGGAAAGTGATGTGGTCTTGAACGACAGGATGGGGCAAGGTTCCAGCCAACACACAAGTTTCTTTAGAATAGCATACGGCAAAGGCTCGTGGATATTAAATTTCATTAATGAGTGAGGTTTTAGTACAGTGGCACGTTAGTTGATCAGGACGGTAGGTGGAAGAGCCTAAACGAGTATAGGGTGGATCTAGTAGGATGTGAAACCCAAAACGTTTTGAAATATCAATAGAAATTAGGCCTTCCTATCAGTGCGGGTGTGTCTAGCGTAGAGGGGGAAGCTGAGAGGTTTGGGTACCTGTTGGGTCTCTTGCAGGGAATGAGAGTGCAGTAAGAATGGGGTTCTGGGATTATGGAAGGTCTTTAATAACGTAAGGTTTAGGTAAGGGAGGAGTTCCACCAGGGACTTGGACCTCGTCGGGAATAAACTTTTTGTGGGAGTGAGGTGGGTGGAGAGGCTACAGCACAAGGGGAATGCAAATACGTGTGGGACTCCAACGATGGCAAGGCACCCAAAAGGGAGTAACCATTTTGGATGGGGCAGTAATGGATGGGGGGCTTGATGGGGTTGGGCATCAATATAGGCTAGACGCCATCAGGAGCTGTGACTACCATGGGGTGTTGTTAGGGGGAATAAGAGTACTAACGAAAGTTATACAACTGTGTTAAAGAACTAAGCAACCTACTAAAGTATATACCACTGTGTATAAGCTTACTGAAGAAAATATAAGAAAATTAAATGCTGCATTATTAGAATAGAATTACTAGACTGACCAACTAGGACTGAAGATCACAACTAAGAAATGAATATAGAGGTTGACTCATATATGATACTGTAGAAATATATTGGCATTTATACCTACAGTCAGAAAATAAGTGAGGTACTGTACCAAGAACCACTCAACCGTGTTACTACTAAACACACAATATTGGTGAACTTTTACAGAGTAATGTTTGATAAGTATTCAGAGCAAAAATCTAATAAAGAGTTTTCCAAAAGCAAATATTAGAGCAAGACTGACAGAAATTATCATTATGTCAAAAAGCATCAAGGAGTCGGCAAAAATAAAAAATGGGTCGAGTAATATAATCGTGGAGACAAAGATAGATGGCGGGGAAGGTCAGGCACTCACCACACTTACAGTAGGAGTAGACAATATGAGGTAGTATAAATAGCAGGTCATGCTGAGGCAACGTTTACCTAATATATAACACAGGAATTTGTAACAGTGATTCGATCGTTAACAATAGCTCTTAATCCTCTTTGGGTTAAAGCCCTGACTATATAAATATATTGCAGTCTTCCTTTAAACAGTGATCCTTACGAACACCGATAATAAAAACTGAATGGTTCCGTTCCGTAACTTTACATTAAGTTACAATCAAGAAGTGTAATTCGGAGTTTAAAACTTATAACACGGAAACGGATAAAAGAAAAGGTTAGACCAATTTCCGATTATTTCAAAGACTGTACAAAAGAAAATGAAGGAGAGTATTTACTAAGGCAAAAATAGGCAAGGTTTCACATCTATTGTGAACGAAGCCTCAGAGGAGCGGCCATATGTAAACGATAGCAGGTGAAGCACTGACTCGACGAAAAATTTGGAATCGGTGCCATTGATTAGTGATTGGTAGAAAAATGTCACATTTCGCTACAGAGGAGAAATACTGGATAATACTACAGTTTTGGTAAATAACAGTAATTATGTTACAGTATTCCCTGATGATAACTAACTAATGAAAAGTTAATAAAGGCTTCTTATTCTAAAATATCTTATAGAAGAGAAAAACTGAATAGAAGTACTTTATATACAGACTAAAAAGGAAAATAAGAAAAAATGGAAGCATCATCCAAGACAATGGTGCAATAACCATACAACACTGTGGTGTGAGGGAGAACCATACAACACTGTGGTGTGAGGGAGAACCATACAACACTACTCTAGGGAGAATTTATACCCCGTGTTAGCAAGGGAGGTAGGGAGGGAATTATGAAAGGAGAATGAACCAGAATTATTGGTAAATGGATTATCGAGGGAATTTGGCAAGGAAAACTGAGACATTGTGGTAAGTATTAGAACTGGGACATTGTGAGTAGAGGTAAACTGGGACATTGTGAGTAGAGGTAAATTGGGACATTGTGAGTAGAGGTAAACTGGGACATTGGTCACTGAGAAGAGGTAAACTGGGACATTATGGCGGGAAAGGATCACCACAATAGTGTAGACAAAGGGATGAATCAGGGTTTAGTAGTAAGAAAGAGAATTAGCACACAGTAGTAAAGGTGGGAATAAAGACACATTGATGAGGGTTTGACTTAGAATAGCGTAGTGAGAGGGATTAACTGGGACAGAATAGTGGTGAGAGGGATTAACTGGGACAGAATAGTGGTGAGAGGGATTAACTGGGACAGAATAGTGTAGTGAGAGGGATTAACTGGGACAGAATAGTGGTGAGAGGGATTAACTGGGACAGAATAGTGTAGTGAGAGGGATTAACTGGGACAGAATAGTGTAGTGAGAGGGATTAACTGGGACAGAATAGTGGTGAGAGGGATTAACTGGGACAGAATAGTGTAGTGAGAGGGATTAACTGGGACAGAATAGTGCAGTGAGAGGGATTAACTGGGACAGAATAGTGGTGAGAGGGATTAACTGGGACAGACTAGTGCAGTGAGAGGGATTAACTGGGACAGAATAGTGTAGTGAGAGGGATTAACTGGGACAGAATAGTGGTGAGAGGGATTAACTGGGACAGAATAGTGCAGTGAGAGGAATTGACTGGGCCATTCTGGTAAGAGAGAGACGAATTACTCTAGTTGAAGTGAGAACCGGGACACAGACGAAGGAGAATAATTGAAGTGAAGTTTTAGTAGTGATGAAGCAATACGGCGGGGCTATACTTGCTACACACGTGAACTAACAAGTATCTAGTGTTGGCTTAAGATGGGACGGGTTGTGTTAGTAGCGCTAAATGATGTCAATGAGGAAGAAAAAATATAGATGCTCTGGCAAAAAACTGTGGATAAACGTTCATGCTGAAATATAGTGGAAATATTACTGACAAACAAGGCGTGAAGGATTGAACCTGGAGACAAGGTGGAAGTAATCAAAGATGACGAGGGGAAATGTATCTGGGCAGGAGTTCTTCTTACAGGTAACAAATTAATGGCAACGTAACAACTCACTGAGAAGGATGTTGATGAAGCTGGAATCTTATTTTCGGCGTCTTTCCAGTCATCAGGGTGGAATGGTGTGACGTACTGGATGACAAAGCCTTGAAGTGGTGCGTTATTGTCTCCTGTTGACGACCACTCGAGGAAAGCTTCCCGGTCTTCACAGTGAGCCGTCATCAGATGAGGCGAGTTGGGTACATCTGTAAATGCAACCCAACCCAAACCCTGTACTGTAACATTACCTTCTGTGTCATATATACAGCATTATAAATATTAAGGTGATAGGAGAGAGACTCTTATCAGTCCGTCATTCTGAACTCTTATGTAACCACACTAAACACATTCATTCTGCAATGTATCAATTAAGCTAAGTTCTGTCGATCTACTCATGTTGTTATTTGTACGTTTTTATTTTTTTTCCTTTAAAGAATATATTTTGGATTCAGAAGGTAGATTAGACGAAAAAACATTACTTAAAACTAACGGGTCATTCTCCTGAGACGAGATACTTACCTGGTAAAGATATGCTATGCTTACTTACCCTCGACAGTAAGAATGACATTATCTGAGGCGTCGTCAACTTCAGTGTGAACACTGCAGGTATACACACCAGAGTCGTGGCCATGGACCTTCATGATCTCCAACACCCACGTCTCCTCCTCTCTCCCGTCTTCGTCGTCATCCTCATCACCATCATCAATTTTATTGTCAGGGAATTCTGTGGAGATAGTTTGTATTCAGATACAATTCAATTTCATTATTAATTTTCCTCCAGCAGTTTTTACCGAGTTACTGATGGTGGACCAACAAATGTACTGTTACATAGTATTATGTAACAGCAGTAGATGTACTGTACTTGTATATAACATGAACTTGTAGAAATACCCTTACATAGTTGTATATAACACTCCAACTACTCAACAGTCTGGATTTAGATCACAGAAAAGCACCTTGCTCATGACGCCACATTTAATTAACAGTACTCGCAGAAAATGGGTCTCATAGGCTTAAGGCCCGTTGGGGCGGCCTTTTTTTCCAGTACACAAGACGGCATTGTGCCTGCATTGCACCAGACCAACTTCGCTTCTACCAGCTGTAATATCAGGTACCCCACTCACAGCCACCCTTACAATAAGAGGTGAGCGCTGTATCCACACCACCGTCGCACCCCCAATGTATGTAATCAGCAGTAGATAGAAACGTATACAGATAATGCAGTTACAATATTTACATTACTACGTGATTTATTTGCCCCAGAGAGTCACTGTAATGACTCTTCGCGTGTCCGTCTGTCAGCCAATCAGATGCTATTAACTGACTCTAGGCCTCAGTTGCAAAGTTCAAATGAGTAGAAATGGGCTCACTAGTGCTGGAAGCCGTGAAATTCAAGATATGCGAAATAGCATATTTGTCAAAAATGTGTGAGCCATGGAGAACTAGTTGTAATTAAAGGGCACCTCCTTGTCAGGGCAACGAAAGGATGTGATATGAACCCAGCAGAAAATCTGAAGGCAACTATGAGTAGAAACTGGACAAAATATTTCGGGCTTTGGCCCTCATGCTTGGTAAAGGTCCCGGGTCCTCCACGCACGATGTAAAGGTTCTTGACAGCAGTAACCATAGAAGTATGTGAAACACTCAATGGAAGTATTACTTACCGCTCCGTCCAAGACGGTAATTATCATCTTTAAGGTTTATTTTGACATCGTCCTTGAACCAGGTGACTTCGGGCTTAAGGTGTGAGTCGATCTTGACGAGGCAGTTGAGTGAGACGTGATCATTTGCCTCGACTCTGTCACTCGATAGGCTGGCCTCAGCCCCCGTTTTCTCTGGGAATATCAATTAAATATCTAAATAACACACATTATAAATAGTACCAGTTAATACAATAGTAAAGATAGACATTATATTAGTTTGTTGTTGCAGCTGTTATGTTGTTGTTACTAAAATACTTTTTATTTTTCTTCTTCTAAACATTATTCCTATTAGACACAGTAATGGAATTAAGTTTTGCAATAACATTTTCATTAATACTTTTGAAATGATTGTTATTGGTCCTTACGTCTATTATTATTATTATTATTATTATTATTATTATTATTATTATTATTATTATTATTACGTTATCATTATTTTTGATTAATACTACAATAAAACACGTACAGTTGTGTATGGTAATGCTACTAACCTCGCATCACAATCTCTGCAACTGAATTCAACGACGCGAACTTGTTGGTAGCAATGCAGATATACTGACCCTCGGTGTCCTCGTCTACAGATCTGCCGGGAGACAGGTTGTTTTTTGTTTTTTTCCAATATTAATAACAAGAATTAAATCATTGTTGTGTGACAGGTAGAGAGGCAGTAGGCTACATCATTACCATCTGGCAGAGGTAGGGAGGCAGTGGGCTACATCATTACTATCTGGCAGAGGTAGGGAGGCAGTGGGCTACATCATTACTATCTGGCTAGGCAGTCATTACTATCTGGCAGAGGTAGGGAGGCAGTGGGCTACATCATTACTATCTGGCAGAGGTAGGGAGGCAGTGGGCTACATCATTACTATCTGGCAGAGGTAGGGAGGCAGTGGGCTACATCATTACTATCTGGCAGAGGTAGGGAGGCAGTGGGCTACATCATTACTATCTGGCAGAGGTAGGGGGGCAGTAGGCTACATCATTACTATCTGGCAGAGGTAGGGAGGCAGTGGGCTACATCATTACTATCTGGTAGTTATTAACAAGAAGTAGCATCATTATCATTGCACAGTTCATGATGTATCTGAAGGGCTTCACCTTTACTGCAAGACATCTAAAATCTAATTGGTGAGAATTGCCTTGTTAAAGACCCCAGGCAGCATTAATACAGTACAGTTTTATATGAGGGCATAGGTATCAATATTGTTGGTCGTTTCGTTATTAAAAGAACTTGAAACCCAACCGCTGCTCAATGGCATAAAAAAAGTTATTGTATCCTAAAAATTATTGAGTAACTGCCCAAAGAACCGATGATTCCAGCACTCACCATAAAGAGACTTAAGAAACAAGGCGCCTTGACCCAAAGTCTTGTTTAACATAGGTGCCATCGGTTTAGTGCACAGATGGGCCCGAAATCCCCCTAAAAAAAAGGGAGGATTTGGGATTGCAGTGAAAACTAAAGATGCTGTATGGACGAACATAAGTCACCGAGTAGTTTGAAGTTTTTCCTACACCTCTGCCTTGACCGGTACTATCTGATTGTTAATGAAACCCCGCTTCTATTACCAGGATACCAGTAGTTATTGGCTGTGAAAAGAATCACAAAATTAGATAAATTTGGATGCTAAACAGCCCAACTAATGAGGCAACGTTGTCTGCCTGCTGAAGGGACTGAGGGATTTAGAGAGAAGTGTCAGGTATTTACTGTAATTTAAGCTTATTGCCAGAGCACATTAGGTGGTAAGTATTGTTGTGTCTTGCCCTTTGCTTTCTATATTATGCTATTAGTTAACTGAACTATAACAAGTTAATTGGTACAGTTCTCTTAATAGTTTCTCCAGACTTTCATACAAATTTATGTCATCTACGGAATACAGTGTCGAGGACTACAGAATTTCATGACCTCGCTCCTCACAGCTTTGTCATCATGATCTTCTGCCCATTATTCAGAGTCCCAATTAAAATATACTTCACCCATAAGCCAATTTCTTCACCTAATCAAATGTGGTGTACTTAATGGGTTAACAGTCTCATAATTAATGGAGTATCATACACATACAAATGTAACAACTGTCTCGTTACAAACTTTATTATCAACTTGTTGTCTTCGACGTCATAGCGAGGGTCCCCATCGTCAATGATAACCTTCTCATCACCCTCCATCTTGGCCCAGGTCATGTTGGGGTCGGGAGAGCCATAAGCCTCGCACTCCAGGGTGGCGGCCCCGCCTTCCAGCACTGCCAGGTCCGCCGGCTCCGTTAACCACTCCGGAGGAAGAGCTAAATCACACCATTACATGTAATTTCGCGACAACACAACGCATGTCTATGATTTTGTATTAATATATGAAATATTCTATTTCAATTAATAATTCTAAACTAATAATAATGTTTCTATGCCCATCGATTAATCTTGTTTGAAAAATAAAAACTAATAAAAAGCAGCAAATGAATAGCAAGCGGCTCAAGATAAAGAATTAATCTAGATTAAACTTACACAAAACATTGAGGTAGACACTCTTATACACGTAACCATGTTCGTTGGAAGCGTTGCAAGCGATGGCAGCTTTCATGCTGGACTCTAGCGTGTCGAACACCACCTGCTCCAGCCGATGGGAAAACACGCTCTAGTTAGTTGCTTGTTCAACATATATATAAACTTGGAAACAACGTGGGAAAAAGAAAATTTAAAAATTTCTTAAGCGTTTTCGTGTATTAAAATCATCATCAGAAGATACACAGTCAGAGAGCTACATGTTGTCTCTAGCACACCCTGGAAGCAACTGATCCTCAAGGTCCAAAAGGCCCCCCTCCCCCTCCCCTTTGGACCTTAAGTAACCTTAATCCTCTTACCCCGTAACTCGTCAGGTCAAAACATTCTTGGTGTTTAAATATGAAACATCAGGAATAATAGATTGTGTACGAGTCCTTAATTTACTCTATAGCCTAACTACCAATATTTACAAGGTATAAATCTACCAGCTTCCTCCTAATGGTAGTAAGCCGACAAGCATAAGGCAGGAGACGGTATAATACATGTGGGTCGTGGTAGGTTTAGTCATGGCGTGTGGTGTGTGAGGTTGTGTAGTGGTGGCAGGATTGGTCTTCACATATTTGCTCAGACCCGTCATGAGTGGTTCATACAGACACACAACTTGGTATTAGTTGATTAAATTACAGGTAAGTGTAATATCAAGTCCTCTTGGAGGTAAGCAAAAAGTTAGCATGGGGAGAATAATTGTGAATGTTGTCCACATAATAATGAAGACTGGATGCATAAACGTTTTATTAGTTTACCCTAATATTATCTAAAACCACACACAACTCATCAGCAGTCACAAGTTGAGAACACATTACTAGACACGACAGTATGCTGGGTCACCTCTTCCCTACCTACTGTAGTACAAGTCAGTGGTCATTTGCCATCTCGCCATTTGTTTCCTGTACTTTCGTATAGATCACGGGAGTCCAAGTGTCCCGACTTCTTATATCTTTTCCTAGATTCTGCACACGTTTGGCTGTCATTACATTTGACTAACAGGGCTCTTTTTTAACACTTCCACACTTCTGTTATTACTGGACTTTACATCTTCTCGCTCACCATCACTCAAACACTGCTGCACCTCAATATGGCACAGAGGAACGTTTACTGTGGAGTATACTGTACGTCGGCAGCTCAAGGGGTTTATAGTGGGTGTGGTTATATTATTTACTATTATACGGTGAGCTTAGTGATATTATTTGAAACTATATTGGATATAATAATTCTTAGTTATGGTGAGTGTGGAGGTAAAGGTATTATGATGAATGGTGTTATATAGTGTTATGGTGGGTGTACTGACATTGTAAGATAGCATGATATTTTTTATGGTGGATGAAGTGTTGATGTTACGATGAGAAGAGTGATCGCACACGTCGTTATGGTGCATTCTCTACTCTGATGTTTAAGACTGATTGATGACAGATACAGTACACTAAAGTTGTTTACGTGGTTGTCGTTGTAATACTGTAAACCAACATTCTCACCGTAGTCTCGTGGGTGTCGAGTAATTGGCCGTTCTTGGTCCAGGTGATGGTCGGTTTGGGGTCGCCACTGGCCTCGCAGTTGAAGACGGCCGTCGCGCCCTGAGGCGAGTTGATCACCCCGGGTTCAACCACGAACTCAGGAGCAGCTGTGGGTTGTGAAGACATCTTATCTACCGTTGCATGTATGGTATCCGAGTGTTAATGACATTATTATATTTTTTATGCATCTATTCATTGAACCACACTACTTATTTATTCATGAGTGGAACTTTTAGATTACATCCCACATAACTATACTGTAGACTGTGAGTCTCCTTGGAAGTTCTGAGTGCACATTAAAGTTTTTTTAACTAGTGGTTCAACATCATCATAACATACATAGGCTATGAGCTGCCTCTCTAATTCTTTACTAGTCTGTTTGTGTGTTGAATACGGGTGTTCTTCCCATGACAGTTCATGACAACTCCTCGTGGGTGAGCTGTGGAACGTTGTCGGGGTGTCGTAGCAGCACCCATCCTAGATAGTGCTGCAATAAATCCTTATTTATGAACAGAAAACACAGAATTATCATCTACCTTCAACGTAAACTGTAAAGTGCTGCGTATCACTCTCGCCAGCCTCATTGGTGGCTTGACAGTAGTAGGAACCCATGTCCACCTCCTCAAGGTCTTCCAGCACCAGTACTTTCCCGTAGTGGTCCAACTTGTCGCTCTCCACGTCGCCACGACTCTCACGCCACCACCTCACCTCCGGCACCGGGCTGCACCAGGGAGCGAAGCATGAGGGAGAAATATGTGTATTTGTTAACATTATGTCACTGCTGTTAAGTCTACCAGTCACCTCATCTCACTGTTTAATCTCCATCTATTATATGACAATTCCAAAAATTATTAGTCACAACTCAGGACACAACACCAGTACATTAGAGTAACTTACTATCCACCATAGATGCAGTATAGTTTGATGTCATCTCCCTCGAGCGCTGTAACTTGGCTCTCGCTGACGTACTGCTGGACGGGTGGTTGGCTGTCCTCGGGCAGGGTGGTTTTGTCGTCGCCCGGATAACTTACATTCAGGTACACCCAGTTTCCCATCCGGTACTCAGTCCTGGCCGTGAATATAAGCTCATCACACTCTTATACACCATACATGAACTATTGTATGATAATAATGTATTTCTGGAGTATATTAGATAATTTGAAATAATTTTAAGTTATTACATAAATATTTAAAATATTTCCCCATCCATAATTCTCCTCTCACTAGTCTATAGCTGGCAGTGGGACGTGCATGCTGAAATTCACACTCCGTGTCCTTCACTAAATTTTATTTGAAGAGAAGCAGAAAACGCTGAAAGACGGCTTAAGAACTGTGAGAGAGAGAGAGAGAGAGAGAGAGAGAGAGAGAGAGAGAGAGAGAGAGAGAGAGAGAGAGAGAGAGAGAGAGAGAGAGAGAATTCAAAATAAAGATAGCATTATCAAGATCGACTATTTTGATGTTGTCAACTTGGTGAGAGAGAAGACAATGATCGTATTTCCAAACAGAAGACTATTTGTACGTTAGTTGTGATATTAAGGGTTAAACAATCCGGAACATGAGAAATTATTAATCGGTGAAATCCAAGCATAATGAGGTGAAGGCTGGTGTGATTACTTGTAAGATAGAAGTATACACTACCACTAGTTACTCCTGTACCGTGTTAAAGGAGGTTTTAGATCTTACAAACACTGATACAGTGCCGTCAGCAATGTAAGAAGTATACTCGAGGTCTGATAATTAAGTTCGCGAATTCGTCGCATGGCTCAACAGGCTGCAGCACTGCAACAAGTCGCATGTCGAAGTTGAAAGTAAAGACAATGCTCATCATTTTTTTTTTCGATTCTAAGGGTGTAGTTCACAAAGAATTTGTTCCCCAGGGCAGAGTGTGAACTAGTTTTACTATCTCGATGTGCTTAAAAGACTCAGCGCACACGGCATTCATTGTGTGGGAGTTTCTGGCCGAGAACAAATTACCTTACTGGAACACCCTCCTCAGTCACTGCCCTGGCCCCGTGTGACTTTTTCCTATTTCCTTCACTGAAGAAGGACATCACGCATTTTCAAGACGTGGATGACATTCAGAGTAGCACGACGGCAGCTATAAAAGCTATTCCAGAAAGTGAGTTCTACAAATGTTTCCAGGGATGGAAGAAACGCTGGCGTTCGTGTACTATAGCATCGTAAGGGGAATACTTTGAAGGGGACCTCAGCGCCGATCTCAGTAAGGTACATACTGGCTCCTGTAGCATGAGTTCGCGAACTTATTTGTCAGACTATGTATATATAATATTTACAAGTATTGGTGTACACTATTTTCAGGAAACTATCCATGCAAAATGCGTGTTAGTGAAGTAGAGAGCTTTATTGATGAAGACTATTTCTGAGGATTAGTGCATATAATTATTGTGCTTCACCTTCAGCGGCGAAGACACGCTGTGCTTACTTGTTCCTAAACTAACGCCTTAACACTGTTCTCTGCACCAGTGTTACAAAGCACAAACAACTCTTGTGTCCTACCTCCCGAACAAATCGATGATGTGAACACTAGTCTCCCTGGAACCATAATGCCATAAATTATAGCCAACAAAAACTGAAAGATAACATTATCAATTAGTTAACTCAATCCAATACATGTGAACAAAAATAAAAAAAACCCAAAAATATAAAATCGCCTGTTGGTTACTATCTTGTCCACGACACCCACACACCTGCCAGGCAAGTCTTGTGTTAGAGTATGGCCACTTAGTACAGTCATCTGGCCTCTTGTCCACCATATTCTCACTCCCATGCTCTAACAACACAAATTTATAAATATGTTGCATCTACAATACTTACTCTCATAATACACATGTGCTCAGTAACCTTATTCAATCTGCATCTGTTTGTTATTATACACACTTGGTCAGTTGTCATGTTTATCATATATTTACGTCTGATGCACACATATTGCCTGTTGTGCTTACCCAGAAAATATTCACATAAATAGTAGGATGTTCACAGTCCAAATATACAAAACTGTTAAGCGCCTCATTTTTGACAAGTGTGAGAAGTGAAAGTGGGTTCCATGACTGCCTCTAGGAACTGTATGGATACAGCACAGTAAGCCGTCGGTACACGAGGAGGCATTGTGGCTGGCACTGCACTCAAGCCCTTTCACTTCTCCAACTTTTAAAGTCAGGTACCCGTTTACAGCTGGGTGGACTGTGAGTGTACCGGGATCAAACCAGCAACCTTTAAGACAGGAGGCAAGCACTATATCCACTAGTCATTCAGACTTCAGTCTATGATACCGTGTGATTCCTCGTTCTGACTTCTTTGACTGCCGCAAGTGATATTTTAATGAGTATTTAATTCCTTACTTATAACATTGTCATTATTTGTATTAAATCTTTGATATCTGCTACACATATCTTATAAAAAAATATTATCTAACAGCTAAACTTATTCATATATGCTGTACAATAATGGTGGAATGAGAATTTAGTCCAGTAACTCTCATCACTGATAAACACTCCTGCAAGAAGAGGTCTTCCATAACGAAACCTTTTTACACACACACAGTGAATGGGTATCACTGAACTCATTGTTCTTACCACACCTACCCAAGCTATTAAGTGACCTCTTTTAAAATGACAGAGTGCATCATATATCATCATACTCTCTTCACTGTTTATGTATAAAATAGTAAAACCTTTTATATTCGTATTAAACTATGATGCTACACAATAATTTGCAACCATACTGGAACTGTCTAACTTCCATGAAAGCTTCAGGTGGCTCTATATATTTTATAGAAGGCACAGGATTACCAACAAGAGAGTGGCTGACGAGTGTTAATGCTGATGAGGCGTGTGTCCAGCCATGCAGAGAAGAGCTGAAACAGCTCATCCGTGACAATGACTTACAGAAGTATAAACTGTACAATACAGATGAGACAGACCACTATTGGGAGTCCCTGCCTAAGAACACTTTCATCCCGGTGCTAGAGCAGCACCCTTGGACTCAAGGCCTACAAGCAGCGTGTGTCAGTGCTGTTGTGTGTCAGTGCTGTTGTGTGTCAGTGCTGTTGTGTGTCAGTGCTGTTGTGTGTCAGTGCTGTTGTGTGTCAGTGCTGTTATGTGGCAATGCTGCTGGGACCCACAAAATCAAACCTATGATGGTGGAAAATGCCCAGAAGCCTAGAATTCTGCCCAAGTCTATGGATCATCTTTGTGTCTTGGCATGGTACCACAAAGTGCTGGTTCACCCAGGAAATATATGAAGGCTGGTTTCACCATATTTTTGTCCATGCAGTCAAACAATTTCAGATGACAGTCCATGGCATCCCCTTGCCCATCTTGACAATGCACCTGCCCACCCTCGAGATGACTGAAAAAGTGCCGATGGGCGCATCGGAGTGATGTCTTTACCACTCAACACCACCTCACCCACATAGCCCATGGACTAGGGTGTCATTCTTGCCTGCAAACACCACTACAGGCGCCTCCTCTATAATGTTTTGGTGGTGGAGCCAGTGCCAGAGGGGGAAGACACCCAGAGGGCCTGGGCCCTATAGAATATCAAGGGCTACACAATTTAGCCTGTCTGAATCACAAGCTCAAGACTACAGCATCTGCGAGTGAGTACAGTATAATGGATGCAGTAGCATATTTTGTTTATTTACAATATATTATATGTGTACAGTAGTGTTTGCATAAATAATTACAGAGGTGTCTGTCCAATTGCAGTTAACTCACTCCATACGAGACGAGTAGTTTAGACGTGGAAACATTCACCAGTACCCGGAAAAATTCCGGGGAATTGCAATTTTTTCCCAGGATAAGAAAATTTGTCTCAATACCTCGAAATCTTTCAAACCCAGAAACGCTCGCACCAATTATTCCGGCTTGTGGGGAGATTACTGTACCTGTCTATATGATAGAGTATTTTAAAATTTATAATTTTTACTATATCAAAAAACTTTGAATTTCTGATCGATACACCTGGTTTTGAAGCTGCATATCAGCATATTTTCATATTTGACATACAGTATTTACATTTGGTAGTGTGACACACCTACAGTATTCGTTCATTAATTAGTTTGAAATAATTATTCATTTTATACATACTTGACAGCTGTACACATTCATCATGTAACTGTTGTGTGTTGTAAGGATAATAAATCTACTAAAACTTGAAAATACAAGGCCATCGTGATCATTAATGTTACATATCCATGGGAACTATAGTGAAGATATGATCAATTTAACTTTACTGCATTTAAGATGGCCTTCACTGCACCAAAAATAATCCAACCTTACTTAAATTAGGTTAGGTAAGGTTAGGTTAACTTAGACTAGGTTACGTTTGATTAGGTTGGTTAAGTTAGTATACAGTAGATGTTATCACTCATATTATGTGTTTAATGTTTATCTACAGTAATGATTTTCTGTACACATTTATTAAATTTTCCGAGTTAATCAGAAATATAAACAAATTATCGCTACGAATCCCTAAAACACATGACATGACTACTGCTGCACTCACTCTCAACACTTGTGGTCCATACTAAGGCGGGGGTCTTGTCGCTCCAGCCTGGTCATGTGAATCCTACGGTAACAGAATTCCTGACACTCCGATAGTCAGTCACCTAACTGTACACTCAATAAAAAGAAAAATTGAAAAAGTATCTATCAGGAAGGGTCAGATGAATTTCGAACTAAACAATCGTCTTGTCTCGTTAAAGTTGGTAGGCGTGATTGTGAGACATTTCCTGCGTATTATGGAAGGCCTAATTTAGTTATTCCATTCAAAACATAAAATTAGTTCGTTGCATTATGACTGGTGAATAACAGTATGCCTCTTGGGCCTTTATCAAAAACCTTCACTCGTGGTGTTATTTTGTTTTGTACGACAATTGTAAAGATAGTTTATTTTACCAAGTGTACAGTGTGTAGCGTTTATCATTATCCCATCACCTCGTACCACACAATGCCAGATCAAATACCTTCTATAGTCCTCTTGTAAACACACCACCAACTGATCAGGTGTAACTACGAATGTTATTTGGAACACAACAGGAAAATTAAATGATTCAATATTAGTATCCAGACACTTGGTAAACACACACACACACACACCATATAATAAGTTCAAGCTTTCTAGGGAATTAAACTGTTACTATAATATCTACACATTCTTCACACAGCGTAAAGTATTGTCACAGTCCGATATAAATCACGGAAAAGGTTAAAACAAAACATTAAATTTAAATTCGCACATCAATATTAGTTACAATTATGTGAATGAAATCCAAAGTCTTCGCAGACATAATGTGTTATGTAGTCACACAAACACACACATGCGAGCAGTACAGCGCGTACTGTAGATTGATGGTTGTGAAGACCTCTTCGGACGGCTCCTCCTCCACCATCTCCAGTCGGCCCTCTTCGTCCTTCACCAGATACATCTGGGTACTGCTGTAGAGACTCAAAGTCAGAACCTATACTTTCAAAAACCAATCGCCCCCCCCCCCCTACTCTCATCCCTGTCCTAAGTGTACCGTGTAACATATTATGTAGTCCGAGAAGGTGACGGTCATCAGGCAAGTGTGGTCCATCACCTACCTTCCACGACAACGATTCAGACATTATGGTGAGTTATCTTTAACATTCTCACATGCGAGTATTTTGTTTCTCACTGGCGCGTTGCTGCTGCCATTAATGTTATATCCTCGTCAAAATTATACGTTCTTAGGTGGGATCGAACCCATGATCTCCTTGAGTAAGAAGCACGAATGGGTGACACCGAGCCACCACCCATACCAACAGGAGGACTGGTGATGATGATGCTTCACTCACACTCAAGGTGTACAACATCGCATGTAACGTATTTGTTATGGACGGGATCTCAGACTGTGTTGTTGGGTTCACAAATCAAAGTGAATCCAATTCGACCGAATAAATCAGTTCTTGTTAAATATTCAATAAGTCTGTGTAGCACTTTATGTATTATAATTAACGAACGATCACTCGGCAGGGTTGAAGCCAGAGAGATTGCATTATGTGCAGTCAGAAAGTATTTGTGTATAGTTTTAACTTAAAAGTTGTCAATGATGGTTCCGCAAAGTGTGGATAGTTCACCTGTTAAAACACTCGCAGACACAGTCGTCTTCACAATACACTGAGGACTGTGATACAAGACTGACAGTGTTATAAACCATCCTACCAGGTGAGGTAATATTATTAAGTTTAAAGCATATACTGACACACACACAGTGTGTGTGTGTGTGTGTGTATATATATATATATATATATATATATATATATATATATATATATATATATATATATATATATATATATATATATATATATGTGTGTGTGTGTATATATACTGTAATAAATAAACCTGTACTTGACCTTGAGGTATTAGCTGGGAAACAGAAACTGTACGTGTAGCACCGCACCTGGTGACAGACGACGCAGCACAGGCATAGAGAGCATCTTCTGAGGCGTCCTCTGGGACGACGTAGCTGAACCAGAGAGTACCTTTCTCGTCGACCGTCAGGCGAGGGGAGTTCAAGCTACGCAGTCCACCGTCTGACGTCTGTAAGTACACAATGTAGTATCATAAGCATTATTGTTAGTGCCAGTCATTCTGCTGAAACACATTCAATCTTCCGGACGTAGAGGTCAGAAGCCTCGTTTTATTAAAGATTACACATATAGAGGCAACCTGTGGGCCAAGCTGTAACTAGTGATGCCTGCCACAGTGATCGACTGAGTCACATTCAACCACCTAAATTTAAAACGGTACAATGTTTTTACACCTTTTTTTTTTACATTTACTAGTATATGGAGCTGTTTACTAAGTAGGAGTTACTGCCAGGGAAGAAACCCGTCTGTAACACGTCCCTGCCTCCATGACGATACTTTCACTATCTCACTACAGTACCATTTAAATTTCAGAATAATTGGGGCAGAGAAACTTGGGTCCTTCATGTAACAGACAGCGGGTAGAGAAAAGGAATCCCTGATGACTTTGTTTTGTCTTATACAAGCTAACCCTTGAAGGAGTAATGCCTTAAACTTTAGTTTTTAAACTTTTATATCAGAACTTCATGATAGGCTCAGCCATGTTAATATTGTTATTATCATCCACTCTGTATCTGTATTTTTCTGGTTAAATAAACTGTTTCAATATCAATATCGATTACGTGATCGTCTACGTGTCTACAACACGCGGAATTTTCCGTCAACAGACAATGGAAAATTTGCTTTGTCCACATATTTATGGACTTTCGTTACACGTACACGTGTGTGTGGGGGGGGGGGGGCATAGAATCAAGAACAGTACTTAGGGCTTCAAAATAGCCCTTGACAAAATTATCAGGAACGATGGAGTGATTCTACACAGGCCACTGACCTTCCCTCGGTGTTGCCACCTTTACTGGGTGGCCATACCGTATTATTGCACTTTCCGTCAGTTTTTGATTGACTGATTAGTGTGTCTATTATTATGATGTTCTCATGGCATTTGCACATCTAAATAACATTAATAGTTTCACCTAATTTTACCTAACGACCACCACAACTAGAGCTGGCCATGACGGGAGGAGGAGGGAGGTGGCCATGACGGGAGGAGGAGGGAGGTGGCCATGACGAGAAAAGGAGGAAGTTGGCCAGGGAGGTGGAGGGAGGTGGCTATTTTGAAGCCAAGTACTATTCATGTTTCCACGTCTTCGTCCTCCATCCTGAAGAAGTGATCTTACTGATATCCTTTTCCATATAGTGAATGTCTGAGGTCCGTCCTGTTGTGTCTTGCCTTAAGTGTTCCAGGGCCTTCAGTGTACCTGGATAATTGATACGATTTATTTAAGGAATAATTATTCCCCTTTATTCTCTCGTCTTCACTTTATTCAGTTTAGTTGAATTTCTTCCCTACCTCCCCTACCCCTTCGATGCTTTCAATGGCTGATCTAATAATTCTATAATTAATGGCCCTTGTTCCTTATCCTTTATGATCTAAGAAAAAATGGAAAAATTCAATGAAAACCACGAATCAAATACATTTACCTACAGCCAATACAATTTACCGAGACGAGAGCTACTAGGCTCTTACCTGATGAAGATTGGCAGATTCCACACGTACGAGGTCATAGTGTGTCCTGACTGGTCGAATATTAGAGCCCTTCCTCCCGTCCACCACATCTCACACATTAACATCAACTAACTAGACCTGAACCTAACTGAGACTAGCAGTAAGAATAAGGTGCTAGGTGTCATGGCGAGCTAGCATCACTAGTAAAATGCTCTGCTTGTGTTTTGTTTTCAGTCACTGGCTCGACCACACTGACAACTCCACCAAGAGTAAGCGGCCTTAAACACTTATCTTGTTGGAGGTTTATGGTGTTGTGTCGGCTTCTGTATATATCTGATGTGAGGTGAGGTGAGGTGAGTCTTTCTTTCCAAGCCGACCTTAGTACACATTAATTTACCTTAAAAAAACCCTCTGAACCCTCATTTCTGTCCATTTATTTATGAATTTCTCAAAATTTTCTGTATAAGTGTGAGGCCGCAAGGAGCAAATATGCATAAATAGTTATTGGCTAATTTGAACCCGAGATAACGTGTGAAAGATTAGGTTAAGTCAAGTAATGATCTGAAATTCATCATTCCGATCAGTGGGTCGAATTTCAAAGTACCATCATTCTAATTTAAATTTCTATAAATGAAAGTTTATATTATAAGTTTACATTCCTTGATGCGTAATTGTCGTACTGAGGTAAAAGAGTGTGTTATCCTGGGAGGTGTAGTGATGGGCTGTCAACTGCAGGTAATTCTGGGAAGAGGCGGGGTTTTTTAAGTGGAGGGAGGGAGCGATGGTGTTGTTCGCTTAAAGTATCTACAGCTTTCTGACAGACAAACCACATGGAATAGGCTGAAAATGTGCACATACGACAGTGAACCCACAGTCGACACTTCGGTGAGGATATAAGCCATCTTACCAAATTTAGGGGAATTACACCAAAGGAAAACCGTAATTTTCCCTTAAAAGTTCCCGCCACTGTTTGCTACACAGTGTCTCACAGTGCCATATCTCACTAAACCATACAATTTGTCACGAAGTCTTTCAATCTCTGAACATGTCAAACGTGGCGGATGGTGAAGCAACTGAGGGTGTGAATCATGCTTACAGGATTTTCAGTGGAGTGTGCCCAGAGAATCTGACAACAAACTTTGCAAGAATTACGAACATGAACCGACAAGGCACTAGAGGGAGTGAACATAATTATGTGGTACTGTACCTGGTGTCTGCAGTCAAGCGAAAAACACGTTCTTATTTATAGGCTGGAACAAGTTACCAAACCACATCAAAACCAGTTACTCTATTAAGGAATTCAAAGCTAAAACAAAGAAATACATAATAGCTGAAGCTACAGTTAAAGACGAGAGTTTCTATACAGTATTATTAAACCACATAAAGTAGCCTCATACTGTGGTAGTAATACTTGCTGAATTCTGTCAAATAGACTTTCACTAATGCTCCTATAGAGATACTGTATTATTACTGATTAGAGATCAAGCGTAAACCTAAGTAAAGGATCCTCTTGGAAATAAGTACCTGGCAACTTTGTCAGCTACCCTTGATCAAGTTGCCTCACTGTTTACCATTGTTGTTTACCTGCACTGTCTTGGCATACAGGAAACCCACGGCCTACGTGCATTGTATAGTTTATAAACATGATTATCCAATTGTAAACCTGTGTGATAACTATACTGAATTATTAATATTATTATCATTAACTCCAGACTGTGAACGATTGAAGTTTTTAATTATTAAAAAGAGTTTACTGAATATGACAGGATATTTTACCACGTGGTCCCTGCCGTACTGGTCAAGTAATCAGAGTAACAGTGGTCCCTGCCGTACTGGTCAAGTAATCGGAGTAACAGTGGTCCCTGCCGTACTGGTCAAGTAATCAGAGTAACAGTGGTCCCTGCCGTACTGGTCAAGTAATCAGAGCAACAGTGGTCCCTGCCGTACTGGTCAAGTAATCAGAGTAACAGTGGTCCCTGCCGTACTGGTCAAGTAATCAGAACAACAGTGGTCCCTGCCGTACTGGTCAAGTAATCAGAGCAACAGTGGTCCCTGCCGTACTGGCCGTAACAGTGGTCCCTGCCGTACTGGTCAGTAATCAGAGTAACAGTGGTCCCTGCCGTACTGGTCAAGTAATCGGAGTAACAGTGGTCCCTGCCGTACTGGTCAAGTAATCGGAGTAACAGTGGTCCCTGTCGTACTGGTCAAGTAATCGGAGTAACAGTGGTCCCTGCCGTACTGGTCAAGTAATCGGAGTAACAGTGGTCCCTGCCGTACTGGTCAAGTAATCAGAGCAACAGTGGTCCCTGCCGTACTGGTCAAGTAATCAGAGCAACATGTTGTTCTTGCTGATTAAATAATAAGTGAACACAGGGTATGAACTCCACCTCGCCTCTCTGGTTATCAGTAAAGACAACATCCTCCCCGCCCGCAGCAACAGGATAATTAGAAGATGCTAGTGGAGCTTGAGCTGATGAACTCTGTCTTCCTCCTGCTATGTCGACACTGACTACCAAAATAAGATAATGAACATCTTCTGCTCTGACTCATAATGTAAACCTTTTCTAAATGTGTTTCTTTTATTAGAAAAGAAAAAGTGTGGCTCCACTCCTTTTCAGATTCAAGAAGGTGAAGGAGAATTGATTTATCGAAAATCTTCGCTACTCTGTTTTCAAATAAAAAAAGAAGTTTTTCTCATATTGTGTATGGCATCTTATAAGATTTTTTTTACTTTACTAGAATCAGTATTTATGGTTGTTACCTGGAGAACACTGTATTCTTACCTGAAGCACCCAGTGGAGGGAGGGCTCTGGGTACCCCTCAGGCGGCGTGCAGGGCAGACTAAGAGACTGACCCAGCGTGGCCGTCACTACCCGGGGTTCAGCCTTGGGGAAATTGCCCATTACTGCACGACGCACTGGAGTGACCTCACTGTAAGCCACACCCACAGAGTTCTCCGCCACACATTGGTAGTTTCCTGGAATGGAATGATAAATATGTGCTAAGGTACTTGTTTAGAAGCGGTATGTTTACAGTGATTATAAACACTGAAATTAGCAAAACACAGTTTGCTCCTATATTTTCTGACTAACTGGAAGCTATACGTCGCATTACACTTGATTAAATAAACAACCAAGGACAGCCATTCATCGTGGACTCAAATCTTTTAATTTAAACCAACTTTACCCAATGTTCTCTGGTCTGAACACAGCTCCTAGAATGTTTACTCTCATCACTTCTTGGAAGATCTTGTAATTAACTCATATAAAATACAGCCGACAGGCCCATTGTCTTTTGTTTTGTGACAAAGGAAATTGTGGACACAGTTAACTAGGGTCAAGGTCTGATTCTTAGACGACAACAGACTCACAGGTCCCTGGAAATATTAACTAGGAGAGGCCAGAGAACGATAAAATACGTGAGAAAACTAGATTCCTATTTGACCAGACTGAATAGCAGAATCAATGACCCAGATCTCCATGATGCTTCTGCCTCTTCAAAAAGTGTCTAATTTCATCAATTCCTTGTCCACTGAACTGAGATTTTAAGGTATCGCCCACACTGCAAGTCATACCTTGGTAAATGTTGTCCGAAATCTACTTAAAGCTGCTGAAGTGAAGCTTTGACACATGTTTAGAACCAGGCCTTACTTCAGTGTGGAACAATTGACAATAAATTATGTAAGTCATGTTCTTTCAGAGAAGGAATACTGCTGTCTTCTTGGGGGGGGGGTGTTGGGGCATTTAGCTTCATCGATTCCGTTCCCCCCCAAAAAAATAAAAAATCGCAGCAACTTTCTTGGAATATACTCTCAAGTGTGGGATGGTGACTCCCTCCACACTCTTACTTGACATCATTAAACAAAATATCTCCCAGAGCTCTTTGCCTCACCCAGTAATGACCCGAGTCCACTTCCCCAACACCTCTCATTCATGTCTCTCCGACGTCCCTTCCTCTCTTTCCACCAGTAAACTCTACCTCATTATTTATCGCCTGAGAGTCCCAGCTGCGATGTACCCTATTACTTTTATTCCTCCTTACAAGGTTTCTTTAGGCAGATTTGATTCTCATTAATCTTCATTCCTCTCACTTCTCCTTTATAGATTTCCTTATCTTATCTTATCTCGTATCCCCTTTCCACCTATCAATGCAGTCATATCAATTAAGTGTAGGACATATTTAAACAGTAAACTTTCATTAATCACTCTTATGTTGGCCGAGATAATCTTAGCTTCAATACAGATCGGTGTGTCAGTTAAAGTGCCCGATATCATGTGTACGTCTCCTGGTCCCTTATAGTGTTAAAACACAAAAACTCTAATATTTTCCGCTGCGACTGGGAAAATATATATAATTTCGTGAAATATTTAGAAAATTCATTATCATTGGGAAAACTTTTGAATAAATACGTAGGAAGATGATAAATATGAACGGGTGTGTCTGTTGAGTGAGGAGAGTGGTGTGTAGGAGTAAAGAGAGAGGGGGGTCAGATGCAGGGAGGGATGATGTCTGAGGAAGTGTGTGAGTGTGTTTGTGTATTATTACCAGAGAGAGTGCGGGACGAGAGTGCGGGACGAGGGTGCGGGACGAGAGGGTGAGACGAGGGTGCGGGACGAGAGGGTGAGACGAGGGTGCGGGACGAGGGTGTGAGACGAGGGTGCGGGACGAGGGTGACCGAGGGTGCGGGACGAGAGGGTGAGACGAGGGTGCGGGACGAGAGTGCGGGACGAGGGTGCGGGACGAGAGGGTGAGACGAGGGTGCGGGACGAGAGGGTAGGACGAGGTAGTGATGACATACAAGTAATAATAAAGAGTTGTATATCTCTACAACAGACCTTCATCCTCGGGTCGTGGGTCGTGGAACACAAGGCTGCCCTCCCCCTCCACCATAGTCACTCGTTCTTTATCTTCTTCGTCGTCATCTAGGTCGAAATTTTCGCCGTTCTTCAGCCAGGAATAACTGAGAAAAAAATAATAATATTTAAAAGCTTTTCCACATCTGTTTAAAAATATGTACCTATCAAAAATATTATTATATTTTATGATAATTTATACAACAATCCTCACTTTTGAACTCTAGCGACAAGGTGAGTTAGTATAATGAGCAGAAGTACCTGAAGTTTTGCCTCTACTATAAGTGAGGAAACCACAGCTAATCACACTTCCTGACACACTAACATACAGACAAGTAAAAGTACCGAGAATATAAACTGAATTTAAACTGAAAAATATCCTCTCATCCTTCCAGAAATATAACCAGCATAGGTAAAACAAACTATAATACTTCTAACACTAAGACAGTTCCCACGTGTTAAATGCTACCCAAACTTAATACTTCAGGTCACTAAACGTTCTCTTGAGCTCTATACTACACACAGGCGTTGTAGATATCGAGTCTCTATTCTATTCTACATCAAAAACAAGGACACCAGATTCAGCTTGGTTCATAGTGGTGGAGAGGGAGTGTGTGTGGGAGGTACAGTGGTGGAGAGGGAGTGTGTGTGGGAGGTACAGTGGTGGAGAGGGAGTGTGTGTGGAAGGTACAGTGGTGGAGAGGGAGTGTGTGTGTGGGAGGTACAGTGGTGGAGAGGGAGTGTGTGTGTGGAAGGTACAGTGGTGGAGAGGGAGTGTGTGTGTGGAAGGTACAGTGGTGGAGAGGGATGTGTGTGAGGTGCAGTGGTGGAGAGGTGTGTGTGTGGAAGGTACAGTGTTGGAGGGAGTGTGAGGTACAGTGGTGGAGAGGGGTGTGTGTGGAGGTACAGTGGTGGAGGTGTGTGTGGAGGTACAGTGTGTGGAGGGGTGTGTGTTGGAGGTACAGTGGTGGAGAGGGAGTGTGTGTGGGAGGTACAGTGTTGGAGAGGGAGTGTGTGTGGGAGGTACAGTGGTGGAGAGGGAGTGTGTGTGTGGAAGGTACAGTGTTGGAGAGGGAGTGTGTATGTGATATACCTAACCTAACCTAACCTAACCTAACCTAACCTCACCTAACCAAATCATTCATATTGCCCATGACCCTTAAGAAAAGAATCATTCAAACTTAAGATTTTTCATAGATATGTTCACAGCCGAGCCATTTAATCTGCAGGCAAATGAAGCACGAGCAACCTGTATTAGATCAAAGGTGAACAGGGTCAAAGGTGAACAAGGTCAAAGGTGAACAAGGTCAAAGGTGAACAAGGTCAAAGGTGAACAAGGTCAAAGGTGAACAAGGTCAAAGGTGAACAATGTCAAAGGTGAACAGGGTCAAAGGTGAACAGGGTGTGCCAGAGATGCTATTATTGTAAAGAACAGTAATGGTAAAGATTGACGAGTATTATTTGATACATCTCCAGCTAGTACAACAACATCATAAATCTAATAGCTGTCGATTTTCTATTTGAGTTCTGCTAAATATAGTTATTATATATTTTCGCTGTATTTTCGTTCAAATTTAAGTGTTAATTTTGGTGAACATGTTTAATGCACAGAATGGTTCAGTTTTAACATGGAAATATAAAAGAGGAATTTAAGTATATACACAGTGAACCCTCGACACACACAGACTGACCCACAACATTTACAGAAATATGAAACCTTATTCAAGTGAGCATCTAAACTTAGGGAGAAATGTTCTTAATGAGGTATGGGTCCCAGGAAAATTGTGAGTCTATAAATATGTTTCCTAGAATATCACCACACAATAAAGACATTTTTGGCGGGTGTGGTGGTGAAAGAAACACGACTAAGAGATGAAGCAAAAGAAGTTACTCGGGGTGTGGTGATTTAAACCTTCCACACTGACGTTTGGATCAAAATATGACTATTATTATTCCACCACTGTAATAATGTGAGAAAGTTGAAGAAGAATATTTTGTGTTTTTGTTTCTCCCTTCTTCCAATACTACATGTGCCTGATGCCACGAATTACCATTTCGGGAAGAACCTGAGGAGTGATTTAAGAGGTGTGTGTTACCCCATGACCTTCCCTCCACCTCAGTAGATCACCAGACACTACTATAGTCACGTCCCGTCGGTGCTCCATTAGAGCTTTAAAGGTGTGTTGTGTTGAACCTGGACCAATCCTTTCAAACATCTGGCGTGTGTCATGATGTGCCGAGGGCCGATCCCAAGGTTAACCTCTAATAAACCAGGCGACAAACAGGCCCCTGAAGGGTTTAGATTGTTGATATTCACTGTTGCTCACTAGCCGGAGAGTCAGCGCATTTGAGTTGCTGCTCACTCCTATCCATATCGGTTTCTCTTGCATTATTTTTATTTTTTTATTTTTTTTCGTAAATCACCGGAACCGGATTAATTAATGTATGGTGTTATTTATATACATTACCCTGTACCCTGAGGTGTATTTTTAAGTCCTTCAAATGATATTGTCTAAGATATTGCCAGGATTATGTCTAACTTTTTTTCACTCTTTTCTAGCCAAATGAGTCAGGAAAACACTGGTGACTGTAAGAGATGTGGTGTGAATGTTCTGTCCTTAAATCGTGAAGGGATCAAGAGCTTAAACGAATCAGAGAGAACGTGAAGCTTTGGGAGTGTTACAAGTGGAAATAGTGCCACTTTACAAAGGCTCATTTGATGTCGTTGCTTTCATGGTCGTCTTGTACTGTAAACTGCGGCATGAATCAAGTGCGGCAACACCCCTCAGAGACTGGCTCATATATTACCACCCTTTAGCCTGGAGGCGGGAATATTTAGAGAAAGTGAATTCGATCAAATAAGTACGATAGTTAACTTACAGTTAAAGCTGTATACTGTATGTCCATGGCTCACTTAATATACCAAACAATATCTAAATTATGTTGAATGGGGTTTAGTTAGACCTATCTTTATAATCGTTAGTGTACTGAAGAATCCAGCATTTTGAAAGAGGAAGAAATATATTGAAATTATCGATATGTCAGATTATTCCCTAAGGTGCATGATACTCGATATTCAATGGACTTTTTTAGGTGTCCACTTTAAGGTATATAGTTGAAATAAATAAAACCATGTATATTTTTCTGGTAGCTGAACACCGACCAAGAGCCGCTATTGTTCCTATTATCACCTGAGACGAGGAGTGTTATTCCTTGTGAGTCACGGGGCACCACTGTTGTGAAGAGGAGTACACGAGTCAACCAATAGAACCATACACTCCTATATGTACCACACACCTGCTTCGTGTACAAGGTAGAGAAGGCCGCAGTGATACAGGATTAGCTAAGATCATTATCAGGTCAAGACTGATCTCTTTAACTGAGATATACAGTATATTCAGCCATATGCTGCTCATATACATTGCAATACTGTCATGAGCTTGCGTGTTTCTCAAAGGGCGAGCGAAATGTCACCTTACTAAACATAACGGAGGACAGCTAGTCTGTCCGAGGTCACCTGATGTTAGCATTTTCTTCAGGGGTCAAGCCAGAATTAATAACGTGAGGCCCCTCCCTGACCAGATATCCCTCCTCATAGAGACAGGCCTGGCACTTGACATTGTTAGGGACCTGCTACGCTTTGTCATAAACAGATGAAATGTACCGGGAATTCTCCCCCACACACTCCTCCTGTCACTCTATGTATAGCTTCCGTCCTCAATGCATGAGTCACGGAGGCAAGCATGAACTCTGCATGTTTTCATTTTGGGCGCTGTAAACGCTTTTGCGCTACACCTTGCTCAGGATGTAAAGGGGTGCCCAATAAACTAGCTCCCTCGGGAGGCAAATCTGAGGTTAATGAAAACAAACCAGGTTGCTGCCAGCTGCTTCCCGTGACGACCCAGCACCCCAAGGTGATTTAGCTAACTCATACCACTGGACAGGGAAGTCAGGCACTTAACTGTAATAATTTGTGTGACAGAAAGACACTATCACACATTGTGGCAAGCGGAAAGACGGACACGAAAATAGTGAGATTAACTATAAATGAACAACAAGTTCCAGTGTATGATAGAGTGTAGACTATACAAGAGAACCATCAAACATTAAGTGGACACTGGTAGAACATTGCAATTGTGCATAGAAATCTAGTGTTGTAATATAGAGACAATATAAAGACTTTAAAGACTTGCTGAGCTGACACCGCCAAGTCTCAAGCACCCAGTAGTGGGCTTCACGAACACCCGAGTGAAGCAGACACCTGCCGAGCCCAGTCGAGTCTTTGGAACCGCCGTGCGGCCTTTCCCAGAGCGGCTGTTCCAGTTTCCTGCCAATAGTACTACGGTGCAGCTCTATCCCAGGTTGATCGTCCAAAAAAGGTTGTAGCCCAATTTCAATCAACCGCCAGACGTGATGTCATAGACTTTGAGAGTAGGAAGTCATCAACTTCCGACGTCACCACGACCAAGCGAAGACCCAGCCTGTGTTGAAACTCTACGGATTTTACAATCCCGACTTCATTATGTGAACAAAACATACAAGTGAAATTCCAGAAGTCTTTCACAAGTAGTCGATATAAATTAACCCACTTGCTCAAATGCCTAAAAGCTAAACTAAATAAAGGCATCTGATCACACATTGATAAGAGAACAGTTAGAGGATCACTGTACCTATACTTTGTCTCTTTTCGCTTTTCATTTCCATAACTCATTATAAATACTTTTGCATTACTCCTTGAGTAGGCAAGCTAGTATGTGTTATACTGACATATAATTTATACACTGCACAGCATATCTTTACTTATGGACCCTTTAAAAAATCGGGATAAAAGAGAAAACTGGAAACTGACTCATAACCGGATACCATTTTTTTCAGGACTCACCAGAACTAGAAGCAACTAGCCAAGAATTACCACAAATTAACCAAATAGTTACCTCCTATGGACTCATTTAATAGCTGTGAAAAAAATCATAGATTCTCAGTTTGAGGAATTAAACAGTAGACAACTTAGGTCAGGTACAACTTAACCATCACCTTTACCTTTCAATAAAGCTGGTGCTTTAACTAACACTGGAAGCATGGCCTCAAGTGGTTCTGATAACACACAGGCCGCTCAGGTCTTTCAAACTGGAAACATAGTACTTCCAAATAACGTCAACATCCAGGAATTTATAGGGTGACGATGCTGAATATAAAGTCATGAATTTCCTGCGTGTGTATGAAGAAGTAATGCATCACAATAATGTTACTGACGAGAAGGATAAAATCGCGTACGTCCGAAGACACGCAGTAGGGTGCAGAGAATGATGTTCGCTACAGCCTTCGGTGATGTAAACTTTGACTATCAAATGTTTAAGGTTAATTTTATATAATTTTTTGGATCAGATACAAATTGGGCTGCGCTCAATTGGATATTCAAAATGACAGAGAATACAGTTGCCAATACACTTGCTCGTGATGCAAAAGAGGCACAATTAGCTTAGACCGTCAAAGTAACAATTACTTTCTGAAATTCCTAATGTTGTGTTCCGAGAAAATTTTACCCACTCAGAGCTGAAACGCAGTTCACCGCGCGCTGTTGCTAACTTTTCGTCTTGTGAGAATCAGAACAGTACAACAACCCTTAATTGGCATTACCTGATGAAAAAAATCAGCTTAACTAACAATACTTGTCTGCCGGAACAATAGCGGTTATCATTACCGTTAAATAAGAATATAAAATCCAAATATATAAATTTTAAGCCTGAATTCCGTAAATTATTGTTATTATGCAAGATTGAACAATATTTCACTTCTATACAAGTTTACCAATTTCCACAACAACAATAATTCTTCCACAACACAACTGTATGTACAGTACACTGTCCTGGTGTTGGAGGACAGGCCATAGTCTGCCGCCTGGTAGTGTTGTTGTCCTCTGACCTGACCCAGTGAACGCCCTGACTCACAACACTTGAACTTCATTGACCTCAACTCCCTATTACTAGGCATAACCACAATTGATTTGAACTTTAAGCAGTTAACACAAACTTTTGACACTAACCTGTGAGTATAACCTGTTGCACTAGTTAATGGTACCTTGTGTCTGGCCCTAATACCAAGTTTATCTTTACATTGTGTGAAAGAATAACAAAATAAATTACTGTTTTTCATCAAATGTTAAATAATCCTCTAAATGTAAAACGATCTCCAGGTAGATTAATGTTACCCAGCAAGAAAAATATCCCTTCCAGTATATTTCACTTGACCTATTGGAATAAGGTCACCGAGGGAAGACTGACTGACTGACCTTGGGGCAGGAAGAGCGTCAGCGCGGCAGGGAAGAGTGAAGGGTTCGGGTGGCTGGTCCGGGTCATGGTTGACAGTGAACAACACCTCGCTCCTGGATGGCTGTGTCTCCAGTAGTGGCGGTATAGTCACTGTTGGAGAAATCTTCATCAGTGACATATTCTCTCCCTTACATCACAATAATATTCACACTACGACACTTACACCAAGCCTTCACGTACACAGCACACCCAACCCGTCTTTACCACCGTACTCGTTATGACATCGCCTTACTATGATGATTCCTATATCTCTATTCCACCACTGTTGCCTTACCACACTCGTTACTACGCTTTTCTTGCATGTACTCATTGTGAAATTGCCATACCACCAGAATTTTTGCACTGTTATAACACTCCGGTAATCGTTAGCATATACAGTATCACCTAAATTCTTATGCTTATTGACTCTAATGCATTCACCACCGTTACACACATCTCCCAGTCATACTGTTAAGCACTTTTAACCACTACACACACAGGCTACTTTTGCGCTCACGTGAAATACTATACTTGAATACTTGTAGCATAATTAATGAATCTTTCCGTATCAACCACACAATTACTGATCAACTTTGTTTTAAAATCTAACAAAAAATCATAATTACAATCGCTACTAAAGCTTATTCAACTGTTTATTTACACAGGTAGTTTAGTCTTGTTACATTAGAGTGCAACATTCATATTCGTTAATACCCTTTCATATTAGCGGCTTAGTATCTATAAAGTAATAAAAAAAAGAGCATATTATTGATTTTAATTGCTACCCATTAATGCTTCTGTAACACTAGCAGATTATCATTACTGTAACACTCAAAGTTTTACAGGAGTCTAGTGTTTGAGGAGAGAAGCTCATTAAAGTTTTTTTTTTTTTTTTTTTTTTTATAAGTTCAGGTTATGTACAGTATAATCAGAGCAATTAATGGAAATAGTCACTTGAGCTATTCAGGGCAAAACTTCTATGGAATAATCTTCAATCCACCACGGCCCTCAGCCATTCTCCCCAGCGCCCTAAACCACAACACACCACCTCACCTCACCTCCGCCACAGTGCATCCTGGGTAATACAATTGCTCATCATCTTTTAAATAATTTCCTCAATACCAAACCCTTTAAATATCTAAGCTAGAAATACATCAAACAATTACCTTTAATGGAATAAATCAACAAAAACTTGTAAATTTGAACCGATACGTAAGAACACGAGACACAAGGAGGTAAGCTAACAGCTGGTAACGCCTAGATACACTACTCAAACACACTGTATTACCTGTTCATCTTGTCAACACACATGAAATATAATAATAATTAACAAACCATATATACAGTCATGAGTTAGCACACATTCACTCCTTATTAAGTGTTCAAGTTGGCAATACACATAATATCATTGCAATATAATATACACATAGGAGCTCATGAGAGGATTACAGTCGAGCTGACAATGTTTACAATACACGTTAAATATTATACCACCAACAATATTAATACTTAAAGAGTCGGGAGAGGATAAGTCTCTCTGGCAAACACACTGTGTCACTATAACATCACACTGTGACACCACCACATCACACTGTCACCACCACATCACACTGTCACCACATCACACTGTATCACCACCACATCACACTGTCACCACATCACACTGTCACCACCACATCACACCGTCACCACCACGTCACACCGTCACCACCACGTCACACCGTCACCACCACATCACACCGTCACCACCACATCACACCGTCACCACCACATCACACTGTCACCACCACATCAAACCATGTCCCCCTTGCATCACCTGTCAGATACACATTATTTTAACAATTATGTTTTGTTTTAAATTTGTTCGTAATTAAAACTAACATCACTATTTATAGCGTGTGAGTTTACCATTATCTTGCCTCATTTTTTAGCTCCGAGGATGAAGTCACTGAGAAGCGTAACCCAGTATTGATTGATTTTAAACATGGGACCATTTTAGGAATATCAATGAATTTTAAGTGTACAACAGGGAAACATAAGAGTCACAGTATGGCTATAGGTGTTGAAGATTTAATACAGTGTATGTCAGAGTACACACAGATGAACTATAACAACTCACACTATCATCTAAACTATATTGTATTCAAAGACTCAATAGAAGTCCTAGCAGCGTTATGCCATTTATCGCCAGCATAATCTCTGACCTTTAGGACCATTTCAAGTTAGTGCATGTCCACCGCCTATTGTTGGTCAGCTTCCATAAAGTGTGATGCCGGACACAAGCGCAGCAGCACAGGGATATCATGCCCCTGCCCCACGACGCCTTGCGAGCAGAATTGTGCTCGGAGAAACATGTTCTGTCCTGACCGTGGTGAGGTGACATGCAAACGTTACGAACACAAAATTAATATCTTGACCATCTACATGTCTGTGACCTCCTTACAGACGCAGACCCTAACCATCACGAGGAGCAGAACGGTGATTTAACAGATTTTTTTGTGAACAAAAAAAGTCGTTTCATATAACCCAAATTGTACAAAAATCAGAGCGAGTGTGTTTTACAACAAGGTCTCCTGTAGATGCGTGTGTCACTGCATAGTTTGGTGTCAGCGGATACCGAACTCTTGTCCCTGATTGTGTTCTTGTTGAACAGTGATCCCTGACTCACCGAGGTATTTCACGAGCAATCATCCCCAACCAATTATTTCAGTAGCCTCAGTCCATTGACCTTCATCAAGTCCAATATACGGATTTTCACTCAAACTGAAGTTCCTGTTTCTTATTGTTTTCGGTTGACTTACGGTTAACTTTGCCATTTGTCTGTCACACAGCCACGTAATCATCGCTCCCTTCTCTTGCCCAGCGATTCCTGACACCTGTGGCCAACACCTTCTTCACGCCCCTCCTGCAGCCATTTCCTCTAGTCATCGTCCTTCAGGTGGTTGTGTCTTAACTAACTGGATCAGGCAAACAGTCAGCTACTCAGCTAATTATTCCCCAATGACCTATCTCAGGTCACCCCGACCCTCACAGTAACGTTACCTCTATTAACCAATGTTATAAATTGGTTGTCTTCTCACACCCATCAGTAGAGGCTCTCACTCCCATCAGTAGAGGCTCTCACTCCCATCAGTAGAGGCTCAGAAAACATCCCCCCAACACGGTCATTGTCTTACTCCTGATAGCTCCTGCTGCTGTTCCCGTGCAGTGATCCTCTCAGTCATTGTAAGTTTTCTAAGACTATCCATTAAGTTGTGTGTTTTAATAAGTTTTTTCCCATTGGTAATATGTAATTGCTTCCATCTCTTTATCTAATAAATCCTTTCTCATGTTTAAATATATAACCAGATCGCCTCGTATGGCTTCCGATTAGCCCACATGAACGGCTTAATCTGGTTGCAAGTCACCGTTAAGACTTATTAAATCTTTCCTTGAGACTATTTCCAAGCTTGTTCATTAGACTTACCATCTCTCAGCAAGTCTTATTGTTACATGATCTGATCTAGGTATACTAGGAACTACTAACCCTACCCATTTGTCTGATAATAATTCTGATTTTAAGAGAGTATCCCTTAAATCTCTTCCTCCCTCAGTACCTCTATTATCAGCCAAGCCCACACACACTGCTCTCACCACCGACATTATTGATTATGGTCAAATTCCTCTGATAGTAGTTCTCTGGCTAACTCCACTCCTCCTATCATAGTACACAACCAGTACCCATCTGCCCTTATAGAGGATATCAAGATGTTCATAGGCCAGTGGACTGATTGGACTGAATAGAAACACACGTAAATACGAAGGTCTTCACTACAGCCACAACAGATGAGAGGCATAAAGTTTTTTCTTCGGGATCTGTCTTCTCACATTGCCTATGATGAGGGTGATGCTAGGAATTTTTTTTTAGGCGTGTGAATATAAAAACATTAACACTTGAAAGGAACTGTGTAAATTTGTTCTCTCTTTATAAAGTTTTCAAAGTCCATTGACATCATTTTATATCATCACACCATAATTTTCTTTCACCATCCTCTACTGTTCTTCACCACACTTCCTGCTATCATAGTGTCATCCATCACTCTTACATCCAGCACATCTTCCCTCGCTGACATCATCACTATCACAGTCGTCTGCCACACACTGTCCATTATCATATCTTAAGTTGCACATTAAACCTTTATCCTTCACGCCTATCACACGGTGGTCCCTCACACAGCCGTCCACTACACTAGCCTCCTCCACAAAAAACACTTCCACCAGCTAGTCTCACATCCACCTTCACCAAGTGGATCATCAGCAGAAAGTTACTCTCTTCTATGAATGATGAATCTAAGTATAAAATATCATAAGGATTAATTATACATTATAGAATTAGAATCATGCAATACCTGAATCATAATAAAATACGCCATGTGCAACACCGCTGTAATGCTGAGCTTTGCGAAAGCATCATCGCCTTGGCTTTAATTCCAAAGCAGAAAGCTTACTAGAAGTAAACTTGAAAGCTGCCAAAAGCCGCTTCCACTGCTAAGACAAGCGATTCTTGCTTATTTTTTTAATTAGCGCCTCAAGCAAGCTGGAGCAGAGTGCCGGAGTGTCTCTCACTTGGTCACTCTCGTTCATCAAGAAGTTGCACAACAAACGTGCCTCACACCTGACATGTCTTGTGTGCCAGTGTTAGGGAGAGTCAGCATGCACCCCTTACATGTGTCCCGGGGGCGTCTAGAAATTATTAAATTTACGTACATGCAATTCATTCTAATGTTGGCATTAGGTGCATGTACAGTACCGTATAGACCGCCGTATACATACCAAACATGATGGCGTGGATGTGAGTGAGTGAGTCCCGTTAGTCACCTGTGGTACAACTATACTCTCTCCTCACCGCTGTCAACTCCCTTACTCTCTCCCGCAACACACAACAGACAATTAGATGCAAATTAAGGCTTAATGAACCGAGTGTCTAAAAATTGTGACATGCATTACAGTATATCTTCGGTGATCAGGAAAATTATGGGATTAGTGCTAAGCGTCCACTTCATTAAATGCGGCCGAAATAACTAAATTGGGAAATATGATGTATGATTTCCGCAAACTGAAATTATGAATCACTACCTATTTTTACTTGTTCGTACAGTCTGGTGGGATAAGGTACATAGAATATTGCAGTATTACAATAATCAAAAGTACATCATTTCCCACAACACCAATAATTCTTCCACAACACAACTGAACGTGCAGTTATGGTCAGGATTTCTTGGTCTACCCGAGGTGGAGGGTATGGAGCCCGTCCCACCCTTACTGGACTGCGAGTCACTTTTGACGTCACACTTAATGGTCTAACGAAAATGCCACTGACTCCCATCCATCAAAACTTAAACACACACAGACAGACACAACCCCACGTGCGTCCGTGTGGGTGGTTGAGTGTTGAGCTACGTGGACACAATCAGCTGTATGATTACATTTTTGTGTTATTATTAAAGGTGGACCACGACATTCTGGCCTCAACTGTACACTGTCCTGGTGTTGGAGGACAGGCCATAGTCTGCCGCCTGGTAGTGTTGTTGTCCTCTGACCTGACCCAGTGAACGCCCTGACTCACAACACTTGAACTTCATTGACCTCAACTCCCTATTACTAGGCATAACCACAACTGACCTGAAATTTAAGCAGTTAACTGTGATACTTCCTATGCAGTATGAGGGTTAGCTTAGCTTACATTAAGTCTGCTAGGTTGATTTAGTTAGGTTAGTAGTGATACAGTGTAATGGCTTGTATTACACACACACACACATATATATATATATATATATATATATATATATATATATATATATATATATATATATATATATATATATATATATATATATATATATATATATATATATATATATATATATATATATATCAAATTACACTAAAAGGAAACATCAGTCAAACAGAATGTTACATTGTTGTATTGTGTGCAACAAAAATATTCAGGACACGGAAACACATCTACAATACAGGCACGACATACAGTGAGAGGGAGAGAACAGGAGGGCTGGGAGGCTGAGCTATGAGAGAACAGGAGGGCTGGGAGGCTGAGCTATGAGAGAACAGGAAGGCTGGGAGGCTGAGCTATGAGAGAACAGGAAGGCTGGGAGGCTGAGCTATGAGAGAACAGGAGGGCTGGGAGGCTGAGCTATGAGAGAACAGGAGGGCTGGGAGGCTGAGCTATGAGAGAACAGGAGGGCTGGGAGGCTGAGCTATGAGGCTGGGAGGCTGAGCTATGAGAGAACAGGAGGCTGGGAGGCTGAGCTATGAGAGAACAGGAAGGCTGGGAGGCTGAGCTATGAGAGAACAGGAAGGCTGGGAGGCTGAGCTATGAGAGAACAGGAAGGCTGGGAGGCTGAGCTATGAGAGAACAGGAAGGCTGGGAGGCTGAGCTACAGTCAGAATGTCACCGTCAGAGAACTGTTCTCCGACACCCAGAGTGCCACTAACATGCTCACTGTCATACCTGCAAACTGTGCAATATTACCTTCTATATCCAAAGGTGCCACTGAGAATGAGAACAGAAAAATATTTTTATGTATTAGAAAATGTCCAAAAAATTTTAGTTTTGTCTCAATAAAAGTTTATACACTTGATTTTATGTTTTTCTTATAATCGTTCATATTGCTTCGTTATTGGTTTCAAAAAATACCGAATTATTATCAAAAATATGTAAAGTGATTTGATACCAAATTCATGTGTTGAAAACTTTATCTACAGCATACTAAATTCTTAGTCAAATTAAGCCTTGCGATAAGAAGGTTTTCTACTGCCTGTTGGTCATCGCCTCAACGAAACACTGCCCCTAGTAACTCATCATGGTGGTACCGTTGGTGTAACAGTGGCTACGTCACCAGTACCACCGAACGCCACCTGTGAGAGCCCACCTGCAGCCATGGTGAGTGGTGCCACACACCACAGTAGCGCCACCGTCACCCACGCCGGCATCTTTCGACGCGGAAGACTCATCATGACGTCCCTGGCCACCTGAAGGAGATCACATGTTTGTGTTAATTCACCAGCAGTAGTATTATATCACACTACACTAACCTTACACACATGTCATGCTTAATGGAGTCCCCAAATTGTTGGACTCGTAAATAATAATAAATTATATAATTATTTATGACTTATAATAAAAGACAAAGGTGTTTCAGACAATCCATCACAACAGATCAATGTTTTTACTTAAAGCTTTAACTTTTCAAAGACTGTCACACAATCTACAGCGTTTGTTCACGGTGGGTGACAGCTCCACCTTGACATACAGTAAAGTGCAAGGATTAATGTAACAGTCAATTAGGGTTATTTTCCTAATCGCTAAGTATTATTCAAAGTTTCCGTAAGTAATGTTTATGTGTAGGAGTTTACATAATACACTAATTAACTATTGTGGGTTAGTCACTCGTACAAGAAACGCTACACCTCATATTACGAGTAACGAAAACTTTAATAACTGGTTAATTTATGTCATCATAATACAGTGGCCACCATAATACAGTGACTACCATAATACAGTGGCCACCATAATACAGTGACCACCATAATACTATGACCACCATAATACAGTGACCACCATAATACAGTGACCATCATAATACAGTGGCCAACATAATACAGTGGCCACCATAATACAGTGACCACCATAATACAGTGGCCACCATAATACAGTGACCACCATAATACAGTGGCCACCATAATACAGTGGCCACCATAATACAGTGGCCACCAATTTCTTCGTTTTCTATCAAGGAGGCGATAATGAGTTCCTCGGCGCACATCTATTAACAGTGTCTCCTCATATGACTGATGAGTCCAATCCGTGATCGACACACGCGGCCACAAGTGTTGTTGGTGTGAACCGGGACAACTGGTTAGGGATATTGAGCCCGCAGGTGTCTGTGAGCCCAGCTGCAGATGGCTGACAGGGTGCTATACAATTCAAAGTTGATGGATGCCTAATTTGGTTGACTTACGCCAGGCTGATCTACCTTAGGCTAAACCTACCCAGAGGTTAGTGTCGATATTGCAAGTTTTTCGATTTTTCTTCAACGTTTGTGTTGGTTTTATACTTACCTACGCACAGTTCGCCTTAAAATAATTGTTTGGACATCCTATCGTCGTCTATGCGGACCACATGGGCCGTCCAGCGCAGCTGCGCTTTGAAGATGAGCGCACCGATGCTGGTGTATCCAGCTCGTTTCAGGACCTTGGTGTTTGGGGTACGATCCTGTCATTTGCTATTTAGGACGACCCGGTGGAACTGCTCCATGGATTTTAGGCGGTGACGGTAGGTTAGCCCGGATTCACTGCCATATAGAAGAGATGGAAGAATTGTGGCAGCGGATACCTAAATTTTTGTCCTGTGGGTGAGGTCCCGATCGTGCTCAGTGCTCCGAAATCTGCATCAGCTTTGTCGATAATGTGCATGGGTGACTTCTGAGTAGGTGGTGGCGTCGGTAGAGATGACACTGCCGAGATAATCATGTGAATGACTGCATGGGTTTAATTAGAGTTCCTTTAATGATGGTGTTAACGTCGACCTGGTGGTGCCCAGAAGGTGGTTGATGGAGGACCTCCGTTTTCGCGAGGCTGATGGTGAGGTTAAAGTCGCCCATTGTATCAGCAAAACTGTCGACAATTGTCTGCAAGTCTTTTTCCATACTGGCCACGGAAGCGCAGTCATCACCGCAGAGAAACTCAATAATTAAAGCTCTGGTTACTCTTACAGATGCTTGTAGTTCTGCAGAGCTTGAGAGCTGTCCGTCGGTGCGAAATCTGATAAATAATCCGCAGTCTATATCCATTATGCTAGTAGCGAGAACAGCGGCAAAGAAGACGCATAAAAGTAAGGCAGCAGTTCATAGCTTTGCTTGACCCTGTTGGTGATGATGAAAGGGGTAAAGAGCGTCCGTCCCGCAATAATTATCACTCTCCCGACCACGTCTTCATGTAGGCCTCTGGGTGTCTTCACAAACTGTCTGGGACAGCCCTGAGGTTCCAGAAGCCGGGAGACCGTCCCTGTTGATGGTGTCAAACGCTTTAGTTAGGTCGATGAAATCAGCATAAAGATGTTGGCGCTGTTCCCGGCAATTCTCTAGCAACTGTCGAGCAACGAAAATATCATATACACTGTCCTCAGAATAATATTTTACTTTTTGTTTGTTGTTCGGCCTCAAGAACAGAGTACCACTGAATACGCTCCATGTATTGGCTCCATCATCGTCAATAGGCAAGGTTATAGAAACGAAACTCATGTAACTGCCTTAGAGATATCACCTTCAAACACTTACTTATACTAGACACCAGTTGTCAACAGAATATTTCTTCTGGATAGTTTATTCTAATTATTGATCCTGCTAAGCTATATGTATACCCATTTCTTTTTTTAACATCTTAACTACCAGACGATTCTAATGATCAAAAGTAATAGTCCCGGAAGTTGTTAATGAAAACCCATTGTTTTTAGTTATCGATCAGAACCAATCAAGGTTAATGTTATGATTTTATCTGTAGTTTATAATTTTATGATATATAATTCAATAGGATATCCCTGGAAAAGTGTGTTTGACAAAGGATCAAAGAATCAAATTCATTCTTCATATTTTTTCAACGTTAATTTGAAATATTACGTCATATAAAAGGAAATTTCCGAAACTAACTGTCCCAGAAAGTTCCCTTGCATTATAAAGACCAGTTAAAGGTCAAACTCACAGGGACTAAAGTCAAACGCTCACTTTAAGGTCTTACTCTTGAAATTCTTCCAAATGTTTGATTTTTTTTTCAGTTTAAAAAATGTAAAGATAAATATTGTGGTACATGAGGGACATATATGACGTCAGGTGATACAATAGTTCTTTCTGGGCTTCCACCTGGCCCAGGTCACTGTCACACACCTGGCCCAAGTCACTCTCACACACCTGGCCAAGGACACTGACACACACATCTCACCCAAGATACTATCACACACACACACACACACACACACACACACACACACACACACACACACACACACACACACACACACACTTAAACTGTGAGATTAATGTGAGCATCCGAATGTTTCCTCCGTGAGTAAAGGATTGTTCTCCCCCTGAGTGATGCTAAAAGACTAGTCCTAAGTTATTGTTTTCTTTGAACAAATTTACTCAAGTGCTCTGAACCATGAACGCTAGAAGGGCATTATTAATTAATAAAGTGTCAACATAGTAAAACACTTTTTGTTAAACGCCCAGCCATCGAGACAACATCAGTAGCCTGCAGTCAAGAGTTTATTCGTGGTGTTATTTTTAAAACACCTCCCCAAGCTTCACGAAAAACATAGTCTAGACATCAGCATCATTCTAAAATTACTATAATTTATTTTGTCTTGTTAGTTTTAATTCCACCACATGTGTCGGATAGTTATTATTTAAAGTCTTCACTGGGTACACGGACAGCGATGATCTAGAGGGTAAAGGCGGAGTGAATATCTCAGTAGCGGGAGAGCCTCACCTCCACCCCCGACAGATGCGGATGTTGGGTCCGAGAAGGAAGTGAGCTGTTACTGTGGCGCCTGACACTCATTGTTGTTGTCCCGCAGAGATACCCCTTCTACGTCCTCCCCAACCCTGACGACCCCAGCCATACCGACCCAAGTCAGCCCCACCCCACCCCGGCCTGGACGACCCACCCACCCCAGCCTGTTTCTTCACGGTATGGTTCCCTCTACTTTTGTCCCACCTCACTCGTGGCTCACCTCACTCGTGGCCCACCTCACTCTTGGCCCACCTCACTCCTGGCCCACCTCTCTCTTGGCCCACCTCTCTCTTGGCCCACCTCTCTCTTGGCCCACCTCACTCCTGGCCCACCTCACTCTTGGCCCACCTCACTCCTGGCCCACCTCTCTCTTGGCCCACCTCTCTCTTGGCCCACCTCACACTCTTACAACTGTTCCCTTGTGGCTTGCCATTACATTTTCCTTCTATCTGGGGGTCTCATCTTACATATCCTCTCCCTAAGGGGGATTAAGAGGTATTGGAATGATCCTGACTGTGTGTCTGTGTCATAGATCCATACACTGCAGCAGTACTGGACACCTGCTTCATCCCCTGCTTCTGTAGATATCATATAATAACTTAAATGAATCTACTGTGTTGGACGTGTTGTTGGTGGTAGAGAGGTAACGAGCGTATATCGCCGTATTGTGTCCTGGCTTCAGTCCCCGACTTTGTGACAGATGTGAGAAGGGTGTTATGTACTGTGACTCTACTCAGATTTAGTAGTTGTTTTGTCTCTGGGTACTACGGTGTCCTCCAGTAGTAGCATTAGACACTGAAAGTATAGGTCATAAAAATAAGGTGTAACCGCCCTAATGGCTTTAAGTGATAAGTAATAATAATAATAATAATAATTTAAGTACACGAAGACTGTTTGTCGTATGCACCAGATCATACGTCAATGTTACTTTAGTTTAACCAAGAAGATTTAATTGTTCACTTCCAGTTAACTTTAAACTTTTAATAACAAAGCTAAGGTAGTATAGTTAATGATGTCAATTCGAAGCTTCACAGAAGATAGTTTCGAGTTGTTGAATATCTTGAACCTACACAAACCTCTCGAGTACCCACCCGTAATATCGCCAAAGCTTCACTCCTTTGGGAAATAAACTAAACCATTACTCCTCACATAACTGTTGGTTGCCCTTTTGTCCATTGTACACACTCAGCCAAAACTTCCCGAACGCTATAAGCTCTATGGAGTCTGGAAAATGAACGAAGAATCTGAAACTACTCCGAGATGAAGAGCCCCATTCTGCTCATTCTCACATCCATCGTGGCCAGGTGTTGGAGAAGTTTTGCCTGAGTGTGTAGATGGATTATCGGGTTAACTACTAGACACCCCAGTACTCGGCAGCGCACCATGTTACACAACTATAACAGACAGTTCCAGCAGCCCACATTAAGTCGCACGAAGTTTGGTAACGTCTAATAAGTCTTGGTATT